AGGTCGTAGACGCTGTGACCCCCCACAGCGTCTACGAGGTCAGGTCGTAGACGCTGTAACCCCCCACAGCGTCTACGAGGTCAGGTCGTAGACGCTGTGGCCCCCCACAGCGTCTACGAGCAGAGGTCGTAGACGCTGTGACCCCCCACAGCGTCTACGAGGGTGGGTCGTAGACGCTGAAATGAAGCACTGTGATACCAAATCCGAAATTAGCGTAAGTAAAAAGCACAAAAACATCTTACCTCATCACACCGGAAGCGTTCTGCCGTGCTTTCTCGCAAACGCCTGACCAGTTCCGCAATTTCTCGCGACTGCTGCGATTTCTCGTCTGTCAGAGCCTTAATATTGCGCTGCTGCGTGTCGAATTGATTGTTCTTCTCGGTCAGGTCCCGCGTGCGCTGGTCCAGCTCCCGTTGTAACGCCTCACACTTCCGTTGCACCTCGTTGCGCTTCGACTGCGTGTCGGAAAGGTCCGCTTCCAGTTGGATGCTGCGCTCTTGCAACCCACGCTGCTCTTCGTCCAATTCGCACTGTTGGTGAACATTTTCATTTATTTTTGATGCTCTACCACGTCTTCCTCTTCGCTTACAAAGCGCAAATGCGTGGTACATACGCATGGCAAAATGGCATGAAAACCGGAAGACAACGACAAGCTTGTGTCGAAAATAAGTACCTGAATCTTGTCGATTGCGTCGTACTTTCGTTTCAGAAAAGCCATCTTGTCTTCCAGCTCCAAGACTTTCGCCTCCGCTTCTTTTCGTTTCCGTCGCTCTTCCGCCCCGACCTCTCTCTGCTGGTCCAGCTGCGATTGGATGTTCTCAGCGTGCCCAGAGAGTTCCTGCACCCGCTCCAAGTGCATCTGCACGCGGCCCTCGGTGTCCAACTGCGTTTTGGTCGCGCGCAGCTCGTGCTCACCAACCTGCACCTCTAAGCGGGTGTGGTGACCTTGATGTTATGTGTGGTATTTGCCGTTTTGGAAAAGCAAACGCATATTGCAAGTTCGAAGGGGGCGTGTCCGATGTGAGACGATGTGGTCGCACAAATTTGGTGACACGTGGGTGATCTGAAGAGATTAGGTAAGTACCTCGTGCTTCCGCAAGGCTTCGGTGTGTTTGCGCCAGCTCTGACACCAAGTGGTCGTGCTTCTTTTCCAGCTCGAGCTTTTGGTCGCGAAGATTAGACAGGTGCTCTTCCTATCAAGTGCAAAAATGTCTGGGTCTGGAAGAATTCACGTTTGTCATGCTTGTCTGGCATGACTCTTAAATCTGTCATGCACGTTACCCAAGAGCTCCGTTTTTCTGTGATGCAGAAGCGCAGTTTGTCATGCAAAATAGGCAACACCTAGGAGCTCAGAAACTTGTCATGCTGGGCCAGCATTTGTAGCCTCATCATGAGACGCCACCCAACATCACAAGTTTCCAGACCCAGACATTTTTACTTTTGATACTTCCATGGTTCCGTTGAGGCTTTCGTGGTGCTGCGCGCGCCGCTCGTGTTCTTTTCGCTCCGTCATTTCGCGCTCGAGATTACCGCGGACTGATTGGAAACAAAAAGAGTGCCATTTAGAAAATCCGCTAGACGTGGGTGACGACCAGAGAAGTCTGTTCCAAGGATAAAGCAACAAGCAAAAATTACACAGCTTGCATGACGCAAGTTTTTAATACCTTGCTCTGCCTGCAAGCGAAATTCGTCGCGATCGCGCTCCACCACCGCCAGCTCGCCTTTCAGCTTCGCCAAATCAGTTTTCATGACGTCGAGCTCCTCGCGTGCCTGGCCGTAGTCGTACAGCAGCCGCTGTTCCACGCCTATTTCGTCTGCGTGCACTGCCAAGGCCCGGTTCAAAATGGACACCTCTTTCGTCAGATTTTCGTTATCCGCTCCCAGTAGCGTGGCTTCCTCCTGCGCCTCTGCCTCGTGCTTCTGACACAGCTCCAGGTCCTTCTCCAGTTGCTCAATTTTCAGCAGGTTCTTCGATGTCTGTTGCAGCTGGAAAATCCGCGCCTCCAACTTCCGATTTTGCTGCTGCGCGGTGGTCAGAGAGCTCTCCGTCTCCCGCTGCGCCTGCTTCAACTTTTCGACGGATTGCAGCTGCGTGCCGAGCTCCTTCTCCAGCCGCATATTCTGCTTCCGCAGCACAACCGTCGCTTCCCTACTTTCCGAAAATTTCGCGTCGCGCCGCTGCAACGCCTCCTCCGCTTTGTTCAGCTGCGTGTGCAGCCCTTCCACGTGTTTCCCGTGTTGGGCTTTTATCGACTCCACTTTCGTTGCCAGAGAGGTTTCCGCGACGGCAGCGGCCGGAGGCAGGATCCCCGTGGCCGCGCTCGTCGCGTGGGCAGCTAACCTCGCCACCGAAGACCCCGCTGCTACGCCGCCAGCGACGCTCTTGAACAGTCGGCTGCTCGCACTCATGGTGCTGGTGTTTAAAAGATTTCCTCTTTGCTGCAAATTGTTGTTCATGTTCATCTGGTTCCCAGAAGTCGGTGCTGAGCTGTTCCGCGTCGTGACGTTTGACGTGCCCAAGGAGGATGTTCCCAGCAAGCTTCGGTTTTCCACCGCGGCTCTACTGCTGTTCCCAGCGGTCTTCGAGTTAGACGCAGATGAACTGCTTTCCTTGCTTTCCAAAGTCGCGTGCAATCGAGCCTGGCTCCGGAGGAGACTCGCGCCCCTTGTCGATGGCTTCGCCAGCGGGGCGTTCTTCGCACTGCTTGAGGGAGACGCTGGCTCGTAAGTTAACGACGCCGTCCGTCTTCGCCCTGCTCCGAGTTCCAATCGCTCCTGCACATCGTGGTGGTCATCCAAAAGCTGGCTCAGCTCCGCAGCGTCGAGAATGGACGAGCCCTCGACGTTGAGCAAGGGCGAGGTTGGCTTGTTCGTATTGCCCTGCTGCTCGACAGACTCCTTACTGTCTCTCTCCGCTGCATGCTCCCCCTCGGAAAGAAGTCGCCCGCGGCCGCCTTGATGATGTGAATGCAGACTCGTCGAACCAAGTAGTAGTTCCTCATCTTGATCTGAGGACCCTGCCACCAGCCACGGTTTATTCGTCGCATCATGTTGATGCAACTTCGAGCTCGAACTCGTCACCGTCTGCAAATTTGCGTCAAAGGACCACAAGTCGTGGCTGTTCCGTAAGACACTGGATTCCGCACTCTTTCGCATCGACTGCGAGGCTAGTGAGCTGTCGTCGTGCTGAAAAGCACCCGTACCGAACGTGGGGCTCCGACTGCTACTAGACGACGCGATAACCGGCGGGGCGGGCCGGGATTGTTCTCTACTTCCTTCACTGTAGATGGAAGATTCGCCGGGTAACGGCGGCGGACCTCCCTTGTTTGGAGACATGATCAACAGCCACTAGAAGGCCTTTGCTGTTTTATTGAAACTGCTTGGCGTTCGATCTATCTCTTCCGTATGTATCTAGCACAATAGAAATACTTTGGTGTCTGCGCGACTGTGAAAATGAACTGCGCTCACTGATCAAAACACTCGTCCACCGATATCTCGCTTTCGCATCCACAAACAGAAGACACTGAACTACAGCAGTGTCTCAGCAATGACTGTTGTCCAGTGTAACTACATTCGCGAAGATTTCGTTTCCAAAATTCCTCGATAGACTATACTGCTTGATTCATTGATTGCAAAGAGAACAGATCCCGTGCATCAACGGCAGCATGCAGTACTGTCCGTCGAGGCGGGCAGTTTTTCTTTATGGAAAAAAAAATTCCTCCTGTAGTACTGCTACCACGTGAAGGTAGGAAAATAGCGATATTTGGCAACGTCGTGTCTCAACACACTCTTCAGAACCACTCTCCAAAGTCTGCGTTTATTTCTGTAAGCAGCTGCGGTATCCCGTGCCCGCTCGCTACCTACGCGTCGACATCTGAGTGAAACGACTTACTGTACTCAGGCGGCTGCAACTACTGCCAGGTCGGCTTTGCAGATCGGCATTCGGATTGTAGTTCGGAATGTCACCCTTCATTACTTCGGGGAAACCCTTGCAGGCCTGTTTTTTTTTCGTGTGAGTGCGAAAACGAAAACTGGAGGCCAAAACGAAATGCATTGCTTCTTCCGAACTCACAACAGAAAAGCCCACCTGCTGCTCCAAACAGACAGCAAGTACCTCTTCGAAGCCACCGCTGAGCCCGTAGACATTGGTGAATCCCTTTTCGACCAGCGTTGTGGCTATTCTAGCGGTTGCCTTGTCGTCGGTGTCGTAACTGCAAAGAATTGGCGTTCTTGTTTCGGAAGTGAAACGAAGGCTTCGACGCCAGACACAGACTGCAGTTCGACGCCAGACACGAAATAAGGATCACAATCAGACTGTGTTACAGTTGTAGAGTGACGTACTAACTTGCTTCAAGAACGAAACCATTATCACAAAAAATAATGATACACGACAAGCCGTTTTTCTGGTCTTGCCTTGAAGGCGTAGAGCTCCGCGCTGATCTTGTCGTGGCTCAGGAGCTGCTTCGGATAGGATTTCGAGTGCAGAACGTGGCATTTGTCGTACTCCTCGGGGTCTCGAACGTCAAGGATCAGGAGTGTGTCGGACTTTACCTGTGAATTATCAGAAGATATTTTATTTGACGTCTGCTTCGGAGGAGCATGCAAGATCCTGAGTTTTGCAAAGCGAACAACGTCCCGAACATACAAGTAGAAACAAACGACGAATTAATTATACTGGTGTTTCTGCGTCTACGACTACCGACTGCCCGGGTGGGTACGAAGACCCGGTTGTTGGCGTGGCACCCAGGGGTGTACCCAACGCGTAGACGCTTTCCGCGGCTTGGTAGTGATCTCGAATGTGCTGCGAAAGCGTTTGCATTCGGACGCGTTTGAAAAGTTCGTCTCTCCTCCGGACGACCAGCCGGTCGCTGTCCTGCTTCGCTGCTTTGCTCACACTATTGCCCGTGTCAGTCACCCCGCTGACGTAGGAATACCTTTGTATACATAGATCGTTATTTGCTCGTCATTCGCACTAGTTGCAGGTATTGACTTTGAAATTGTAGTAAATCGTTTGCTTAATACAGGCAAACAAGGCAAGCAAACAAGCACAGAAGTTTCTTTAGTCCATTACTTTAGTCCATGGTTCTTTGGCTTCTTTTCGAATGCCTTCGTTTGCGGAAGGGTTCCCGACTTCAGCGACATTTTATTCGCAGGCCAAGGCGGCAAAACTAAACCAGTCGTCAAGTTCTCGTATCAATTCTGTGAAACAATTTTACATTTTCGAAGTAAGACCCTATGTTGCGCGTACGGTATTCTCGGACGAGATGAATAAACGGAGTAGGCGTGGGCCTGCGGGCCTAAATTCCGGTGGGTTGGTCGGTTGGTTGGTTGGTTTTGGACAGACGACATTTGACCGAATTTACGAAGTATGGAGACAAATCCCTGCTCGCTCTTGGCGAAGAGCGGAAAACCATGCACCTGTCGCGAAGACAATAATCTCCTCGAAAAGATTATTGTCTCCGATTATTGTCTCACTCGCCGATACGTAGAGGTTGGAAATTGAAAATCGGAGCCCTGCCCTCGGGGGTGGGGCGGCTCCACGGTTTTGAATTTAGAAGACAGCCGCAACGGCATGGAGGGCGAAACACGATAAGGGGGTGGTCGGGGCGCGCGGCGCACCTGCCTCCCTACCGGGGCTGCAGCCCGCCCCTGCGAGGCAGAGTTCGATGTGTCGACGCAACACAGACACAAATCTGTGTTGCGCGGGCGCCAATCTGTGTTGCGCGCGCCACAAATCTGTGCTGCGCACAGCTCGCCGCAGACACAAATCTCCGCTGCGCGCAGCACAAATCTGTGTCGCGTGCAAATCTGTGCTGCGTGTTGCGCACAAATCTGTGTTGCGCGCAGCTCGCCGGAGACACAAATCTGCGTTGCGTGGACGCAAATCTGTGTCGCGCGCAGCGCAAATCAGTGCTGCGCGCAGCTCGCCGCAGACACAAAGCTGCGTTGCGTGGACGCAATCGGAGCTCCGGGGGGCCTCGCGAGAATTTGCGCGAGATAGAAAGAGGTCGGGGCTCCAGTGCTGCAGTTTTCCCCAGCCGCGACCTGCGTTTCCTCAACCCAAGCAAAACACATTTGGGAAATAGAGACAAACTCGCGCAAAATTTGGATCAGCCCCCACTTGGTCATGCCGAGCGGGGGCTTCTTGCGCAACCCCTTGGCTGCGCGAGTCCCTTGCTTGCAAGCCCCCTGCTAATAAATTGGGCCCCTGGGGAGGTCGGCAGGCGTGGCCACCGGGTGGCGCGCGCCGACCCCTGCCAAGGCAGGTGGGCGGGCAGGGTCGGCAGGCGTGGCCAAAAGGCAACGCACGCTCGCCCCACCCCCTCCCCCCCCCGCTGGCTTGGCAGGTGGGTTGGTAGGTCGGTAGGCGTGGCCAATAGCCAACACACGCTCGCCCCCCCCCCACTTGGCAGGTGGGTGGGTAGGAAGGTCGGTAGGCGTAGCCAATAGGCAACGCACGCGCACCCCGCCCCCCCCCCCCACCGGGCAGGTGGGTGGGTAGGTCGGTAGGCGTGGCCAATAGGCCGCGCACACTCGCCCCACCCCCCCACCTGCCTCCCTGGTGGGTCGGTGGGTTGGTAGGTCGCTCGACAGGCGTGGCCAATAGGCAGCGCACGCTCGCCCCACCCACCCACCAGACAGGTGGGTGGGTAGGTCGGTAGGCGTGGCCAAGAGGCAACGCACGCTCACCGCCCCCGCCCACCAGCGAGGTGGGTGGGTAGGTCGGTAGGCGTGGCCAATAGGCAACGCACGCTCGCCCCACCCGCCCACCAGGCTGATGGGTGGGTAGGTCGGTAGGCGTGGCCAAGGGGCAGCGCACGCTCGCCCCACCCACCCGCCAGCGAGGTGGGTGGGTAGGTCGGTGGGCGTGGCCAATAGGCAGCGCACGCTCGCCGCACCCACCCACCAGGCTGGTGGGTGGGTAGGTCGGTAGGCGTGGCCAATAGGCAGCGCACGCTCCCTCGCCCCACCCACCCACCCATCAGGCTGGTGGGTTGGTAGGTCGGTAGGCGTGGCCAAGGGGCAGCGCACGCTCGCCCCACCCACCCACCAGCGAGGTGGGTGGGTAGGTCGGTAGGTGTGGCCAATAGGCAGCGCACGCTTGCTCGCCCCACCCACCCACCAGGCTGGTGGGTGGGTAGGTCGGTAGGCGTGGCCAATAGGCAGCGCACGCTCCCTCGCCCCACCCACCCACCAGGTGGTGGGTAGGTCGGTAGGCGTGACCAGTAGGCAGCTGTCTCTGGGTGGAAAGGGATAGGTAGGTAGGTGGGTCGGTGCGATCACGGTACTACAATGAATCGAAAAGGCGCCACGGTACTACAAAGGCGCCAGGTAGGTGGGTAGGTAGGCAGCTTCAACAGTAATAGTAGACGAATCTCAGAAAAACACAAAACACAATGCAGCGGGTTCGGTCAAATGTCGTCTGTCCAAAACCAACCAACCAACCGACCAACCCACCGGAATTTAGGCCCGCAGGCCCACGCCTATTGAATAAACGGTACTACCCAAGTTCTCAAATCAGGAACCTGTTCTTTCGCAACCCTCAACTTCATCTGTGCGTACAGCAGTTTTGATGCCCAGTTTTCCTTTGCCCTCGAACATGCACTTTGAAGAGGAAAAAAAAGCTTCGCCACTTTTGCAGAAGACGATTTCTTCTTTCTCGCTGCAGTCACGGTACGTTGTACTTAACCTTTTTGCAAGAAGTGCACTGTGTTCATTGAAAAATCTGGAAGCGGAAAGAGTGTTCAGTGGTGTCTGCCTTCGCTTGCAAAAGCATAGTCACATCAACGTCTGCTCCAGCGGGCTGCAATCCTGCGCGCACAAGGTCCAGCGCGCCGGGATCACATTCCAATGTCCTGAGCACTGCCGCCGCCCGCATGACCGTGCAGGGATTTGGCTTTTTCTCGCCTCCCAGCGACACCGTTTGGTAGCCTGCGATGACGCCCCACAAGAAATCCACCGGCCCGATCGCGGACGTTCTACTCAGACACGTGAACCCGTGGGCGCATATGGCGTTCTCAACTGTTACACGATTTGTCATGCAAATTTACGGCCAAGATCGCCGCGATTAAGCTGCTTCACATGACAAATATCCGAAGGGCTAAACAGCATCCAAATCTGCGCCAAATCTGTAATGCAAAAGACGCAATCTTCCCCCTTTCACTTTCGCCGTTCTTGCATTACAAATTCATGGAACAGATGAGAATGTAACATTTGAGAACTCCATAGCGCACTTCTGCGCCTTATGCTTCCGGTTCACCTTTTGCTCCTTGAAAAGCCAGTCGGCAATCGCTTCTTCGGTGACCATCCGCCCCCTCTCCGGAATCTGTTCGTAGACCGTCAGAGCCTTGTCCCACTGCAGGGGTGTCAAGGGAACCGACTGCCACGTCCTCCACAACAGCGGCACCACCTGCTGCACGCGGGCACGCTCGCGCAGTTCCGACGTGCGGTAGCCGCGCGCCGTGGCCGCCTCCTGCGTAATCTTCGCGAGTGTCTGCAGCGGATTCGTGACCACATTCACACTCCGCCCACGTGCGGGCGGCTGGAACTGCCCATGATTCCGGGAGGGGCGGCCGCGGGACGCACTCCGCTCGAGGTGCGAATTTGTGGTGGAGATCCGCCGGGGGGGCGGCCCGTGGTTGTGACATTGACTGTAGGACTCCGACACCCGCCCGTGCCGCTCTGGCGTGCTCGGCGGCGGTACATTGTGCAATGGACGCGCGGACGACGAGGAAACGGAGGCCTCCTCTAGAACAGCCTCGTCGTGTAAGTGTACTCCTTCCGCTGCTGGTGTGTTTCTGGTCTGGTTAATCGGCGTCACAGACGTGAGCAGCATCGGGTCACCAGACCGTTCTGGCTGTGCAGATTGATGTAGTTGGTCTCCTGACAACTCATACTGGTTGTAGTTGGATGAACTACTTCCTCCGCCGGCGTTATTCAAGGTCGGGGTGTGCTGGTTGGAAACCGGTGCACTGCGCAAGGAAACCTTATCACCCGGTCGCTTCGAGGAGGAGTTTGCCCCGGCGGGCGGCCGGGACGCGGGAGCGCTGGGAGTCGTCGTTATGGTAGATCCGTGTGCTGCTGGGAAGTGCATCTGTGCAGCTTTACCGTGCTGGTGTTGCTGTGCCGCGACCTTTTCATGATCTTCGGAGACTTGCTGCAATCCCCCGTCGTGCTGAACTATGTTGTCCGGCTGTGCGGGATCCGCAACCACTGGCTGCGGTTGCTTCGAGGGCGTGCTGGTATAGTGCGCTGGCGCTTGTTGCGTTTGCAGAGCAGCGGCAGAGGAAGCCGAAGTGGAAGTAGTCGTTGCTGCCAGAAAGAGAGGGTTTTGAGAGAAATCCCAGCTGGTCAGCGAGTCTAACGCCAAATACGGTGCCCCCTGCTCGTCCGCACGGACTGTTGGCTTCATCTCCTTGTCCATTGGGAAAAGAAGTTCCGACATTGCGCTCGCTTCCGTTTTTTTCTCTTGCTCTCCTCCAGTCCTGGAGTTCCGCCTTGGCGTCAACTCAAACAGCTGCTCGGGCCAACGCGAACCCTGTCTGCGCCGCGCCTTCTCGGATAGCTGCAGCCGATTTATCGCAGTAGAAACTGCGCCACGATTAACGTCGCCGCTCCCTGCGCCGCCGTCACTATCTGTGGCTTTGCTTCCCCTGTCGCCATCCGCCTCCAGCAAGTCGCTCAACAGCGCCCACGCCTCTCTGGGTGCCCGAGTGGCGATGCGCCGGACCCTGATTCGCAGCGTCGTCCGCTTCTCAGATACCAGATGTAGCATCGCGGCCTCACTTTCGACTAGTCCGCCGACGTCGCAGCAGGAGTTCAAGCTTATTTCTAGCGGTAGAGTCCACGATATCCCGGATTTTGGAAAGGATTTTTCACCGCTCCGGATTATTGCACGAACTCGAGGATTTTTCTTCACAAAATCCAGCGCTGTTGTGCTTGATGTAGCACCACTTGTTGAAGCCCCATCCACTGCAGGAAGAGATGAAGTTGTCGAGGCCATAGAAGCAGATGGATAGAACAGTTCTTGCAAGAGCATTCTTTCCTTGCTGCTTCCTTTTTCCGGATGGGGGAGCACGACAGGTTTTGTAAACGCGTTTAGTTGCTCCAGCGACTGCAGCGAAGATGAAACTCCGGTCGGCAGACAAAGAAAACCACTCGGAAGCAGGGCCGCAAGACTCATGAACTCGAATGCGCGGTTCAGCAGGTCGAAGAGACGCCCGCCGAAGGGTTCGCCGAAACGGCGGTCACATTCTTGGCGAAAACCGAGATGCGCGTTCACGTGGCGGTTTTCGTGAAGGCCACGAAGAAGAATGATATTCTGCGGGTACAGAATCTTCAGCGAGAACAGAAGTGCGAGCTGTGTCGGGTGTTACGTTTCAGAATCCGATATTAAGGGCTTTAGCCGGTTATGTTTCATCGACTCTACAAACTTACATAGATTGATGAAACAAGGAACATGCACCCTCAGCTGCAAAATTCGAAATCAATGCGACTAAAAAACTCGTTTACAAATGTGCTATACATAGCTCTAGTACCAGGTCAACTTGATTCGTTCCCCGGTCCACATAGTCGCCGAGAAAAACATACTGCGTGTAACTCAAGTCTCCCGACTCCAACTCCGGCACTGGACAGCCGAAGGACTGGAAGAAACTCAGGAGGTCCACCAGCTGGCCGTGCAACCCGCCGAAGATTTTCACGGGTAAATGCTGACCCACCGTCAACACCGTGTCCTCGTGCTGCAAAATCCGCAGCATATGCTGCGTCAGCTCTTCCATCTGGGGCGCTTTCAAGTTCAAACAGGGAAAGGTCTTCCTGCTCGCGCTAGTGTAGTGGCTCCAAATCGAAGAGCTGGACGAGGACGAGGACGAGGACTGCGTGGAATTACTAGAATTCCCCTGGCTCTGCTGGCACCCGGACGGCGAAAACAGCTGTGACACGATGTGCTGCGCGATCGCCTGCGCCTTCACGTGCGGATCCAGCCGCACGGCACCAATTTGGTTCGCGACATAGGGGAGAACACCATCCGCTGGGTACGGCTTCCTTTGCTCGGATGTTGATACACAACTGGAGTTCTTTGCATCACCTCCCTGCTCGGTCGTGCTGTTCATCACACAAAGACGTTGTGAGAGGGCTGAATTCATTTTCTCCGAATTTATTCTACTAAAAAGTTCCCGACAGTCGCTCTCGAGCGGCAGCTGCAACAGAAACGGCTCCCAGCAGTCAAAGTCTAACAGCAAAGACTGGTCCAGAGGGTGTACAATATCCCGGTCGTGCTTACTTCTCCGCGGTTTCAAGATCGATCGGTGAAACCGAAACAAGCGCGACGTGCCCCGGAGTTGCTCGCTGTGTATGAACTCGTAGAACTGCTTGAATTGGATGGAAGAGAATTGTAGGCGAAAATTTCCATGTGGTGTTGCGGACGAGAAACCACTGCTCTCGCTACTTTTCTCCTCCACCACCTTATCCTTTAGCAGCCCGAGCTCTCGCGCTTTCTCAAGCGCTTGCTTCCTCTTCTTCGCCGATGAAGTTGACGTGCTGGAAGATGATGAAGATGCTGCAGTAGTTACTACTGCCTGCGTCGGTTGTTGCCCAAAGGTCGTGTCTGCTATGAGTCGGGAAAATTCCCCGAATTCCAGACTGCCCGACCGGTTGAAGTCGTAAAAGTCGAAAATGTAGAAACTCCTCTCGTACCCCGTGAAGGAGTTCAAAATGTGCACCGTCCCCGGGTCCGCCGCACAGCAGCCAAGGTAAAATTCCTCGAAGGTAAGAAAATCGTCCTTGTCGCGGTCCATGGCGTGAAAGTAGCGCTCGTAACAGTCCGCGGAACAGGCCTCATACTGCTGCAGAAGCCGACAGAAATTTTCGAGCGAGAGCACCGGCTCGGATAGGGATGTGGAGGAAGGCGGCTTCTCGGAGAACCTTGAAATTGAATAGGATTTTGTTTGCAATAAAAGATTGATGTTCAAGAGTGATTCTTTGCGATGATGTGGCATTGATTGGAAACAACGGAATGGAAACACATTCTAGCACGTTTGATGCAAGGGAAAAATTTTACCTGAGAAACTTCCGGCGCAGCTCTTCCTCCTCAGTCGGGCCGACTTTTGCTTCTTCGAAAAAGTTTTGCGCGTTCGAAGATGGGAGCTCAACGGGCGGAGACGGCTTAGCCGCTTCATCCACGCCTGGCTCTACTGCCATCGTCTTGCGAGCGCTACTTACTATGCTGAAGAGATTTCGAATCTCACAGCGACTGAAAACCTACATATTAACGGCCAAACGCACTATAATTACTTGATACTTCTTGTGATTTTGTTGATCTGTGCAAAATGTCTAGACGTCAAAAGTTGTCTACGAGAGAGCCAATAATTCCGTACTAGAGATCGTGAAAGGAACAAACAAAACGACAACGACATTTCAAGTTCCAACATCAGAGTATTATGAGATTGCGGAAATGGACTTGGAAACGAGTTTTGGAAAAGAGAACGACAAGGAGAATCAGCATCATGTTGGTGGTACTTACTCGAACTTCGAACAGCGAAAATCACTTGCATTTTTCCCCAAGCTGCAGGTGCCCCATCGTGCGACCGCGACTGCTCCTAGGCAGTGAATAGAATGCTGACTTGGATAGCGGATGAAAAATTCACAAGAAACAACGACTAAGTGTACAATAAAAAGCGTACAGGTTTTAGAGTAGTGATCATGAAATCTCCATCCCAAACAATAGAGCTACAGGAAAAGAAGACAAAATAGGTACAGGGAAAAGAATTTCTAAAGTGAAAAAAAGAATCAACTCCTATGCGAAAAGAATATTACTGACTCATATACAATTCTATGTGAAAATAACTGTGCAAAATCTGTAAAAGTTAAACGAATAATGAGACTTCTCTACGAATAGAGCTACGTCACGGTGAATAGAAGAATGTAAAAAAAGGTAAAAAACTGTGACTGTCTGATAGAAGAACGTCTGATAATAAACCCACCATAACTTTTCTCCGGATTCGCCAACTTTGTCCAGGATAGAGTTGTGCATTTTCCTCTAACTGGCCGAACCTCCTTCACGCCATGCATAAAGTTAAAAACTGTTTATTTTTTCCCACGTGTAAAGAACATCAACGAGACTACTTATTTTTTCGGGTGACTACAAGTAAGATTCCTCTTGAAACTGCGACTTAAAAAATGTACAGGACGAAACATTACTGAACCTCCCCTTAACGATCAAAGAAAGAGAAACGGAACGATTTGCATTGATACCACACTAAAGTTGAAATCGAAACAGAAGAAGGATGCAAAACTTCTACATCGATCATACAAACAAACTTTGTCTTGAATTCGTTTTTCCCTTCCAGCGAGATGTTGACCTCCTGAAGAATCCCACTGCTGAACTGAACTCACGCCCCACGCGTGGACAGGAAGGGTTTCTTGGCCATGGGCGAGGTGCCGAGGATGAAGTTCTGCTGTTTGACTTGGAACTGCTCGGAACCGTTCGCTCCGTTCGGGTTCGCGCCCATCCGTCTCGGCTGTTCATCATTCAGAGTGTACGTTTCGTCGTCGTGGGGACTGACAAACTTTACGTAGGGATTCCTTCCCGTCGGCCCATTGCGGACACTGGCGAACTCCGCGCGCCGGCGCAGCGACTCTTGCAAATTCACTTCCTGTTGCTGCGAAGTGAGGGTTGCCTGCTGCTGGCTGATGTTATTTCCTTGCTGAAACTGCATGTTGTTGTTTCCTGCGAAGCTCGAGGAGCTGGCGGTTTGCTGATTGTAGTTCAGCATGTTGAGGTGCGTCGGCTGCTGGTACTGCTGATGATGTTGATGACCACTACCGTTCGACGCCATGAAATTGTTCCCGCCCTGCATGTTCATGCTGAACAAGTTGTTGTTCGACGAGGAAGCGGCAGCAGCCGTGTTTCCCATCTGCTGGTCGTTGCCTTGCTGCTGAAAAAACTGGTTGATCATCACATTGTTCTGCTGCGCGTGCGTGGCCACGACGCCCTCCATAGGAACGCCGGCAGTGTTGTTTCCGGTGTTGGTTCCAATGTTGCTAGCCTGCTGCTGAGAAGCGGCCGTTGTGCCGTGGTAGCTGGGTTTCGCGAGGGAAAAAGGGTTCTCGCGGGAAACCATCGCGGGCGGGGCCATACCACAGGACTCATCACGACTCACATCACCGCTGGGCTGACGCATTGAATGCCAGGAGTTAGAGGAGTTCGCGGTAGGCTGTATTGCGTTTTTTTTTTGCCGATTGGTATCGACAAAAACAAATGAAATGTAGTTTGCATCAAATTTTTACAACAGTAGATCAGCTTTAACATTTACATTCGTGATCGTGCCCCATCTAAGAAGGAAAAAACAAGTATACCTGACTCGCGTGCGCAGCGGCAGAGAAATGGTCCTTGACCATGCAGTGGGTGTGCATGCGGTTCATGACGAACAGCGGGATCTCCTCCGCGTTGGACTGCGCGATGGTCAGTTCCTGGCCTTCGGAGTGGGAGGATCGGTGGAACATGGCCTTCAACCCGGTGTAGTTCGGAATCTCCGCAAATTCCAAGGTCTGGCAGTACAGCACAAAGTACAGCAGCTTTTCTGGGACCTGGATTTTTTTTAACGTATATTTTCGGGGAGCGATATTAGTCACCCCCATGCTCAGGAATGTTGTCAACTTCTACCTTCTAAAATCGTCCCCCCGCATTCAACAGTCAGAAGCGATACAGCCTCGAACCATGTTCACGAACCATGTTCACATTCTCATTCAGCGACTTTATCATACCTTTTCACGATTCAGCTTCGGCAAATTCCCCTCGATGAGATCGTCCGGGCGCGTAGTCATGGTGGTTTGGAACAAGCCCAAATCGCACTTTTTGTCCGGCTTCTTGGAGTTCTGCACGGCAGACCGGCGGATAAAAACCTTGGTTTCGTCGTTGGTGCGCTGCAGCGCAGCGGCATACGGGGTCGCGTTACGGGACGGGTTGGCAAGAATCTCCGCAATGTCGACCTGGAGAGAAGTAGTACGAAATTTTTCTTCACTAAAACTAACTCGATAAGAATCATGTCGGCGGGACCTTGCTACATTCATCAGACGAATAAGTAGGCAGATAAATTATTCGCTACGTGCACTCACAATTATACGCACCAACACACTCTGAAAAAGGAGGAGTCAAATATTACCTTGTCCTCAAACAGCACAGACAGCATCTCCCAGTAGGGTTCCAGAACCGCGGACCTCCAGGCCTTGAAACTACGGTTACCCATCACCAACCACAAAAGCAGGTAGGACAAAGATTCCAAGTCATCGCGACGGGATGGCTGGCAACGGTACCTGATAATGAAATGGTGAAACCTTCTTCAAGTTTTGCACCTTTATGAATGAGAACCTTGTGCTGACAAACAGCCAACCAGGCGAAGAGAACTTCTCAACCGACCAACATGATCTCAACAAAAATCCTACCTAGACGCCCTGGAACTGTAATCCATGCTGCCACAGAACCGGCAGTGCCTCTTGGGCTTGGTATTTTCGGCGACGAAGTAGCTCATACCCAGGTCGATCAGCGCCAGTTGATCAGAATTGGTGACCACGTCCGTTTCCAAGGTGCGATTACGATCGCGAAAGACGACGTTCTGCGGCTTCACGTCGTGGTGGAGGACCTTATCAAATGTAAAAATGTCTGGGTCTGGAAGAATCATGGTGTTTCTGCATGACACAGAAGGTCTGGCATGGAAGCTCTAGCATCACAGGCTTCGAGAAGCTTCCGCAATGCCGAATCCGCATGACAATCCCCCATTTTGGTGACAGAAAGTGAGCAGCTTTTGCTGCCTATGCATCAGAGATTTTTGTGTGTTCTGAAATGCGCATCACAAGTTAGTACATCCTTCCAGACCCAGACATTTTTGCATTTGATAAACCTTCACCTTGTGCAACTGTTCCAACACTTCGATCATCTTCTCGGCGATTATCCACAGTAAATTTCCTGTGCACGTACAAACGCGGTTTCTGCATGACAAAACTTGCCTTCGATCCTAGTCCAGCATGACAAGTTGGCCTCTGCAAGTTAGCGAAATTTGTCATGCATTTTGTACATGTACAGGAAATTTACATTGCATAGCGATCACGTAGATCGAACGCAGCTCCATGGTACTGCCACGGTTCGGGACCTAGTGTCGTGCCATTTTATTTTTGAACACAGAAAGGTAAGTTTAATCTCACATCGAAAGCGAAGGGTAAGTTTAATCTCACAGTATTCAATTCTTGCAAAAAAACAGAGCTAAAAAATGTAATGAAACGAGCAGATCGAGTTTGTTTCATACGTTCAATCCCTGTTCGATCTGCTGTGCGCGCTTGTTGCAGACCGCCTGCAGCTATGGATTGCAAAAATGTCTGGGTCTGGACGATTCTGCGACTTGTAATGCTGTCTTTGGATTCCAAAAGAATCTGTATTGCATGACCAGCAACAGGACTCCAGTTTGTGTATACGCGGAGAGGGCATTTCTCATGCGGAATAGGCATTAGGAAGCTACCTAAAAATCTGTGTTGCTAGATCATGCATTAGAGACATCAATCATCATACAAAATATGCATGACGAGTCTGCATTCTTCCAGACCCAGACATTTTTGCATTTGATAGCAGCATCATGCGAATGCTGGGTCCGAACAGCTCGAGTGCCAGGTAGTCCGGCTTGGGATCCTGCTCTGAGTGCGAGCCGTGCAGCGCAGCAATTCTGGTGTCGAACAGACGCGGGATGGCGGACACACGGTGCTTCACGCAGTGACTGTAGATCGCGTACTCCTTCTCGAAACCCTTGTTCTTCTGCGCTGTGCGGTTGCCGACCTTGAGAGCGCACAACTCATTGTTCACGCGATCAAACGCTTCGTAGACGACGCCTTCACCACCAGAACCCAGGAAATTGCGAATGTCGAACCGGGCCGTACCAAGATCCGGGATTTCGTGTTCCTAATTTTTTACTTTGGAACAGTAAATCGTTGATTTGTCACGCATGAATTTTGCGACATGCTTCACTCGCGCAAAAAGGAGAAACAAACGAGGGGCTAGGATACATGGTAGAGCTCAAGAATTTATTTGTACCCACAAGTCTATCGCTTGATTCGCCAAGGAAAAAAATGGAGGAAGAAGCTGTGTTCACAAACACCCATTCTGTTAGTAAGTGGAAGTACTTACCTCATGCTCCACCATCGCTGCGGCTGCAGAAGCAGCCCCACCGTGCTGATGGTGCTCCGGCGTCGGTGCGCTGCCGTTCGTGTGACCCGTGTACAGTTTGCTAGGGCTATCGGACAGGAGCACACGACTGGACCGGTCCACGTTGAACAAGCCCGAGGGGGTGTTACCCGCGGCGTACATCGTTTGCTGCGGTCCGAGCTGCACAAAGTTCTTCGACGGAGTCTGCATCTGCTGCTCATTCTGCTGCGGTTGTTGATGTCCTCCCTGCTGCACCACGACTTCGTTGTTTTTCGACGGCAGAGATTGCAGCGACTCCTTCGAAGACGGCGCTTTGGTCGTGTCGCCACTGATCGTGCGCTTGTTCTGGTGCGACGCACTGGCGTTGCGGGAGAGGCTGGGCGCGCCCCACTTCTGAATCAACGACTGCGTCGCGTTCATTTTGCTTCCACTGGCGTTCTATGCATTGCAAATATGCCTGGGTCTGGATGGATTCGAATTTGTGATGCAAATTCTACATCATGACAAAATCTGCCATGTTGCATGGTCAGCAAAAGGTCCCGCTTCCTGTTACAGAAAAAGAGCATTTGTCATGCGGATTAGGCATCGAGATTACCTACTCGGGATCTGTAATGCTAGGGCTTGCAAACTAGACAATCCGGGCTAGGCAAAAACTGCATCACAAATGTCCGCACTCCTCCAGACCCAGACATTTTTGCATTTGATACGTTCAGCGTCGGAGTGGATTCGACGTGCGCACGGCGCTTCCTCCTTCCGGAGGGCGAAACCGAGGGAGAGGTGGAGGGTAACCGGGTTGTAGTTGTCGTGGTGCTCACGACCCGGGCCGGACTGTTTGCTTGGCGGTTGCGACGCGGGCTCTTGCTCAGCGTGTTGATTTTCTGGCTGCTCTGCGACCCGCGATGCAGGTTGGTGCCGCTGTTCTGTCGGCTCGAGGATCCGAGTGTCGCCTTATTCGGGGTGGTGGAAGACCTGTTCGTCTGCGTCGCCTGCTTTGGTTCGTCCTCTCGGTTTCTAAAGTAGCGCGTCTGCAGAAACCACATTGGATTTTCTAAAAAGCGGTTGGCATCGCAAGAAAAAATGCGATACCGAAGAGGTTTTTACGAAGTTCTTATCCTGACGTCCTGATACTGCCTGCACTGCCCAGATTTCGAGTTATTGACTTCCCCTTGCTAGCTATTCTGTCCCGAAAAAAAGTATATTGTCTCTTCTGCTTGCTGAAAGCTTTGCTGTCGTGTCTTTACGGAATCAAATTCACACGAACTGTTGTGCGAAAATGATGAATTTTAGCTCACCTCAGAGCGAAAAAAAAGGAAAAAAATGCTATCAGTGGTTGTTCTTGTTGAGAGGTAATGGTAAAACCCTCTTACAACGAAACGCAGGTGCAACTGCATCCACGTGATGAATATGAGATCTACACCAACTCTACAAGACGATATCGACGAAACGGAACGACCCTGATACTGATTGGTACAATTTATTACGCATGAAAAAAAAAACAGATGCAACCAGCCTCGGTAGCAATGGCAATGCACAGCCACAGACAAACAACGACTAATAGAAAAAAAGCACGACCGATGTGAAGATTTTACCGAATACATCCACGACCACGAGTGCGAGTTGTCATTCCAATTACGAAAATTTTCTTAGGGACTACACGAGGAACAAAAGACACGAGCATGGAGCTCTTCCTTTTTCGAATATTCAACGACCCATGAATCGAGCACGATGATCTCGTGCCGTGTGCAGATTTGACGTCGCATGTACATCAATCATGGGAAAAATCGACAACTTTTCTTGCCAAAAAACGGTCGCGGCTCAACTACTTTCAACAGATTTCAAATCTATGTCGCCATCTTCGTCCATGTCATCGGTATGATGATTCTGATGAGTCTCTTCAACATCTACATTTTTCTTCTCGGGGTTGCCTGCTGTGTGATTTCCTTCCATTGCCACATCTTCATCGGAGATGTCGCCTTCCATCTGGATGCTGCCTTCCTCATCCGAATCGAGGGCCACATCTTCTTGCTCGACACCAGCTGTATCGCGGTTGCCTACCCCTACTGGCGGATGTTCCGCTGCTGTTTTATTTGCCGCTGGTACAACTACAGCTGTTGAGGCTGGTACTGTCGCGGAAGATGTCGCTTTGCTGCTCGCCTTCGATACTCCTACCGGGGCAGGCGCTATCGACTTCGACTTGGCCGCGACAGACGCCTGGTTTTTCAGTTTTGCGAACAACCCGGTTGAAGATGGAGCGAGGATGTCGTCGAAGCTATTATTCCCCATGTCGTCGAAGCCCTCTTCCTCGTCTTCTCCAGCTCCAGCGAGCAGGGAGTCCAGGAACGACGTAGAAGTCGGAGGTGCTTTCTTTGTTTCTTTTTCCCCGAAAGGCTGCAGAGCCGAAGATTTTGCTTTCGGGAGTGTGATTTTTGTGGTTGCGACTTCGTCTGCGGGAGGTGGAAGGTCGAGAAACATGCGTGGCTTCTTTGCTGGCTGAGATCCTGCAGCTGAATTTTCGGTCTCGTCTTGTAGTGCTTTGTCTGCTCCATTCTGATTGGCATTTGATGTAGCAGCTATTGCAGGATTTATTTCATCGTCCTCGCCTTTCGGTTTTGGCAGCATCACCAAAAAGTGCGCCGCTCCACCGCGAGCTTTCGACACGGCTTTCGGCATCGAGCCCAGTGAAGGGCCGCTGCCGCTCTTTGCTACTGCTGGTGGCATTTTAGGCAATCCTTGCGGCTGTAGTTGTTCTGGACCCGGGGCTGCTGGTACCTCTGGAACACTTTCTTGTATTTTTGGACTCTCTGGCTCGGGCGGATTAACGACGCAAAAGCCATTCTTCTCGTACAAATCTGCCCATGGGTCTTCTATCATGGCTCGTTTCGCAAAAAACGACCCATTGATACTGTCGTGTGGTGGGTATCTGTTGCTCTTGGGTCCCTTTTTCCCCTTTGCGAAGTCAAAGCGGCCCGCCGCGCCGCCCTTATTTTTCCCCTTGTTATTTTTCTTCCCACCATGATCGTTCTGTGTCTGCTTGCCAAATGACATGGGAAGCCCCTTGCCCTTCTTGCTGAAGTAGTCGTCGGGTAGCCTGCGCAGCGGACCTGCAGGACCGGCTCCTGGCACGGGCTGGAATGGCGCATGGGCCGTCGCTGGAAAAAGGTTCGCATTGAACTTGCCGCCTTTGTTCTTTCCGGAACCGCCGCCAGTAAAGGCAGAAAGATCGGGTCGGAAACTCATAATTCTGTCTATCTCTATTTATCAATCATGCGCGGGGAAAAACGAAACGAGTGAATTCCAAATCAGGGGGCTAGTTGCGGCGATCTAGCTACATACACTACACTACTGCTAAAAACTTCTGGCTTTCGCATCATACTCGAAAATGACAGTCGCTGAGGGAAAAAGGAATTCGCCAATGAAAAAGCTTCTTGTTCCTTAGCCAGCAGTCTAGGAACAAGATTGACGAAAGGCTATGGTAATGATCTGTCATTCTTCATCAATTATTTCGATTGAACTTGGTGGTCAAAAACTGCGGTACTAGTCGGAACAGGAAATGCTCTGGGAGTTCTGCGGTGCAGACAAGCCGAGAAATTTCTTTTACTGTACGTATTTTCCAATCTTATTCCCATTTGATTAATGACAATACTACGCGTTGGTCAGGTTCGCAAACCAGGAAGGCTTTTTCTAGTAGTTGTGCGGCAGCAGCTCGAAGATCGTGACGCGCAGTGTTATTAGGCCCGAAAAAGTGTGCGCACTGCGTCCCTGATCCTAGAATTATCGGTCCAACTACAGCGTCAGTAAAGTAAACATCAATCTAAAAATATTTTACATAAAGGTGCGTACCTGAACCACAGATATTATGAACGATAGAGTTACAAGAAGATACTGCAGAAACCGAATTTCGAAATAGTAAAATACAAGGTAAAAATTGCGAAAATCAAATCCACTAAAAACTTAACCGGGACAAAAATGATACAGTTGTTTGAATGCATAGAGGAACGAGCTCTTGGTCGTGCTTTACAATCTGGTATATTTTTCAACTTCAAAATTTACGTGCGAAAATTGAGTCTGATCATACATACAACATTGAATAATTTACATCCGCCTCTATTTACATCGACAACCCCCAATTGGACTGCCCTGTAAAGATAGCTGTGAAAAATGCAAAGAAAAAGAATAAAATAACACACTTTCCTCTCGACAAACACACCCATTATGACGAAAGCTTTCAACAACGACCGCATAAAACATTGTAAATTGAACCACCACCTCTCCGTTTTTAGCATTTTTGAATCATCTAAAGTCACATAGTTCGAAACTAAAATCTTTCTTCCCAAGAACTGGCCCCTTTTTCGTCTAGCACCACTTACCCCTGGAATCCGCCCTTGGGGAACTGCGTGGGCTGCAGGATCATGTCCGGATCCTCCTTGTGCCTCGTCTTTGTTATCACACAGAAAAAAGCTGGCAGGTAATGCAAAAATAAATACACAAAAAAACATGGCATATCTGCCGAAACAGCATTCTATAGGGCCGCCCATGACAAGTTTTTCTTTTTCTGTGTATTTATTTTTGCATTACAAATATGCCATGCCAGCTTTTTGCTCTGGGATATTTGTTCGGTAGGAAGCCGTGGTAAAACTGTACCGCGGTGCGTTGCCGTACGGGGTCACGATGGCGCCACCCAGTGTCGTCAAATGCTGTTTCATTATTTGTCTTGATTGTAATTTGCAACGCAATTTCCTTTCCGCGTAAAAATGCGAAGAGCGCATATCCAACTAGATCACGCATAACAAACGTAGCTATTTGTACCTTGTACTGACCCGGCCCCACGCCCGGTGCCTTTGGGTTCACGCCCAAGTGCGATTCCATGCTTGGCCGCAAGCCCGTACCAATCTTGGTTTCCGTACCGACCGGCTCTTCCACCTGTGTGAAGTTGAGGCTGTACTTATCCCAGGGAAAAATCCCCCTCCCCACATCGAAAAGGTACGTCGCAGAAAATTTGCAATGCTGATTTGCGACCACAAATGATCTCTGTCTTGCAAGAAGGCAATTCCACAGGCTCCGCCGCATTATGCAGGCGGTTTGTGGTGCTGTTTGGCCTACAGCGCAGACGCTTCTCATGCTAAGCGCCTAGGCCAAAACCTCTCTACTCAGGCTTGATGTGGGCCTGCAGTCCTCTTCAGCAAGACAAATCTGATTTGTGTACTCAAATCCAGCATCACAAATTTCGTTTTCGATATGGGGAGGGGGGACTTTTCCTTTTGATAGTACTTGCCCGGCCCCGGCCGTTTGTCGTCTTCGGGATTCTCGTAGAACCAGTTGTGTCGACCCGCAAACTATCAAATGCAAATATGTCTGGGTCTGGAAGAGTGCCAGGTTTGTCATGCATATTTCGCATGACCCATGATGTCTGTGATGCATGCCCTAGCATCACAGATTTTTAGAGGACTTAGTGATGCCTCTACCGCATGAGAAATGTCCTCCTCACGTAGCCCCAACTGGATTCCTCTTGCTGGTCATGCAACACAGATTTTTTTTGAATCTAAAGACAGCATTAGAAGTTGCAAGCTTCCAGACCCAGACATATTTGCAATGCATACAAACTTGATCGTAAGCGTGGAAAGCGTCGGGTCGTTTTTGTTGTTTTTGTCCCGAACCTGTAGTTTTTGTTTCATGGATGTGCTGCCTGTCATGCAGTATCATCATGATTACTCTTTTGCTTTCGGTGTCGCGTTGCTTCCCATTGGAAAATCTCGCTCAAAAACATTAATTTTAATTTTTCAACTTCGTGTTCATACCTCGTACTGACCCGGTCCTGGGCACTTTGGGATGGATTTTGGCAAGCCTGTAATGTCTGGTCGTGTGCTCTTTCCGAAACTAATGTCACTCCGTCGAATCGTACTGCGTGCCGTCTCGTATTGACCTGAAGAGTGGATGTAGAATGATTGCTGTCTGTCGATGGAGCCAAAACAGGCGATGAAGTGGAAGTCTGTCATCGTCATGCACTCCAAAATTATTACGCATTGACAATTTCATCAAATGGAATCAAACTATACCTGGTCCGCCCGTTGTGTTGTCACCGTAGTTTCGTGCCCACCGTTTTGCGGAGCCAAAGCTGCATGAATACGTCAGCTGCCCGTATTTTGAGGTGTGTTTCGTCATTTCCCGCACATCGTACCTTGGATTTTTTTGCAAAATTTTTGCCCTGACATGGTATCCATGTGGCTGAAAAAAAGAAACGGTATCGTATTCTGCTTCTGTTACTGCTAAAAGACATGATGCATTTTTAGTGGTTTTAATAGGTAAAGATAGATACAGATCTATGTCGTGATGAAAAAAAATCAAATCAATCGTGTAAAGTACTTGTTCGCAGCTGGGATGTTCTGGTTTCTCTCGATGACCTTCCATTTTCCCGTGACTGAGTATCTTGGACCAGCTTCATACTGTGAGAATCTCTGCAAAACGGGAGCGCTGGCACTCCGGTTGCTTCCTACCGGCTTATCGTCTGGCATCTTTTTGACTTCTCAAGAAAAGTAGCAAACTTTATCAACAAGCTGCTCAGGAACGAAAGTTCTTGAAGTTCGGTATCTTAGGTCAATTCTTTAACTTTATCTCTACAATCTAAGGCCGAAAAGACCAAGAAATTCGTATTGACTCACTTGATTTACCCCGGCAAGTGAAAAAAAAACGCGAATCTATGTCGATGTTTTTGAGCAATTCAATAGTCACGATTTTTTGCAAACAGAATTGGATTGACGACCAAGATACCCCAACACGACCACGAGCGAAATCTACTACAAAAAAGTCCCAAACTTGTTCGCTACGATCGAGGAGAAAAAATGGTTTTGACGACGTGAAGATGATGATGACGACAGACTTTCCCCGAGAATATACACGACCATAGCGTTCACGATGACGATTCTTCTACGCCGAAATCAGCAACATTTTGGTCTACGAAAACCTTAGAGAATGCATCAAGCCATGCCTTGACGAAGGCTGCGGTTGCAACGACAACGATTCCGATCTGTCACTGCGACAATTATGCACTGTAGTTTGTTCTTGTTGCGTATGCGTGTAGAAAAAGCCAATCTCGAAAATAATACGATCAAACTAACCTATTGTGGAGGATCGATGCAAAGTGCACGGCCCGGGCCGTTCGCCACTACATGGCGGGAACCAAGAATTTTCAGTGCAATTTGGAAAATTGCGCAATTCAAAAAAATTTTGCCGCCAAAACGTGATTGCAGGAGCCTTCTTTCATATTCCGCCATCTTCCTCGGAAGACGATTCCTCAAGCGCTTTCAAGTATTGTTCCAGTCTATTCCGGTCTAGGACATCCTGCTCTTCTCTCGTTCGCATGGCGGTATTTGGTTTCTCTCTCTGCAGGTTCGAGCCAGATGCGCCAACCCTGCTGCGCTGATCGCGAAGATCAGTCTTCCCTGCTACTTTTTCAACATCAGCGTTCGGATGATTATTACGACCTGTCGCGCTTGCGTTGCCGCTGTTCCTTGGACTGCCCGTGAACACTAGGAAATTTTCGTAAATGCCATCGTCCTCGGCTGCTTCGTCCTCGCTGTCGTCGATATCTAGTCTCCTCTCAAGCGGAAGGGGTTTTGTGTTAGTACTTTGCGCCGGCAAGGCTTCTGCCTGTTTCTTCCCGGCAGGAATTCCGATCGACAGCACGCCATGCGCGTAAGACCGTGTCTGTATTTGGGCTCCTCCTGCTTGTTGAGGTTTTTTGTTCTGAGCGACACTTTTGATGTTCTGCAGTTGTGATGATGCAGAAGCAGAAGTGCTCGTACCTCCAGTGCCGACGCCGGCCTGACCTCCTGCAGCATTTGTTTGTCGTTCCTCCGCTGGCGGTTCTGTTGGTCGCAAGGAGAAATCGCGCAGCTCCAAGGAAAAATTATTTTTCGCTGTTCGATACTGCTTTTGCTGTTGCTCCTCTTCCGTTTGTTCCGTACTATGCGAAACACCATTCTCTTCCACCTCCTCGTCCACGAAGACACCTTCATCGGCCTCCCGACCTTCATCCTCTGACACCTGCTGGCTCGTAAAGTCAGAGGACTGCCGTGTTCTATTTCTGTTGGTGCTATTTGCTATGTCCCTCCCACCCAAGTCCGTGTTCCAGAGCATGGCCCCGCAGAGGAGGAGCATGCAAGTTATCAGCGCAAATCCGACCCGGACCGGAATGTCCACCGCCAGGGAAGCGACGACGATGAAATTAAGCGGGACACGGAAAAAGTTGTACAACATCGCGCGGTTCCGCTCTGGCACCAGCCGGCTCTTCAACAAACCGAAGGTTGGAAAGTAAAGCCCGAGACTGAATTCGAACCCGAGGAAGGCAAACAGCAACACAATGGTGGAACTCGTGACAACGACCAAAGCGTTGGAAATTACCGCAACTGTAACGGTGAGCGCCGCGAGTTGCTTTTCCGACCAAGCGCTGGAACTACGTTGGAGCAGGCAGGAGGAAACAAATTTCGCAAAAGCAGACTTCGTTCCCGGCGGCACGCGGTGATTTGCTCGGGCGGTAAAATTGTCTTCGTTTTGGGAGGAAGAGAGAAGTGAAAACATGCAGGAGCCGCACATGCAGGCCAGCATGAATAACGCGAAGATCAATCCGTAGGGCGCTTTTTTCGCAGACGGAATCACGTCGTGTATGGCCGGCGTCCAGAGAAAAACGAAGATAAACATAGAGCTCTCAAACAGCGCGCACATCCATCCCAGTTTTTGCACTTGGGGGCTGGTCCGTAGAACGTGAAAAGCGGCAGCTATTTCGTTGTCGGACAGTGCTTCAGATCGAGGCTTTTGGAGTGATTTTTTCTCTGTGTTGAATGGCGGCGCTCTTAATATTTCCTCCTGAACCATATCGCTGGAGTCGTACTTTCTTCGCTGTTCACTGTCAACCACTTCCGTGGAGCTCGTGGTCTCGTTGTGGTCTTGGCTGGCAGAGGTGGGAGACAGCTGTCTTCCTTTGTTTGACGCACTTCTACCCTGCTTTACGCCGCTACTGGGCCGCAATACTGGCGGTAGAGCTAGCCCGAGTGGCGACAACACGACTTCACTGGGGGACATGATGATCACCGGCGCGGCAGGGGTTTTATCCGCGCTCGTACCCGTTGGACTGCTGTCTTCTTCCTTTCCATTCTCGTCCATGTCTATCTCAAACGCGTGCTCGTGCTCGCCATCGAGTTCTTGCAAGCGTGGGCTCTTTACATTGGAAAGCTCAACTTCTTCAGTATCTGCTATTTTTCCTGTGCTTCCGCTTTCCTCGATACTGCCAGCTGTAGTTCCTGTGGACCCGTAATTTTCCTGCCACTTGAAATGGATGAAGACCCCGCAGCAAGCCAGCACCGCCGCCGCCACATCGAACGGACCGAGAAACTTTCCTACGTAAAAATACGCGTCACTGGTTACCGTTGTCGCACCTCCACCTCCTGTACTACCCGACAATGGCGCCGCAGCAAGCAAAGAAATATTGCTCGACTGCTGTTCATGATCCCACGATTGCAGCCCAAGCACTGGGAAAACCCGGCGAAACTCGCCTCCACCCTCGCTCACTAGCTGGGCGATAAATCCGGCCAAAATTGCACAAATGCTGTTCCCGAAGATTGCCGCGGAGAAGAGCTCGGAGAGCTGTGCCTCTGATGACAATTTCGCTGCACCTGTATTTCCCGATCCCGTCAAAGAACTTGACGACGACATGACTTCGCATACCACCCAAGACTCAAACACGGAGAACAACAAACTGGTCGCAATCCCCGCCAAAATTCGCCCGAGGCACAGAAAGTAGAAGTGGTTCACGTGTTTTGTGAAGCAACTGAGCGTGTAAACGACGCAGTAGAAGATGCAGAACTTCTTCCGCCCGAATTTATCCGCGTACCCGGCGAGAAACGTGCCAAACACCATCGAGCTACCGAAACCGAAGATGAAGAGTATCCCGTTTTGCGCCTTGGAAAAGCCGTATGCGTCGTAGAGCGCATAGACATACGGCCCTTGCAGCCAGTCCGCGAACATCGCAAGCAGGTAGGCGATCAGGTAGTTGCGTTTGGTTTTTCTAAACCCGCTGGTTTCATCTTCAGAAGACGCTCCACCGGCACCTCCCTGCGATTGCAGATGCTGCTCCAATGCCGTTGTTCCATTTTGATGCATATTCGCACTTATTTCAAGATGATCGTCCCCAGGCAAAGGCAGTGGTGCGTAGTCATGACTTTTGCCCTTCTTCCGCAGTCGCTCCACGAAAAGCAACAGTGCAGCAAACGCACCGGTCACCACGAGACCGAGGTTGACAGCGAAGCGCAAAGACGCGTCGCCGTCGAACGCGTGTTCCATTTCGGGATCGGGAGGAGCCGTCGGAAACCCGTAATCAGTCACGCTCACCTCTTGAAAGTTGAACGAACTCATCTTGATGTTTTCCTGCAAGTGCTAATCAACAAGCTCAAAAGTAGAATCAACGTGCAGAACTCAAACTGCGCGCCGGCATGTGCTTTTGCTACAACCCTCTCTTGCTTTATGCCTGAATATTTTGAAAGGGTAGCAGCACCCTTTTTCACACCTTGCGAAAAACGGAAATGAATCGTGAACATCACAAACGGGACTCCCTTCCTGAAAAAATTTGGCACATGTTCAGGGACGGCCTGGCATATGTCGTCAGCACGACCTCGCTACCCTTCAGATAATTTCCATTTCCTCTCTCTTTTCTTTTTGCTGCTTTCCTGTTTTGCGTTTTAGACTTTTGCACAGACAATTCATTGATGGTTTACGTTTGGATATTGCAAACAAGTATCAAATTTTGTTACATTTCAAGGGTGCAGTTTCACTCCGCATTTTAGATGACAAACTTTCCTTCGAATCAATAGGTTCATATTCTACAGCTTTATTCTTGTGTTCTCTACCTCAGAAACTTGAAAGAGGAGCCTTGTGCTCTGATTCAAAGAAGTCCATCACATGGTCGCCGCGCCGGCCGGCTTGTCTTCCGGCAGGTCCCGAACTTCTTCCGGCTCCGCGGATAAGGCGAGCTTGCAATGGAAGTCCGCCTCTCCCTGTCTCCGCTGGCAGAGCTCCATCCGGTCTTCTTGGATCGTGACGCCGTGAAGGAGCAAGCCCTCGCCGTACTTCATTATGGATTGCAAAAATGTCTTGGTCTGGAAACTTGTAATGCTAAAAGTGAATGGGAGACGCACTGCAATACGCAGCGATGCATGACAAATTTTTTGGCTCCCATGTCTTACGTATTCCGCATGGCAAACTGCGTTTTTGCATGACAGGGAAGAGGGCCTCTTCATGCCTATGCAACACAGATTCTCGAGTCATGCCAGACAAACTTGCATTCTTCCAGGCCCAGACATTTTTACATTTGATATTCATCCTGAAATAGCCATTGTCGCCCCACTTCGGGCCCCAGGAATTCTTGATCCACCAGTAAAGCGTGCCCGTATTTTCATCGCGTTTCAGCCCAACCACCTGGACGTAGTGATCCCCGGTGAGGTGTACCGTGCCGGTTAAACTGTAGGAGGGGAAATCCTCCTTCGAGATGATGTGCTTCTTGTACCGCGGCCCCCAGGCGAATTTCTTCAGCCCTGAGGCGTCCACGAGACCAACGACCGGCATCTTCTGGAGTTGCGCTCGGATCTCCAACTCCGTCCCGTGCCAGCGAAGCAGGTCCTTTCCGACGATCATTTCGGTCAACCGTAGCGGATTCGCCAACTCCTTGGACTCAGTTGGGGTGATGAAAGTCGGTGGGGGCGTGTACGAGCCGACGGGTAGCATGTTCATCGCGGAGGGCGTCGTAGGCACTACTGATGTAGTCGAAGGCACTGTCGATATTAACTGGACCGCCGTGGGCGCGCCAGTTTCGCCAGAACTGCTGCTGCTTGTTTCTTTTTCCACTGTAGACGCAGCGGCGCTGCGTGACGACATGGACATGTTCCTCTGTAAACCTAAACTTCTGCTTTTGCCACCGGTCGTGAGGGTCGAAACCTTGTTTTTCGCTCTGGTCCTCTCGTTGCCACCACCGCCAGGGTCATGCTGTTCCTGTTCGTGTCGTGCAGCACCGCTGGCCATACTGATTTCTTCTTCCTGAATGAGCTCCTCCGCGAGCGCGAGGTCTTCTTTTGCTTTGGAAACTTTTTTTAGAAAGGGCTGCTCTTGTTCTATTACAGCTTCGTCTGCCTGAATAATTTCCTTCTCGAAGGACGAAGGTGAGACAACATCAGCCGGCTCGCTTTTTCCGATGAGCCAGGCCTTATTATCGGGCTCGATCTCCTCGTTCCAGGGAGTGTTGACTTTGTCTTCCCCCTTCATGACCCCGCCGAAGGCCTGGTTGGGGTCTTGCACCTTCTGCAGGACATTTTTCATGTAAACGTCATCGTAGGCGTGACGATGGCCTTTCGGAGGACGAATCCGGACTACTTCTTCGACAACCGGAGGCAGGTCGTCTCCCGACGCTCTGGAGAAAGATTCCTCAGTAACTTCTTGCAATGCTTGTTCTCTTCCTCGCAAATTTACCACGCGCGGGGGCTCTGCTGCTACTCCGGCAGCCGCGTCAAGAGCGCCATCGACTGAAGAAAAATTTTTGCTGTCTGCATCACTCGCAGCAGACTTCTCCAGGATGAAAGTCCTCTTGTGCTGGCAATAGTCTCTACGATCCCCGTCTGGCCGCGCGCCGACAGGTGGATGTTTCGTTGGATCACGGTACCTGAAAGGAACATCCTGCTGCCGGTCATCGTAGGTATCGGATGGGTAGACCACATCCCGTGGCGGTTCACCCGGCCACTGCAGTTGCGGCTCAGATGTCAGCAACCTGATAGGATATTCCATAAGGATTTTGAATAAGTAAGCGGTTTCCAACATCTGCTCACCCAGACTGCACTTGGAATAATCTTGATGAGGTGAAACTTCGGCGCAAAGTACTTAAACAGATCATACCGGATCCCGTTCTGCACCATGTAAGCGTAGACCCAGGTCTGAATGTTTCCGTCTGTGCAGAGTCGCTCGACCGGCAAATCCTTCGCAGCCACGGCCTCGATCGGAATGCCGTTAAACTTGTTCCGGTCCATCCTCTCCTCGCGACTGGTACAGGAAATGACCTCCCCCAAATCCACCCTCCGCAGCGTCCCGTCCTTTGAACTAAGCGCCAGTTGCGCCTCAATCTGCGCGCTCGTCGCGTAGGCCCAGCAGGTGCCGCAGGTCACAGTGGAGGACCAGAAACCCTGATGCTGCACCGCGGAGATCACGTTCAAGCCTGCCCGGGTCCAGTCCGTGCAAGTCTGGTCCAGCTTGTCGTACCAGGGGTTCCCCTTTGGGTTCGTCTTCAGCGTCTCCGGACCTTTGCACTTGAAATTTGCACGATCTTCCAACTTCGTCGGAAATTGGCGCCCGTCCTCCTTCAAAAGCTTGGCGCTGTTCACGATCTCCGGGTCCAGGTCTGGCAGCTCCGAGGCGGCGGGGAGCACAGTATTCTTCCTGCGGTCGAGGAACCGCGGATTATTTTCGCGGGGTGAACTACCAACATGGCCGTTGGTCTGCTCGGTACGATCTTCGTTACTGAACGGGCTAGCAGTGGCGTCAAGAGAGGCAACGTCCTGTCGTGCCACTGAGTCATCGCGTTCGCGTCGCTCCTCTACACCCTCCGGATAGGTCAATTTTGACCAGCTCGAGTTGGGCGTGGCTGCCCGGTGCCGCCAGGCGTGAAGCCGGTCCTCTAGCGTCGGACGCGGAATGCGGTGCATCCCCACATGACCACTGTAGCCCGTGTCCTGTTGGTTGTTTTCCCCTCGCGTGAAAAGATGGCACCCGAATATGAGAGCAAGCGTGGACACTGCGCCGAAAGTCAACGCACCCGGGCGCTTCCTGCACGGTTTCCTGTTCTTCTGCGCTTCGCTGAAATCTCTTTCCAGAGAGAGAACAGAGGTCGCCTTGGAAATCGACCGCTCCTCTGGCTTTTCAATTTCCGGAGGGGCGACGGAGTCGTGGAAAAGTAAAGCGCGTCTAGAATCAGAAAGCTTGTCTCTCTTTTCCTCACTCGTAGTTATTCCCGAGCCGGTTGATAGATTTTCTTTGCTACTGCGCAACCAGGCACTCATCCCACCCTTTTGCCTGCTCGTCATGGTCGTAAGTGCCGGCGTCGTCCCTGGGCGACTCGGATGTGGTCCTCCTCCTTTCCCTAAACCAATACTGCCGTCCACATCTTCCTCAACGCGCCAATAGTGGCTGGCGTCGACGTCCTCATCGTCACTTTGTTCGTTGTCGGAGTCGTGCACGACGGCTAACTGATTCGAGGAACCAAACGTTTGTTGTACCCAGGTCTTCAAACTTCCGGTCGATTTGGACAGCTTGTCGTGCGAGCTCGTCAGCGCAGATCTTTGATGGAGATTCAATTCCCTCGCGGTCGGGGACGATCGCTGCTGCAACTCCTGCAAGTTTGGCGTGCTCGCAGCCAACGCCGGGTTGGCCGTCCGCCGCTGCTTCAGCTGTGAGTGCTGGTGCCTTTTGTTAGGCGACGAGGACGTCGACGCACCTCCAATCGACAGCAAGGACGGCATGGACGATGACAAGCGGTCGTCGTGAAGATTCTGCGACGAGGAGAAACCGCCTCGACTGCTGGTGATGTCAAGCAGAAGGTCCGACTGGTCGTGCTCCCTGCTGATGTTCTCTTCCGCATGGTCTTGCTGTGGCTGTTGTGCCGCACGCCGAAAGCTCCCTCCAGGGTATGAGACGTCTGTTTCTTCCCGAGTGGCCGTGTCGACCGTCCAATCGTCATACTCGCCCGCGCCACGGCTGCTAGCAAACCAATGAAAACAAAACAACAATCGCACGATCATCTTGCTGTGAATCAAGTACTACTGGCGGACCCCTTGTTCCAGTTCTTCTCTCGCTCTTGACTCTGATCGGCGATCCTTAAGGCGCTTCACGCGCCACGAAGAAGGTCCTGATAATTCATCCTGTCTGCTTTATCAACGAGCGCGTAGTTCCTCGTTGTAACAAGAAACATTCTCTCTCGGTCACTTTGTTCACAAGCGCAGCACAACACTCGTCACATGAAGAACCTTTTGACCTTGACATCCTTCATCATGTGACACGGTAATTGATCGTGATTCTCAAGCGGAATACACGACACATGTACCTAATTGCCATGCTCCGCTGATCACGACGCTGCTGGGTCAATCATCGGATCTGTTTCTCCGCAAATTAAGTGACGCTTCGGTAGCGGAATCAGTACGCTAGTATCCCTTTGGTACAACCTGTACATGTGTACTCGAGCTGGGGTCCAATTCGTGACCATTTTTTCCTCCGTCATCACCGTGACGATTGCTAGCACGATAGAATTCAACAAGGTTCCAACTGCCGTCCACCAGGCCCCAACGCCGATGGCGAACAGCGCTACGCTCCACCAAAACAGCTGCTCGCCGAAGTAGTTCGGGTGTCTACTGTACTTCCAGAGGCCGGTGTTCAAGAGGGGAATGACGTCTCTACCTTCCTTTCTTCTCGTCTCGTTTTCAAGCATGTAATCACGCAGCTGGTTGTCGGCGAAATGGGCGAAAGTTAGTCCTACTACGCAACCAGTGGTGGCAAGTGAATCGACAATCGTCCAAGTATCCGCACCATATTCTGAGTCGCTGCCTCCCCCTCCGCCGTAATTCGTATACTCCAGCGGCCAGGTAATGCCCACAAGCAATGGCTGCTGCGCAAGTCCGACGGCGAAAAAGCTCAACACAGGCCAGCACGTCGGAAAATCCTTCTGCATCTTCGTGTAACGCCAGTCTTCGCGCTCCCCGAACTTCCAATTTTCTCTTCGGAAGTAATTGATCGTGAGCCGTACCGCCCAAACCCACACGAGGAGTAGAGAAACTGTTGCACGTGTGGGAACAGTTGGCTGGTCTTGGACTTGCGGCAACTCACGATAGAAGTGACCGATTAATGGCGGCAGGATGGTCCAGTATGGGTCAATTAGCCACATGGACTTCTGGATCCATCCGATGACCCAGAATCCGACTGTCACGTTCACGAAGAAAAGCAGATTCACAGTAAAGAAAGGATGATCAACCAAAAGTGTGCACCACGAACCATCCTTGGCTGTCTCTGTGGCGCACGTACCAAACACGACAAAGATCACAAAGAAGACCGACGGAACCACAGCTGTCGCACACAGAAAACCATTGCACAGATTTTTGGAAGAGCAATGATCGTGCTCGGCGTAAGCGCCACGCCAGGTATACTCACACATGCCTGAGACCTGTCTCCAATCTCCTAAAAGTGGGACCTGTCGCTCCATCCTAAGATCACAGACGAAAGTAGCTTTCAAAGGTCGGAGTAGGGCTTTAGGTTTTGCTTTTGGCTTGTATGACAGATACATCTCACGAGAAAACGAGAGACCCAACACTGCAGGCAACGAAACGGCTTTGCGTATGTGATTCAACACGCAGACACAGGACTAGACACCGCGAAGCGGACCTCCCTCTCCTTTTAAGATTGAAACTTTTTTTTCAACTCCTACATTTTTAAAACTGTGAAACGGAGGCATTCTGAAACGAAATGTTATTCAACGACCTGACAGCTCAGCCTTTGGCTCACTCCTCGGCACGCTGCGCATAGATTCAATCGTGCTTGAGTTAGAGTTATTGTATCAAATTGCTATTGCTAAGTTTTAGAGTTATTGTATCTATCACTATTCGCTTAAGTTTTAGAGTTATTGTATGTGCTAAGTTGAAAACAAAAAAAAAGAAATCATGCTAAGTTGAAAATAAAAAAGGACTCACGAAACTATGCCGCAACGAAAACGAGCGAGCTCCAAGAGAGCCACCGAATCCGTCAAAAACCAAAATTTTAAATTTGTTGTTCCAGAAAACTCGTACAGAAAAACGCAGGAGTCGAGAGTTTCTCTCTTCTATCGCACGCAGCTTATTAATCGCCCTTCAGCATAACCAACGCCTGCTTCAAGGAGTCGATCTCTGCCTGTCTCTGCGCCATGCGCTCCTCGTGCGTCACTTCCCCCTTAGTACCACCAGCGGAAGCAGGGCACTGCGGTTTCAAGGCTTCATACTCGTCCTCAGCGGCCTTCAGCTGCTTGCTGGTGTTTTCCTGTGAGAAGGTTTCAATGTTGCGGTTTACTTTGTGTAAGCAGAGACATGGTAACGCATTTCTCTCCATCAGCAGAGCAGTGTCACAGGTTTCTAAATCAATTACAAATAGCACACGCTTCTTAGAGTTCAAAACAAAAACACAAATACCAAGTTCTCGGCAGCCGCGGTGGCAGCGGCCTTCGCTTCCGCTGCGTCTTTCTTTTGCAAGTCGGCGTCCGTGGTCTTCTTGGCGAGGGACACCTTCCCGTCGTTCATGTACTTCTTGTATTCCGCAGCGGCTTCCGCCTCTGCAGTTTCCGTCTCGGCCGCGTCCCGCGAGAAGTCCTGCTCGATGACTTCCAAGATACCAAGCACGCCGGTGGCCTTGTCCTGCTGCCCACCGTAGCCCTTGCCTTCCGGCAAGGTTGCATAGTCGTCCGGAATAGCGGCGGGGTCCGCGAATTCCGGCGGACCCATGGCATCCCAGGCGGCGGACCCAGGCTTCGGGATCTGGACCTTCTTTTGCGACTTCTGCAGGAACATGGCCGGCATGGCAGCCCCGGCCTTCTCGTAGAAGGCACGGAGAACTTCCAGCGCCTGAGAAACCGCCTCGGAACCGTCCTTGGCCTCGGCGATCGCGGCCGTGTTGGCCTCCTTCTCGGCGTTACGGGCGCTCGTGGCATCAGCCATGGCGGTACGCAGGGCGGCGATCTGTTTAATCGGAGTTTTGGTTGTGAAACTACTTTCCCAGCGATCTTGCACAAATCTGTAGACAATCACGGGCGGACAAATTACCCAAAGGAATGCTGACCAGGACCCGTGCAGCTGCAAGAAGAAAACTGTCACTTCCAAAAAAAATCAGTACCTCAGCCGTCAATTGCGTAAAGCTCTCGGTCAGCTTCTCGGCCAACGCGGACTGCTTGGCCTGCTCGGCAGCGTACTTGTCAGCAGCGGCTTTGTATGCAGTGCAAAAGCATCGTAGTCGTACATATAAATGCATGACAAATTTCCTCAGCATGAGAAATGAAATTTGTAATGCGGATTTAGGTTAATAACAAAATTTGTAATGCATGTTTGCAATTACGAGTACGATACTTTTGCACAGGATACGTTGTACTTCTTCATCTTTTTCTTGGCCTTGCCGAAGTTCAGCTTGCAGAACGCCTCGAGCTTCGCGTCCGCGGCACCCTCCTCCATGAGCTTGTCGATCATGGTTTTGATCATGCCCTTGACCTTCACAAACGGGTCCTCAGCCAGCCGGTCGGCAACTTGGGCGAGAGAAGTGGAACGCAACTGCACGCTCGCGTGACGCAGGAACATGGAGATCTGGTTTAATTAAAGGGTTTTAGAATGTTTCGGCGTGCGAATCCCGTAAATCGAAGTTTTGTTGGGTCGTGAAGTAGGCAAAGTCTGAATCTAAAGACAACCTGCAAGAACATCGTTGCGCGCTTGTTGATCTATGCAAATGCGAGAAATTTAAAGTCCTAAAAAAGCTAAAATTCACCTTCGCAGCCTCGCCCATGTCTTGCACTTGCGAGTCAGCGCTGTTCTTCAGTTGCACAAAGCTGGTTACCTTGACTTGCGCAAAGCTAATGCCGCCGAGAATTTCAATCGCCTTGTTATCAACTGTAAAAATGTCTGGGTCTGGAAACTTGTGATGCTAAGTGGCGTAGCATGAAGAGGCCACAAGTGCTGGCTCAGCATGACAAATTTCTGAGCTTGTAGGTGTTGCCTATTCTGCATGACAAATTGCGTCTCCGCATGACATAAAAATGCGGCTCTTGGGCAACGTGCATGACAGATTTAATAGTCATGCCAGACAAGCATGACAAACATGCATCCTTCCAGACCCAGACATTTTTACATGTGATACTTGTCCAAAGCCTCCAACTCGTCGCCGCGGACTCTTTGTTTAGTTTTGTACTCCTTCGCTTCCGACGTGCAGGTCATGGCGGTGTCTTGCTTCTCAACCATGGTGTCCTTTAAATCATCTTTGCACACTATCCCACGAAAAAACTGTTTCACTGTGATGACTTTGCAACATCTGCATTACAAGTTTGCTACATATGACACTGAAAATTTGTCATGCGCGCTTCCCAAGGGAAAACACGCTTGCAAATTCAATGCCTTGCAGGTGTAGCAAGACAATGAGTTCTGCGTTCCATTTTCTGCATCACAAGTTCACAGCGAAACAGTTTTTTCTCACGATACACACCACCAAGAGCTCTTCGGCCTTTGCTTTGTCCGACTTTCTCGTCTGCAGGTTGATGCTCTGGTCCTCGGAGTCGGTCGTGGCAGAGGCGATGTCCTCCGTGAGGAGCTGAATCATGTTCTCGTAGTTGTGTCTGCGATTCATCTCGGCCATTTCTGTGTCATGCACCTTCTGCCGGAACTCATCGAGGGACTTCTCGAGGATACCGAGAACGCCACTATAACCTGCTCAGGTGTTACAATCTCAAACGTTACAATAGAATCTGGAATTTGTGTTGCATGGAGAGCATGAGGAACGTGCAGAGTATTGCGCTTTTCGCAATACAAATTTCGGCAGATCCTAGTGCGGTTTGGCACTCCAGAACTTGTCATGCGCAAACCTATGCGAATTGGGTAGATCATGCACTTCTTGCATCACAAAATCCAGACTCTATTGTAACGTTTGAGATTGTAACTTTTGAGCGGGTCATAGCCACCGGTCTTTGCCTCGTACGCCTTGGCCTCGCCGGTTGGTGGGGCTGAGATAACGAAAGGTTCAAGTTGTGTAAATTTAGATTTCTGAATGCAAAAATCTTTTTCTCAGTCGAAAAGATCGAGCGATGCGGTAGATCTTAGCTAAATTTCCAAAACATGCGCGATGATGATGAAATCCAGCACATCATCAGTACCATCCATCTCCAACATGGCCATGGCCAAACCTCGCACGTCTTCCGGAAGTTTCTGCGAGACTTGCAAAAAGCTCTCCTGCGCAACGGACCCGAACTTGCTTTGGTGTCTCTCGATGATTTGAATTGCTTTCTCTAAGGCCATTACTGATTCCTCGTAGTCCGCCTTTTCCAACAGGTACGCCTTATGCTCCTCCTCTCTGGTTTTGGTTGCCTTTTCCTTCTTCGCGTTTCTGTCCGCGATGGTGGCTTGCAGTTCTGCAATGTTCTCTGCTATTTCCTCCATGTCGGCGTATCAAATGCAAAAATGTCTGGGTCTGGAAGAGTCCGAAGTTGTGATGCACATTTCACAACACAGAAAAATCTCTCATGCACGGGTAGCGAAAGCTGCCCCCTTTCTCTCACCAAAGTGGGGGATTTGTCATGCGGATTCGACATTGCGGAAGCTTCTCGAAACCTGTAATGCTAGAACTTCCATGCCAGGCCTTCTGTGCCATGCAAAAACAGCATGACTCTTCCAGACCCAGACATTTTTACATTTGATACGGCGGCGGCTTGAGCAATGCTGGCTTCGAGGTCGGACTTCTGATCTTTCAACTCCCCGACAGAAACTGTGAGTGCATCCAACCGGTTTGTGCACCACTGATTTCTCGCGGACCACGCAACCTGTTCGTCCTTCATCTCTTTTGTCCCGGCCTTGTGCATTTCGGTGAGGAGTTGTATTACTTTCCCAAGTTTCCCATCCTGCGCCCCCGCAACCACTGATGCAGACAGCGCCAGGAGTCTAAACCGCGACCCCCTGGCCCGCATCTTTAGGACTGTGTGCTTTATTCTAGAAACTTCGCACTATGGGTTCCAGTGCCGTAACCAAATCTAAGGGGACGATCCGATGGCGGGAGTGTCGATGTTGATCTTGGAACAGAGAGCTGGAAAAGCAACAAAATCACTTTAACACGTTGCGCAAAATGATCCAGGCAAAACTTAGAGTTTTGGTGATCTCGTGTGAAGAACACGAGAAATGACTTGCGAAGTCGCGGATGTGCAAAGCGCTTCCAGCCCCTTTGCCATGCCGTCACCCACTTCCCGTGATTTGGACAATAGCAGCTTCCACTTTGGGTACATTTGCAAGACAGCAACTCGCCGGGGAAACGAGGTAGGAGAAAAAAAACCTACCATATCCGCATCCCGAAAAAAAGTCCCTTGATTTGAAAAAAGCAATCAACAGAAAAATTCACAAGTTTTGCAAAATTGAGAAATCTAAATTTCTGGTCCTAATCGCAAAATAAAAACGTCTGGTAGAAGCAGCTATGGCAGCAGTGGTGTGCAATCAAACAAGATTCCGATATTTTTAGCATGAGATTTAAATAGTTTATTTCAATGCGACTCAGTAGTATCGACTACAATATTCGCGATAGTGACTTTGACCGCCGCAAACGAGGCGACATACTGAATCACAAAAAAAAAGTAGAAGCTACCGCAACCCGTGGAGTTTCAGTGACCCCAGTAAAAGATTGTTGTTTATTTGGCAGGTGTAGTGTAATGAAGATGAACTGATGAAAAGAAGAAATAGAAGCGCAATAGATCCCAATTTAAAACTTTGCTCAACATACAGGATTATTTTGATTCTGATTGGCTTGCTCCGAACAACGCATCACTACTGATGCGCGTTGCTGACATGAAGTAAGAAGTTAAATCACATACAGACTTTGTGCTCTCAATAAATTACCCAAAAGAATAATTTGCAATATTATTTGGCTGATATCAAAGTTTCGCGGTCCAAATCTGTGTATAATTGAGGATAAATCTAAAAATCCGCAAATAGGAAGAGCCAAATCTGAAGTGTCGGCTTTGTCTCTGTGACTGTATCTATCTTTCTCACATCGACGAAAAAAAATCGTTTTCAGCTGCTGAAACAAAAAAAGTAGAATAACCTCCGGACGACGCGTTTTAGAATCAGTCCCAGCGTCGCTAAACCAGCTTTCGATCTGAATTGCAAACTAAAAATCTTCTGCAGACCGCACAGTCGGCAAGCAGCGTGCGATGCACAGAACTGCTACTGCTGCCAGCATAAAAATTGAATACATCGAGAAAGTAACCATTCGGAGGTAGAAACTCCTGTAATGTAAGTGATTGTTTTTAGCAAGCTAAGAGAAAAGTCCAACATGCAGAGACTTCGAAAGAACAGATTTAAATCTACTTGGTCTTCCCGAGATTTTTATTCGGAAAGAGCCACCGAGCTAAGAACCAACCACCGAGCCGTCTCCCCGCGTTTGCGCCCTCGTCCCAGACAGCAGATTCACCAAAATGTCCTTGGTGTACCGCAGTCGTTTCGCGAGCTCGGTGTTACTGATCTCCATTACCGATTGCAGGGGGTAAGAGGAACGTTGGCCGCGCTTGTCCACATACGTCACCGTGTGCGTTTTTGAGCTGAGGACTACTTCCGTCTTGTCGAAAAAAATAACCTGAGAATTAGAAAATCTCATTTTCCTGCTCTAACTGCGTTCAGTGGCGAGATATGCATGTTTGGTCATCTTTCCTTTTGTCTATATTTGCAGCTCACGACGACCAAAATCACTTTTGACCTAAAACCCCCCGGCCCCACATTGTAACTAAGTACCTGGACGATCTTGTTACTGAGCTGAAACATGATCGCGTGCCGGTTTTTCATCCATTTCTTCACATACGGCTTTTCTCCCCGTGCCATGTTAGGATCGTAGTGGTGCGAGATGCTACTAGGATTTGCGACCAGCCCCGACTCCCCGAGCGTCGCCTGACTGTTGTCCTTCCGCTCGCTGTGGCCGGAGATGAGGAGATAGTTCTTGAAGTGCTTCAGCAGGGTCACTTTCTTCCGCAGGTCGTCGGGGTAGTCTTCCAGCGTGTGTCTACTGCGCTGCTCGGGACGGTCCATGGTTCGCCGCGTTATGTACTCGAACCCGATCCCTGTCGAGGACTCCAGTATAATCTTTGTGCTATCGTTGAAGTAAACCTGGTTGTTGTGGTGCAATTGGTAATGAATCAACGTCGTTTCAGCAGCAAGTGTAAGTAACTTGCAGCAGTTAGTTGAATCGAACCTTCTCGGAAGAGCACGACAAATCATTCATTCTCTTACCGAAAAAAGCGAAAAAAAAGTTTGTTACAATACCCCTATGCTGTGGTCGGAGAAGACGTACCCGATTCCGTATTTCGAGCTGTAATCCACCCACTTTGTGACCCAGAGCTCCGGCAGCGTTTCGTCTCCGCCCGGCTGGGGAGGCTTTGCTATTGACTGCACCGCGGTACTCTGTGGTTGCAAAACGGGTTTTGATGTTGGTGGTGGTTTACTGTAGCTATTGCTCTGATGGTGCCCGGGGGATGGCTCTACTCTGGCATAGGGCGATACGGGTTTTGCGTATCGGTCTACAGGCTTTGGACTATACGCCTGATGCAGCCTTTCTTGCACTCCTTTTGCATAGGCGGACTGAGTTTGGGTGTAACAGTTTGCAGTTTTTTTCATTCGCTCGTCGAAATCTCTCTTCTCCTAAAAAAAACGGGTAGATAGCTCTGCCAATGCCTAAATGAATCATTGAATCAAAGCATGCTAGTCCGAAAGAAGTAGAGATGTGCTGCACGATGGATCACGAAGAGCAGATCATCAGTGCAACGCCCTAATGGCATCCAAGAAAGCAATAGAATACCATTGGCTTTTCCTTTGCACTTCCCGCCGTCGGGCTATACCTGTACCCGAGCGCGTCGAGGAAGACTGCTGGACTTGCGAAATGGGCGTCCTCTCGCCGTTTCTCCCCGACAGGCGTTCGCACGGCTGAAGACTTTCGCTCCGACGACTCGGCTCCTCTTGCGCTAGAAAGTGGCCCGGGCCTCCCCCGGTCGCTGAGTTGCGCGGGCACAACTCTGGCTGACATGGGTCTCCGATCCCCGCTATTTGCGCGCGCGCGCGATTCCAGCAAGCCGCCGGTCCGCGGTGTCCCTATCGAGGTTGCCCCGTTGTAGTTACTGACCCGCAGCGGCGGTCTCGCCGAGCTCGGCCGTATCAACCCGGAGCCGTGCGCGTTCAGATTGTGGGTGCGCGCGCTGCTGTTCGGTATCGCCGAACTGCTGCTCGCGGCTGTGTAGCGGAACGCCCCCGGCGGGTCTTCGTAACCGTATGCATTGTTGCTGTGGTGCACTGGCGGCGGGAAGACATTCTCTTGGTCGTGCGTTGTCTGGTTGTACAGCGTATCAAGTGTAAAAATGTCTGGGTCTGGAAGATTGGAACTTGTCATGCTAACTTTGGACTCTAGCAAAATCTGTATTGCATGACCAGCAAGAGGAGTCTAGTTTGTGCTGCGCGGGGAGGGCGTTTGTCATGCGGAGTAGGCATCAGGAAGCCCTCTCAAAATCTGTGATGCGCGGTCGTCCATTACAGACATCCTGGGTCATGCAAAACATGCATGACAAATCTCAGAATCTTCCAGACCCAGACATTTTTACATTTGATACAGCGGAGGCCTGCCGGACGCGGAGCCCGGCGCGCCGCCATGGTGGTGTGAGGGCACCGCGGACTGGTGGTTGCTGCGCTTTGATATTTCGCTTCCACGGCCAGGACTGGTGAACAAACTGGGGGACCGCTCCCGCATCGGGTACCGCTCAAACTGCCCCCGACTGCGCGGGCAGGGCGAGTCTAATCGCGCGAAGTCCAAAGCACCTGAATTCAGACGGCGGGATCAGTAGGTTAATCACAAACAGCTTGTTATCTTCGTTCATTTTTTCTGCGTCCTTGCAAAAAAACTACATTTTTTCCCTACTTTTACTAGTCACTTTCCTTCAAAAGTTTCTACGAAGCAATGACTAGTACGATCAGGAGTTTCTGATCTGGAGCTGGCGGCGCCTCGACGCTCGACCTCAGCTCCGTAGTTGTAGACTGGGGCGCCGGAACCAGGACCTGTAGTATTAGAAAATCGATGCGGTTTCGACAGTCCCTCTTTTGTAACTCCCAACAAGAATCCGTCGCGACACGGGTATTTTTCTACGACAAAATGAAGTCAGTGATACCTGAAACGATGCCGTTTGTATTGCTCCCGACAGTGGTGCTGACGCTCGGTGCCTGGTGCTGTGGCGGCGGATGACTGCTTTGTGCGGTTGCTGTCTTTGCTCGGCTCATCATCTTCATGTCGTTGATTCCTTGCGGTATTGGCGGTGGCAGCCGCGATATCGTCAACCACTTGGAATGCATGACCTGTAGGCAGTGTGGTTCCAAGTGCATGTCAACATGACAATTCCAGGTGTTCACTGAGCTCCTCGCCCAAGAAGAGGCATATGGAAGGAAGTTGACATCACATCTAGCATCAATACGCATACCTCGTCTAGCTGCGGCCGTGCTCTCGGATCCGTTTGAAGGAGCGTCTGAATCAACAGTTTCGCTTGCTCGCTTATCGCCACCGTGTCCGGGAAGGAGTACTGGTTATACCTGGAAGTCGTGTGAAGACCAACTTCGTACATCATTCTCATACATGCATTACAGCACGAAAACAAACTCGATCCTGTGTTGGAAATTCTGGAATGCAGACGCGAAAAAGTTATTCTACCTGATTTTCCGGTAGGTAGCCTTGACGTCGGACGTTTCGAATGGTGGTTTGCCGATCAACATGGTGTAGAGTATCACGCCCAAACTCCAAACATCTACCTCGTAGCTGTGTCCGGTTTTACCTTTTATTGTGTGTGCACGAAACAATTCCCTTGCCTTGTCATGTTGACATTGCAATCACATCACACATCCTCCATTCATTATTCCATTTCCAACATCAAAAGCAAAACACTGGCAAGATCCAGCATTATATATACCGTCGAGAATCTCCGGTGCTATGTAGTTTGGTGTGCCGCATATTGTTCGCCGTTTTTCATCGTCTGACTCGAGCTGCGCCGCTAAACCAAAGTCGCCGATTTTTATCCTCATGCAATCGTCCAGGAATAAATTACCCAACTTCAGATCTCGGTGGAGAATTCTGTGCTTGTGCAGGTACCTGGTTCATGTTCGTTGTTGCACAGAGTTTCTCATCTCGATGTAAAAATGTCGTCCCCGGTAGAAAATCTTCCGTGCAGCAGAAAGAGAACGGAAAACACAACGCTACTATGATTGCAAGCAAATGATAGAGTTGTACTTCAGCGCCAGGATTAGATCGTAGATGTAGAACATGGCTTCTGGTTCGGCCATTCGCCTGTTGGTTCGTTTCCTCAAGAATTCGTTCAAGGTTTGATTCGGACAGAGTTCCAGGATGATGTAGACATTTTCTTGGTCTTCGTAGTACTCGTAGAATCGCACCACCTTCTCGTGGTTGAGACTTCTGTGAATCGAAATCTCGCTCTTCAATTTTGCCTGCGCCCGCGGTTTGGAAATTGAAGCCTTGGAGACGATCTTTACGGCGAAGACCTCGTTGGTCTCGGCGTGTGTCAATTCGTAGCATCTTGCGAAGCCGCCCTTTCCGATAAACTTTCCCTTTATATAGTAACTCGGCAACTGACGCATAGTCTGCGCCGCGATCGGCCCGATGTTGTGCGTGGGGTGCTGGTTCTCTTGCGGCTGGATCAATTTGTTTGGCTCCGGCGCGCTAGACGTGCGCGGCTGCCGCGCCTGTGGCGGCGGCCGGAACTCCTGATGCGTCTTAATTTTGCTGGTTGTGGTGGTTAAAGAACACAATGATGGAAAACGGCAGAAGAAGGGGAAGTTTTGTTGCTATTATTATCATCGTTATCTTCCTCCTGCTCGTATTTTCCGTGGCGTCTTGTGCGTTCGAATTCTTGTCTGGAAGTGGTGCTTTTCTCTGCTGCCACGAAGGAAGTGAAAACGAAGGAAATGTCCTCGTTCAAAGTTAAGATTTTTGCCGGCTCGTTTTCGTGGTCAGCACGAAAGAAGTCGGCAGAGCGCGCTCTTGCGCATGAAGTGATACTAGCACAGGTTCTCGTACCACCACGACGCGCCAGAAGTATTCACGTTTTTTTCTCTTGTCTTCCACTAGAAATCGTTCATCATACAAGGGAATGGCTACTTCTATATTAGGCTACTTCATTTCGACGCTCTTGATTGATTCAAAGCCACTTGAAGAACTTTTGTTCTTCTTCCACATCATCATGTGCCAGGACTTCTTCGTATTCCGTACTCGTACTACGCGAATTCTAGGCGCGAATCGCCTCCTCTTAGAACTAAATGGAACATATTGAATCAGTCACCAGCCTCACTTATTTTATGGCCCACGAGGAGATAACATAGGATTAGGAATAACACACGAAGCTGGAAGCACCTTTTTTCACTAGCAACGGGCAACTTTTTCACTAACACACACCTTTTGAAACTTTGCTTTGTCACACACATCGAGTCTTACGTTCGCACACAAGAGACGAGAAGATAACAAAACTGTTTGACACTTTCAACATACCGGTTTGCGCTTTCTCTCACCTCCAAGCACCATTTGAATTATTCACGCACACACCACGTTGTCTGGGGGTTAAGACAGAACAACTACGACAGCTTTATGGAGACGGAGACCACAGATGTTAGTGTTACACATAGGAAAACAACAAGACCGTCCGTTGACAGCATTGACTTTATCTACGATAGGCTGGTCGGCTTTTCTAGTCGAAAGGAAACGCCTGAATTATGCCGATAGAGTTTGGTTCACGTTATCGATATCTATGACGGCGCAAGCTTGGTCGATGTTGATAATTCTTATGCCTAACTGCTGAAGCTCGTGTGTCATCTCGTGTACCAGTCTAGAGCTGAGCTGTGCGGAATAGTGAAATCCAGTGGCGGATGAGACGACCCCTTCTGGTTCCCTTCTGTCGAGATCGCGATGATCTGAGGTGAAACAACTACTAGTATCAAAGCCGAGATCAAGAATAGTACTCGTGCTGGCATCCTGTTCTGCCATCTCGGTGAGGGCTTCCCGCTGGAGCGAGACCTGCGCGAAATCAGTGCTCCAGCGGGCGAAAAAACCTCTTCCTGCAGTTCCATTTCGCTCCGCCACGGCCTGCTCCTCCCACCGTGCCAGGGCCTCTTCCACTTGATCTCTTCGGAGCAGCAGCAAATGCCGTAATCTGCTTTTCCAGAAACGGGCCCGTAACCGCGAGGGAAGAAACAAAGCTAGACCGCCGGATTCTCGTTCGACGAATTGGCCTTCTGAGACGAACATGATGCCAACGCCGGCGGCGGAATGGCAGTACTCCAGTTCATACAGCGAGGATGTGGCTCCGCTAGATTCGCCGCCAGTCTGATCAACCAACACGTTGTCTTTCGGAAGAAACCAAAAGCCAAGCTCGATGCAGCCCGTCGGGTTACTTTCGCTTTCTGACACCAGATCAGGAGAACGCACTGCACTGGTTGTTCCAGTCTGCAGCATCCGAAAAATGTCGGAGACAGGAAGATCTGCAAGGATTTTTGCAAAATCGTATACCACACCACCGCCGCGGATCCGCTCCGTGCGCGTCTTTTGTGCTTTTGCCGTTGCCAACATGGCTTCAAAAGCATTTGACAATGGAGATATTAAGTCATTTGGCTGCACTAGCGGACAAACCTGGCCTGCTTCGCTGGTCTCGACGTCCTTTACGTCGAGCTGCTCAAAAGTTTCTTCTGCGGTTTCCAACATTTTTGCTACGGCATCGCGACCGTTGTTTTCTTCCGCAGCAGGCACCGCATCTCCGTGATTGACCTCCGAGAGGATATGTTGCTGCGGACGACGTGCACTTTCCTCTAGCAGAGGTCGTCCTACTTCTACAGGGCCATCTTCTTCTCCACCTTCTTCCACCGCAGGAACCTGCGCTCGCAAGAACTCGCTGCTTCTTTCCTGAATTTTCTCTGGAAGATCCAACACCGCTTCCGCCAGCACCTGTGCTTCCTTTGTACGCTCGACGAAGTCTCGCTCTCCGAGCGTGCATTTTCTGACGAGAAAGTCGGCGAGGGCTTGAAATCTCCGCCGTTTTTCGTTTTCAGGGGTATCATCTTCCCGCCCGGCATTTCCCGCTAGCAGGTCCAGTGCACTCATCGCCCGCAACAGTACTCCCGCCTGTTCCGCACGGATTCGTAGCTTGACGTGGGACTTCTCCTGTAGATACAACTCCGATGTGCTGGTGGTTCTCTCGAGAGATGTTTTTTCATGATCAGTTGTTGAAGGCAGCAGCGCTACTGTTGCGACAGCATCCTCAGACCTTGTTCCATCCTCAGCTTCGTCTACCAAGGGGAGCATTTGGCTCAACACCCGTTCGGTGACTCGGACACTGTGGACGCCCATGAAAGCGAAAGCATCCATTAACCGGACCGCTTGCGGCACTGTGAGGCGGTAGTGCTCTTTGACAAAGAGCGGCACCAGTGGGAACGTGTTGACAGCAAGGCATTCCCGCGCAGCGCAAGCGAACTCGACGACGTCTTTCGGCTTGTCAAAAATGGTAGAAATTTTCGGCAGATTCAGCTGCACGAGCGTCTCGAAGAACTCGTTCCGCTCCACGAGTCGCCGTCGCGGGTTCCCTAGAAGGAATAATGAGTCCTTCAGTTCCGAACTAGACAAACTTTCCTCGTTGCCTTCGATCCTGCGTATCATCTCTTGAAATCCCGGCTTCAGGCACATTTCCTTCCGTCTTTTCGAAACCGTCCAGTGCGAGGCGAGAATCTTCATGCAGTCGAGGATCTGGCCGACACGGGGAATTCGTTCCACCAGAGCGGCAAACCCGTTCCTGAAGACATTTGCGACTTTGCTATTTTCGTCCAAAACCGGGCTGCGAACCGTCTTCGTGTTGTCGTACAGCCGATAAATCTGGTCGAAGGATTGGAGCAGGGCGAGGTACTTCGGAGGTTCGAGTTGAGTTAGATCCGTTTTTCCACATTTTTCAAGCAATTCCACGCGGACAGGCTTCGGCAGCGTTGGCAGGGATAAATCCTGCCACGCGAGCAACGGCAAAGCTAAGTCGTTCATGGAGGATATGCGGAGCATCCGCCCCGCTTTTCCACCAAGACGCTGCAAACAGGCTTTCGCGATTTTGCTTTCGTGCACGCAGTTGTTTTCCTGCTGATATGGTCGTGCTGCCATTGGTATTCGCACACCGACAGTCGTCGAAGCAGAGGATGACATTGCCCCCGCGGTTGTTGATTCAAAAGCCCTTTTGTAAAGCGCAAAGCTGAGCAACAGCTCCTGCCGGACAGTTTCAGTTGCTAGTGGTATACGATGGTAAAGCCAAGTGCAGCATTCCAAAAAAGCTTTCCGGTCCAGGACACTGCATTTCGCATGGTAGAAAAACACAGTGCTGAGTGCAGAGGTGCTCATCGTTGGCAAAACTTCCTCCAAGGCAGCGACATACTTTTCCATGTCAAGTTCTACGGCAGGTGTCATGGCGGATGATCTTGACGATGAAACAAGTGCAGGATTCAGCGCTGCAAACTTTATCCCGATCTGCTTCTGTGCTTCTATTATCACGCGCCAAAAGTCGAGCAGACTCTCTTCCACAATACGATCTGTTGCGGAGATCGTACCACTCACGCCGGTTTTCCGCCCATTTTTCCGCTCCTGCTCCTTGACACTACGCGGTAGCCCCAAAACGCAAGACAGCGATGGTGGAGCTCTGGGATTCTGGTCGACGTCGAGACGCTTGTTTGCATGCGGCAGATCCTCACCATCGGCGTCTATGATTAAGGACTGCGCCCCAGCAGCTAACTCAGCGTCTGGATCATGCCCGTGGTTCTGCATAATTTCCACTGTTGATTGCAGGAGCCTTTCCAGCAGTATTTGTTTTGCGTCACGCGGCTCTTCATGCTTCGCTAGGGCATCTACATCGGCGTCTGCGGTGTAAACCTTCAGACGAAGTGGCCGACGTGCCTCAATCAGCAGAGCATGCGGATACTTGATCACCGCTGGTGCGAACACTTTGTTTCGGAAAGGGGCTGTTAAGTCCGAAAGCCGTTCGCTCCCTAGCAGCTCCTGCACAAGCGTTCTGACAACATGGATTCCGTCCCTACTTGCGCCCTGGATTGCTAAAACAGCAACCAGCATCTGAGCTAGGGTCTCAGTGTCATGCTGCTCTTTTGTCCCCACGACGTCGCGGACCAGACCAAGTACCCGTGGGTCCTTCTGCAAAATTGTGCGGAAAGTGTCTCGAAATTCCATGAAAGACTCTTGCGCGGGGGGCGAATTATTACCGTCAGCCTGCTCCTGTTGTGACGCCGCCTGGTTGCTATCTTCCTGCTCCGCGTCTTCGCAAATCGCATCGTTCTCCGCCACTTCTAAACGCGCCGCTTCAACAGCAGACGGATGCACAAGCTCCAGCACGTGCTCGTGTGCTTCGAAAAAGTGATGTGACACCGCCTGGTAGAGGAGGGAGACGCGGGCACGCACTTTTTTTTGCTCCATCGCCATTTCCAGATTCGAGTGAAAGCCGTCCAACGCCCTACCTCTCCTTTCCTCTGCAACTCGCTCCTCTTCCAGAAATTTCTCGGCCGCTTCTCTCTCCTGCACCGCAGCGACTGGGTCCGGGTTTTCGCAGGCTGCCGAAGGGTCGAAAGTTGGAGGAGACGAGTGCGCTGAAACAAGTTGGTCGCTTCGGCCGTTATTTCGTGGTACGGTCAGCATGTTCTTTGTTGATCGACCGGGCAAAAGTAATTCAGATGGCGCTGGTGATACTGCTTCAGTCCCCCCGGGTGCTAACAGTTTCTGACTGCTAGTCGATGCCGACGAGCCTCCTTCTCTTATCCTCAAATCCCTCCCAGCAGCGGTAGCCGCAAAAGATGGAACTACTGGATTTTCTCGGAGCGATTCCTTCGCCTGTCTGCAGAATTGCAGCGACTGCCGCATTTTTTGCCTCAGCACGAACTTCTCCTGTCGTGTCAAGGTTCGCGGTAAGTCGAATGCCAGTTCTTCGTCCCTGCCACGCTCTGCCTGTTTTTTTGCGTCCCTCGTTGCTCGCCGCCAGGGTAAAACACCAGGCGGTGTTTTGCTCTTCGGTACCGATGCACCATGAGAGGCTGGCTTTCGTGCGGTGGCGGCTGCAGAGTGCTTTCTTAGTAGAGAACTCTTCATTTTCTGTATCGGATGGTAGTAAATGTCGGCATCATCTAATTTAAATTTATCAGTACATCAGCGAGTCATTCCCCCGTCGGCACAATGTGTAGGACAACATGTGCGATTTTTGTTTGAAAATAGCGCTCCGGCCGGGCCTCGCATCTTCTCAGCAACCAAGCAATGGAACCGCCAAAAAAATGCTTTCTTCTTTTTCCGCGAAACCGAATCACGAGAACTGGGATCAACGAACTTCGAATCACGAGAACAACCGGCTGGGAACGCACAAACAAATCACGTATGGACAAAACGACCTGAGTCTCATCAGAAGCTGTTCACGACACGTACCGAAGTTCCGCAAGACGCGAGGAATGTCTAACGTTTGACTTGGAAGGATCTGATCTCCAGCTTTGAAGACACAGCGATCTTCATCATCATCATCATTTCGTTTCGCAGTAGTGTGGATCGATCATGTGAACAGTGAGGAAAAGCGTTGGCACACGAGTTGAAATGGACTTTTCGCCTGTAACTCTGTGGATATAATTTTTGCTTTCAAAAGTAAAATTGCATCGAAATCGCGTCGGTCATCGTCAGGCATTTTTCGATCATTCGTGTGAAGTTTCTGCAAACAGACCTCTCACATTTTAGCGCCCTTTGTCGCGTTGTCGCACTTTCCGCTGGTTTCTGGTGCGGACACCCAGACCCTTTCGCAGTCGTTTCCGTGGTGCTTCCAACTTCGGGTTCAGCTTGAGTTCGCGCTCCGGGAAGGCAACTGTGATGGAGTTGTTTGTGAGGCAATGAAGTGTGCGCACGAAATCTTGTTTATAGAAGGATCTTCTTCGTGCCAGCAACAGCGGGTGAAAGTGAAATTGCAAATCTATCAAAAATCCGGAAAAAATCAAGAATACCTTCTTCCACAGGCAGATCTTTGTCCTTCAGCTGCTTGACGATGGTCATGAGAGTTTGCCGCTTGTGCGCAATGAGTTCCTCGTCCGTGGCGATCGAAAAGAATTCCTCTGCGACCGGCTTTCGCATGTGCTCCGGTAATTTCGCAGAGAACACCTCTTTCACGACGGTCTTCAAGAAAGAGTCCGAAAATGACGGATCCGCGAGAATCTGCATCCAGGGTTCCAGCAAATGCATCGTCGTCTCTTCCTCGTTGATAGGTGTTTGGGTTGATGCCTTTTCGGACTGTTCCTCAGCTCTATTTTCCTTGTTTTGTTCCCTCTTCTTCCTCTCCGCAGCGAACGTCTGAGTCAGTTCGTCCCAGAAGCAAGCGGCGACCTGCTGTGCGAAGCCCGGGTTGAAAGTGCTTTCGAGGCAAAGGGGGGCGAAGGAGAGCATGGAGGAGTTGCATTCTTCCACAAGGTCTTCGTCGAAGTTGTGGGAAGCGAGGACAGCGAACATCTCCGCAAGCTGGATGCGAACCTGTGGAAATGAAAAATGCGTTGCAGATAGGATAGGAGTCAGTAATCGAGGTAAGAAAAAGGTAGAGAGTTTCGAGTTCGATTTGAGTTTGAAGTAAGTACTCAAAGAAAACTTTGAAAAAAAAAACACTCTTACCATCAGCAAAAACTTGTTCATTCGCCAGGTATCCAGTTTTGGCCACTCGGTTTGAAAGACTTCGAAGAAGGACGCGAACCAGAGCGGGAGCTTTTCCGTCGCGATGCTCCTGGTCAGCTGCGCAATGTGCACGGACAGCGCCTGCTGCACCGGTTTCTTGTCGCTCATCCAAAGGCAGTAAAACAGCGCCCGCCAGAGCTTGACGAAGTCCAATTCCGTCAATTTCTCCCCCTTCTTCTTCAACCACTTTTGTAAACTTTTGAAGCCCTTGTCCCGCACGGATTTTTCGCAGTGAGACAGTTTCGTCGCGAACGCGGTGTGGTTGGTGCTGGCTTCTTCTATTTCTTTTTCCGCCTCTGCGTCGTCTGCCTGCTGCTGTGCCAGATTTTCTTCGTCAGCATCTTCCTGGTCGTTTTCCTCTGAGTTTTCAAACACATCGGCTTCCCTTCTCTTCTCCCGGTTGACAATTTCGGGTAGTCGCTTTTGGATCAATTTATGGATCTTCTCCTTTTGCGGTCGGTTTTGTTTCGCCAAAACCCTTTTTCCACCCTTTCGGTTCGGCCCGGACTTTTTTCCACCAGTCCTCTTCTGGGCGGCCTTCTTCTGGGCCCGCTTGCTGTTCTGCTTCTTCTTCGCGTTCTTCGGCATTTTGAGGAAGTCTAGGAAGAAGAATAAGATGAAAGAAACAAAAATCTAAGTTTCTCTGATGGACTTGAAAGAAAAGGCAGCTCCTTCAGTCGCTACACTTTCTCATCTATATTCCAATCCACATTGATGATCAGACTCGATTTACGAAAAATTATCTAGAAGGGTACGGTTACTTAAACCTCCTGAATGAGTAGAACTCACAAGAAAATCAGTTCGTTTGTAACACAAGCAGCTTCTAAGTAGGTTCGAGGCTTTCGTTACGTGATACAGATTCGGGATTGCCAGATCAGCGTGTCAATTTTGTCTGATCAACCATTTTGATCCTTTTGTGACCCTTTTTGTGGATCTTTTGGCCTTGTGGTACTGGAACTGAAGTAGAAATCACATCCTTTGAGCCTAGGCGAATCTCAACTTTATCGCGGAAGGAAATTGATCTGTTACAACAATGCAGGTGTCGGATCACAAACAAGAATTAGTGGACACTTGTCCGTTTTGTAAGATCAAGACCATCGCGATGTCTCGGCTCGATTCTATTACGCAGCATTGCTGGTAACACATGGGCCGGCTTGCATGAACGAGCCCAGGCACAGGCACTAAAGACAAAGAACAAGATACTTACTTGCTTTTTGGGAAAGTCACTATCCCATCGAGATCTATACAATCACGTGCACAGGCAAAGAAATGTGAAAAGGGACGGTGGTAGAAAAGATTGAACAGAACCGGAGAAACTCGATCAGGGGCTCTTTCAAGAACCCGTAGCTCTAAGTGGCAGACCTATTCGAAAACCTTCCGACGTCCTCTTTTATGTTTTCCACTTCCACAGCGTCTGGGTACATTAGGAAATAATCGTCCCATTCTGAATCAGTATATCCCACAACATCCCCGCACCTCTCGTATTCTGGTCCTCGCTCTGGACGCCCTATCTGTCGACGCTCGATTTTTTGACTTCCTGTCGCTCGGGCGATTTCGTCCTTGACCTCTCTCTGCTGTGGGAGCTGTGTCCTGTTAAGCCCGTTGAACCAGCACCTGCGTCGCGCATAATCCGATCCGCTCCTGAAGTCTGCACGTCGATCTGTCTGCCCAAATTCAACAGTTCGACCTCCATGGGACGCAATTCTTCCAGTAACCAATCTTTGAGTCGCAATGTTTTTCCTGCATTAAATTTACCCCTTGCAATTGCTGCTTTGGCTTTGTCATGTGCATCCTTTAACGATTTGCCCGAAGATTTGAGGTCGGCTAGAAGACTCGTGTCAGTTCCGGCCTTTGATGGAGCAGCCTGTGCTGATTCGTGTTCCTGATTCCCGCCCTGAGCCTTTTGCACCGTACTGGTAAACTTTTGAAAAACGCCCTGCAACGCAGAAACGGAATCTCGCGCAGGGTTCAACGCTTTTTCCAAGCACTCTTGCTTCCGTCGCTCTAGTCCTGCTAGCTGGTGGTGAGTTGCCGTTTGCTGGAGTGCTTTCTTCGTCTGCTCCTGTGGTGCAGTGGTCTTGCTCAGTGGCCCTGCTCCGCTTGGTGCATGCGGTCCTGCTTTTTGTTCACCTTGGGGTTTGTCTTTCTGCGTGGTCTCGTCTTTCGTGTTCGAATGAGCGAAAGACGCGGGTATTCTGTGCTCCTGGTTTTTGCGCCGTAATAAAACTGACAACACTGGACGTGCATCTTGCGACGGCTGCTTCTCCTCAATGGACGGCGGAGGATCCGATTTGACTTTCTTTATCGCTTGCATATCGGGAAGGTCGAAAGCAACGCCCCGACTACGCTTCAAGGATTTTCCCTGAGAGGCCTGCGCCTGTTCCTCCTCGCTGCCCCTCTTTTCCTGTTTCTCGCCAAACCCGAACACTTCAGTGAAGTTGTAGCTGTGCTCGTCCACGCACAAGGTTACCTTGGTTGCGTTGATTTTCCATTTCGGGATACTTACGCGAGTCGTGTTCATTCCGTGGCCCTTACTCGGTGCATATTACTGCGGAAACACAATGTACAGACACACAAACCATAGAGGCGAGATCGAGAAAACGGAAAAATGCGTCACGGTCACAAATTAAAATTTAGTTTGTAACCGTGACGTACATATATATTAACTATACCCAGCCCCGAAAAGCGCGGACGGTAAAAATCGTGTGCTTCCGGAATGTGACAAAAATCCGCGTGATGAGGCCTGATTCGTGCGCAACTTTCTTCGCCGGTCCAATTTGCTCCACTACATCACCGCTGGATAAGAACGCCGTCACCCTAGAGCCTGTCTCGCACGATTCTTGCACCGAAGCGCCTGAGCTTCGCAGTAATTGCCATTTTCTCTGTCCAACGGCGCCGTCTCCAATTGATTGGGCTTCGCAAGCCTTCGACGCGGTTACATTCGATGCGCTGGATTTGGTGCCCGGCACAGTGGCCGCTTGAACTGTGGCAGGTGCGACTGCAGGAGGAGGTCGCTTCGATGCAGCGTCGAGCCAGTTCTTCTGCGCTGGAGGCAATGCAGCCGCCTCCTGCACTTTTGTATTTGTTGGCCTGGCGCAGGCGCCCCCCATTGCAATGGAGCGCAAAGCCTCTACGGCAGCCAGCTGAGCTGATTCTCTGCCGGCGCGGCTGTGCAACCGCAAAGGGTCCTCGCTTGACACTGCTGCAGCGCCCGGAGTGGTCGCTTTCCCGACTTCAAGCCTTGGCCGAGTGTATCTCTCGAACAGAATAGCCCCGCAACGACATGCGTCCTCCTTTGTAAGAGCCACAATTTGCGCCGCAAGTTCACCTACACGTGAACCGCCCGTGTCGGTTTTCGCAGCCGGGGACGCACAGAAGAGGTCGCCGGGAAATGGTTCGTGCAGGCGCAGCGCTGCGAGGTTGTGCGTTTTAAGTAAGTCAGCCTTTGCTGTGTGGACAACACCGTAGTCATCAGGATGCAGCGGGACGGACCGCTCAACGATCCCCATGCCGAAGCGGTCCTCCAGCTCGCGCTTGTGATTTTTGGGCGCTAGTGTGATCCAGTTTCCCATGCATAGATTGGAAAACTTAAACGCAAACTCCTCTTGCACTCGTCGAGGGTTTACTAGCTCGTAAGCCTGCACACGTGTCGTTGGTTTCGCAACCATGTATGCGTAAGCGCGACGGTTAGAAAGCGCGTAAAATACAGAGTCTGTGTCTGCAGCAGGACTGAAACGCGCTGATGGGTGCCGAGCTACTTCCAGGATGTTGCCTTGCAAAATAGATTCAGGATCTTCATTTGGACGGCGTCGGAATTCAGCAATCAAATCGGTGACCGAGCCGTAACCATGCTGAAAGTCCTTACTGATGTTGTCCTGCGTAAACCGGAGCTGACTCGTGCTCAACTCGATTTTTTTCCAATCGTCTTTGTTGTCATTCCAATTGTACTTGTGGTCGTCAGAATTGGTTCCACCTCTGACATGAGAAAATCCTCTTTTGTAAGAGAAGCCCCTTGCGTGCGCAGAGTTTCGATCCGCCATGATGTGGCTTTTTCGTCGTGTCACACCTGGTTTCCAAGCTTCGAGCTCAAGATTAGATGGCTCACTCCGTTACAATCAAGAAACTACAAACTCTGTGTTGCACATAGGTGCTCTCAATTTCGCATCAACAGCTGATGGGTCTCGGGTAAATCTAAAAAACCTGAAGTCGGATATTAAGCTAAGCGTAGCGATAGATCGATAAAGCTTCCCTAGGAAGCGAGTGATTGCGATATTCGAAAATCTAGTAAAAAAGAACGCACTTTGACGCTCTAGCGAACATAGAACCAGCAGGAACAACTGCATGAAGCCTTTCCAGAAGTTCTGTTTTTTCAAACATAGTCGTCGGGCCCACTCGGCTCTGCTCACCAGATGCTACACGTAGGTAGCAGGCTGCATGATCTTTGATGCGAAGAGAGCTCGAACTGATCCTGTAACAAAGCTGTGTCGACGTCCACGCGGAATGATTGTTTGTATGTATAAAAACCACGCGAATCCGTTTCGCGCTTCGCCCCATGGAAACGTCCAGAAAAGAGCCAGCGAAAATTGCAAGAACATTCACAGACAGAGTTGCTTCATCTCTCATCAAATCACATCTCACGCAGCTTCTTAATCCCCTCATCAAGAGCCGAGATTATCTGAGACGTTCGCACCGCTTGCGCCTGGAACTCCTGGTCGAACGTCAAAAAATCTGCTTTGAGCTGCTCGAAGCTTTCCTCTGCCGTGTCCTTCCCGCATGTCAAAAACGCCACCGCGGTGCTCATTTCGCGATGAAGGTCGTGAAGACGGTCCGAAATGCCTTGAATATCTGCCATAAGGGTCGAGGTGCGAGATATCCGCATCTGTGCGTCGTTTCGCGAAGCCGGCCCCTCGAGTCGGCGCGCTGCGCGCTCTGCCACATCAAGCAAATCGGTGAAGCCGCCACAGTTCTCGCGGTACTCGTCTACACAGCTGCGCGCATTGTCAAACTCGGCCTTGGTGGAGATACTTTCTGCTTCGGTGGTAAGCTGCTGTTCTGCCGGGAGACTTTTCGCAGCAGCATGGTCTTCGCCCAACGGCGTGATGTCCTCTGATGGTGTCGCGTTGGAAGTAGCCGAAGGGAAGGCTCGCGGCGTTTCCAAATCTTCAATCGATGCGGCTGCAGGGCGACCGGGCCGGTATTCGCCACCTCCCACGCACTGCCCAAACTTGATTCCATCCGATTCGGGCGATGACGACCGCGCCCGACTTTTATTGATGGCTCTCGCTTTTTTCTCTTTTTTCCGATTCCGGTGCCTGCGTTTTTCCTTTTTCTTCTTTTTCGCTCGCGGTGTTCGACGTCGCTGTGGCGAACTCGATGATGATGAGACTCTTGAACGACTGTAGTGACGTCGTATTACAATGAAAAATGCACCCATCCCGATTAGCAGAAGCTTCTCATGAGAATTTTCCGATTCCAAGTGAAAGCTTTATGTCTTGCATGAAAGGACTATATGAGTCTTTCTGGCGCAAAAGGTATCTTTTGCATGACAGACCCGCCTGCTGTTGGGCTTCTTTGCAACACATATTTGAGCTATTCAGCATGGAAATCTGTGATGTTGCTGATACATATTTATATGCAAGACGGGGAGCGTTTCTATTGGAAAGGTTTGCAATACGAATCCTGCCAAGTCCTGGGGCGGGAGCATTTTTCACTGTAATACGTCGCTGTCTACTTGCGTTGCTCCTGCGCCGCCGTTTTTCTCCTCTTCGCCCCGATCGTGACTCGACACCCCGAACACGGCGCCCGTAATAATCTTCGTCCGAAGAGATCGGGACGCTCGCACGAACGCGCGAGAGACTTCTGCTGGAGCTCGAGGGCGCGCTGTTTCGTCGTGCAGGCTTCCTTGCTTGCGCGGAGCGTCTCCTTCGTCTGCTCGTGCTTCTACCTCGTGTCGGACTCTCCGCCCCTTTCTCTCCACCGGGTACTTCAACAAAGTACTTCGGGCCGCCGGCATTTTCGGCAGACAGTGTCACCTTGATATTTATAAAGTGCTTGGAGTGCCAAGATGATTATAGTGCATTTGTCAACAAGAGTCGAGCCTCTGCGCAAGAAGAACTATCGCGCACACAGCGCGCAAGGCCTCAAAACCGGAACTGGTTTCATGCACTGCATACGGTACCTGGAGGCACTATTGCTTCTTGCTGCGTAACTGACAAGCACCTCTGAGCTATGTATTGACCACAAAGAAAACGGGGCATGATAAGCAAGTATGGGAACTATACCCAGCCTAGCGTGTGCGGCAGAAGAGGTTCGCCCCGCTTCCCGCTCTTTCCCTCCGACAATGGGCCTGGCTCCATTTCTTTGCTTGCCTGCCGTATGTCTCGGACCAAGTGCAGACACCTGTAAAAAATTAGAAGCATCCACTGTCGCTTGCTAGTGAGCCCCATCATTATAAAATGCTCTTGCATGAATAAACAGACTGTGTACGTTTCTGCATGCGAGTGCTACACTGGCTAGAACAACAGAAAGACAAACAACAGCGCCCCATAAAGAGTGTCTACCAGTCCAGAATGGTTTTGGCGCTCCTCTCTCCCACAATCCTTGCAAACCTCCGCACAAGCGCATCGCCGATCTTGCCGCCCTCGGCGACGCGTGCATCTTCGTTTTGTTCGCGGTTCTTCAAAAATGTTTTCACCTCCACCAGTTTTCGCGTTGCTGGGACGTGTTCCTTTTCTAGCTCCTCCCATAAGATCTCCGCTTCCGCGGCGGCTAGCTCGCCAAAAACTGTCCACGTCGGCGGTTTTGCGGTGCTACTTCCACAGCCTACAGGCAGTCGGTTTGCTGGCAAGCGAATGGGCATGCGTTTGACGAAGCCGTCGCAGCCGGACTCGAACTCGCCGAACTCGAACTCGACAGGACCCATTTGCTCGACGGTTTGCCCTTCGGCGAGCACTCCTAACTGCTTAGAGGACAGGCACTTGCTCGAACGCATCACCACCCCGGTCCGCGCTACTTTCCAATTTTTTTTTGGAAGCGCATTCCGAGGTACGTATTGCTGCGCGCTTGTCGAAGTGGTCCGCTGCGGTGGACGCATCCCGTGAAGCCCCGGCGCGATGTACGGAAACGGGAGAACTCTATCACATGAGGTCGGTGATGTTCGGCGGCTGTTGCCCACCTGGTGTGATGCTGTAGTGAGGCTGAGCCTTCGCCGCTTTGTGCCTGCTTCAGTCCCTGAACACGATGCGTCGATGTCCTCACCAAGAAAACCGTTTCTACCATGTGAGCCAGTCGCGCGGGTCGACGAAAAAAGCGAAGCCGCCACACCAGTCGTGCTGTGTTCCGGTTCGGCGGACAAAGCCGCGACGGTCGCGAGGGTCAGAGGCTGCACTCCCCCGACATGCTCCGGACGCAGGGCGTCTACGAGCGCCGCGGCCCGAGACGGGCCGGCTTCCATTCGGCGCCGCGAATACGCCTCGTAGAGCAAACTGCCGCAAGCGCTTACCTCCTGCTCAGTGCGGCCGACTATGTGCGCCACAAGGTCTCCCACCTGTCCGCCCGGCAACTCCTGCGAGTGCTTAGCAGCGGGCCCCGGCAGCGTCGGTCTTTGCACGCAAAAAGTGTCAAAATTTTTCCCCGGGAGGTGCTGCGTCAGACTGAAATCAACGAGATGATATCGCTTTACCAGGTCGCCAATTTTATCGCTCACCGCCGGGCCGTCGTACGGGTGCAACGGCACAAATCTCTCGTAGACGCTCGTATTTCCAAACCGCTGCTGCAGGTTGGTCTTGTGGCCCTTGTCCGTCAGGGTTATGAACAGCCCATCACTCATATCCCGTGTAAAAACGTCTCCACCCCATCACCAAATGCAAAAATGTGTAGGTCTGGGAGATTGCGACATTTGTCATGCACATGCTATTCTGGCATGACTCCGAAGTTGGTATTGCGTGGCCGCGAAGAGCCCCTCTTGCTGGTCATGGAAAAACGCAGTTTCTCATGCGAAGTACGCAACGAACTCAGAAGCGTGTCATGCTTGGAAGCGCATTACAGTTTTCTCACTACTCCCTTCCTTGCATCACAGGTTTCCAGACCCAGACATGTTTGCCATGCTGCATGCTGTATATGCAAATTTGGACGCTGAGAATGTTTCTCATGCGGAGCCTCATGTTGATAGTGGTGCCCTGAGCTTTGTTATGCTCAAATCAGAATGATAAGCTGGATCTGTAACGCTGCTGCACTAGCTAAACACGACGATACTACGACGAGCCCAAATTACTCATGTGCAACAGCCAAAGCTTCTTCATTTGTCTTGCAGATTTCCCAACTTGACTACGGGGCGGGGACGTTTTTCCTCGCAATAACTCACGCTGGAAAAGCGGAACTGAAATTCGTGCTGCAGCTTGTGCTCGTCCACCAGCTCCTTCGCGTTGACCTCCTCCCCGGGCCGGGCCACGATGTAGGCCAGGGCGCGCCTATTTGTGAGCGCATAGTAGACGGGTTCGGATCCGGGTGCCGCAGATGGGTGCCGTGCCACTTCCAGAATGTTGCCCTTCAAAACCGTGTCCGGATCCTTCGGGCTCGCGCTCTTCAGCTTGTCGATCAGGTTTTGAATTGGGCCGAATTTTTTGTCCGTAAAATCCCGACTGATGGTCTGCTGCGTGAAGCGAATCTGGCTGGTATTCAGTTTAATGCGCCTGTACGCGGGCGCCGCTTTCGGCTCCGGGGCGGACATTCCACCCTTATTCTTGCGCCCCCCGGACTCCCAAACCCAGCCACTATACATTTTTATTTCTTACATTAGTCAGCGAAGAAAAAAGTAACAAGAAGAGACAACTGAGACAAAGAGCAGGCCGGTGAGCGTATGTCGCAGCTTGATGCTCTTGTTGCGGAACAATAAACTAAAGCTCTGCACAGCACTAGAGCAAATACATATAAGACCAAGATCTTCTTTACTTATTATGGAGTCACCGGCACAGATGCGTATGCTTTCCAAAGACCCCGCAAGACAGGCAGAGGAAGCCTCTCGTCGCCCAAGTTTATGTCCGATTTTGGGCGAAGTAAAAGCGAGGGCGCTACTACTTACAATCAGGATCAAGGTCGAGCCGTTGTGCGCGATGAGGATCCTTAAGGACTCTTATTGTCGCGGACCTTTTCTTGCACAGCCTGAGTCTTCATTTGAGAACGTCATGCTGTTTTTGACGCAGCAAAATGCGCCGTGTGCCGTTGCTTGATCCAAGAATTCATTGCGGGAATCATAAGAGGAAGAAACGAAAGCGCTTGTCGGAATCATGGGTATGCACTAGGGATCAAAGTTCTGCACGTCGCGTCCTACAGTTAACCAAATAGGAATAGATCAGTTTCCACCTCGTCAGTGAGTAACGAACCTTCGAATGCGACCCAGTCGCCTTTCTTGCATTTCAAACTCTCGACTGACCTCCGCACAATGTCGCTCGATCGGTTTCAGTTCCTCGAGAATCCAGTCGCGCCATGTCGTTGTTTTCGTGGCGTTTAGCTGCAATTTCCGCACGGCTTCCTTTGCCGCGCTGTGTAAATCTTTGCCTTTATCCACGGCGGCCTGAAGGTCCGCGATCCAGCTTGCTGTTGCCGCTGCGCCCGCAGCCCTTTTGTCTTCCTCGCTGCGAAGTCTGGTTGCGATGGCTGATGATTGCTGCTGCAGTTTTGCGAGGCACATACTCGCAGTCGCGCGGCTTTTCTCCAAAACAAGCTTTCTCCGCGCTTGCATCCGCATAGCGTCGTCGTCAGGACTTCTGCTGCGCCGCGAGCTTGCGCCAGGGGTTTCCTCCATAGTCGCTTCCGGTTGCGCTTTGCCGCGGCCCTGATCCGAAACCTCCAGCCCTGTCGCGATGAAGGGATATGGCATGATCGGGCCCCGTGATGAGGATGATTCTTCATCTTCGGAAACAAGATCCCGGCTGCTACAGCTTGCGTCATCCTGTGGCCACTCCTTCTGCGCGCTGTCATCTCTTTCGACCAATTCCACTCGCCTTCGCTTTGTACCAGCTTCGGCGACCGACGGTCTTCTGGTAGATGCGCGACGTAGATCCGCTCGCGCAGTTAGAAAGACAGCGCCAGTTGGGTTGGTTGACGGCGGCGCGTGAGATATTGTAGACGTTCGTGACCTGCTTCTGCAGCGAGACCTTCTGCGCGACCTTCGTCGATCCCCCACTCCCATTTGCGAATGTCTGTCCTCTGCCACTTCTCGTTCCGTTGTCAAAGCGCCCGGCACTGGCTGTGCGGCGTCACGAGCAAGGCCTTCGTTGCTTCTGCTGTTCCGAAAACTGTCAGTCAGCATTTGCATATGTTCAGCTACCTCCTCGGGGGTCGCGAAAGGTGAGACTAGCGGCAGAGCTGTGTCAGCATGATCGCCGCCTTCTTCATACGTGCCCCTACCGCCACCCCGGGTGCTTTCTACTTGTTCTATGTTTTGCTTAAGCTCCAGCTCCACTCGTGGTCGTGTGTAGGTGTCATACAATAGCCCGCCGCAAGCTGTTGCCTCCTGCTCCGTTCTCGCTACGACGTGCGCTATAACATCTCCCACGCGACACCCTGTCGATGCCTCCTTACCGGCAGCTGCTGCTGCGTGCGTAGAATTGTACTCCCGGACGCGAAAAAGATTTGGGTTCTTTCCGGGGAGATATTCGCGCAAACTCAAGTCCGCCAAATGGTACGTTTTGACCATGTCCTGAACTTCCTCGCGGACGTCTGCCAGGTCATCAGGATGCAAGGGGATGTGGCGCTCGTAGATGGAATCGCCGAATCGCGTCTGCAGCTTCTTCTTGTGCCCCCTCGACGTTAGTGTGAGAAAAAGCCCGTCGCTCAGGCTCGAAAACTTGTGCTTGAAATGGTACTGGATCGCGTGGCGGTCGACCAACTCGAAAGCCCGTACAGTTTTGTTTGGTCGGGCGATGAGGTAAGCGTACCCACGACGGTTGCTGATTGCGTAGTAAGTCGGCTCTCGGCCCGGCTCGCGGGGACGGGACGGATGCTGAGCCACCACCAGAATATTTTCGCCCAAGATGTGGCCGGGGTCGTGCGGACAGTCCATCAGTCGCGCGATCAGATTCTCCACGGGCCCCCAATTATCCTGGAAGTCTCTGCTGATGTTGTCCTGCGTAAACCGGAGCTGTCTTGTGTTCAACTGAATTAACGTGTACGACTGCGATCCGTCCCCGCCCTTTTTCCCAGCGCCTTTGCTGCGACGAGCTGCACGCGCTCGGTTTGACATCTTGCGTTTCTCTTTTATGTATGTGGGAATGAAGGACACGATAGGAATAAAGAACTTTTAAGTAAGTAGTAATGATGCACTCACAGCAATTCGAGAATGAGACACATGAAGTAGAGAAGAAAGGCACTCGCCGTAAGACCGAAGTTGTCTGCACTCCTCAAACAAACTTTCACTTCACTCAAAGCCAATCGCAACACGAACTCACTCGACAGACAATATACAGTCTCTCTTTTCCCTGAGTTAGACTCTCGGAAAAAAAAAGTGCGAAATTTTCTTTCCGCCCAGATGCGCGAACACAGGACAATCTCTTTCCTGTGAACTAAATTGAAAAGGTTTTACCTCCACCATTTTGTCGTCCCGTCATGCGAAAGAGCCGTAATCAAATTTCTGCTGTTCCACATTTGCACTAGTCGCTATCTGTTCACTGAATGAACCATGATGATGCTCAGCCTGTTGCCAAGCGACTGCGCTGGAGACCTCTCTCCACTGTCGTGTTCAGTAAACTGTGCCAAGCCCCTGCTGCCATCGGGGGCCCAGGGTGGCGCGTTCGCGTTTAGGACTTGAGCGCTACTGCTTGCGGTTTCAGCTCCTCCAACAGCGGAGCTTATTATATCGTGGCCATCTACTTCCGTCGTGTTGTAGTAGCCATTAGTTTCGACGTGCGAAGGAATGGATTGGTAGGAATAGGATTCGTCAAAAACTCCTGCTGCCGACGAGCTCCTCTCGTTGGGAACGCCGTAGTTATCTTGCTCCGCAGCAGATGCGAAGAATTGTGCCCCGACAACTACCTCACTATGTTCGCCCCCGCTCTGATCATGTTGTTCGAAATTGTTGCCGTGGGGGTCATTTGCCCCTACTGCTAGAGTGAGGCTGCTGCCTTCGATCTCTGGCGTGCTGCTGTTGCAGCTCCATTCTGCGTGCGCGACACCGTAGTCGTAAGCAGGTTCTTCGTTGCCATACCCAGCAGCAACCTCAAAACCGAGGCTCTCCTCATCCACGGTGGAGCTTGTCCCTGTGCCGTGCGTGGTACTGTCGTCGCAGGAACTATTGTTCAACGGAAAAAACACAGAGGTCGCAAACGGGTTCGGGCGCCAATCCGACTTCTTCTCAAGATCGGACGCACAGTTACCCGTCTGCACGTCTTCCGGCAGCTGGAACCCAAACGCCTCCCGCGGCCGTTGGTCGTCGTCCATCTCGCTTGAAAATGCGGTATGTAGTCTTACTGGCGTCTGCGTCAGCAACTGTCTCTCCAACTCCCGAGCGCGAATCTTGTTTGGAGTGGAAGTTCCAGACACCAGAGACTGCGGGGCAGAGACAAACACTTGCGAAATGGCCAGCCGCGGCGTCGTGTATTTGTCAAAGAGGTAAGACGCACATACACTCACCTCTTGGTCCGTCCGCCCTACGACTTGCACTATCATATCGCCAACCCGCGCTGACTTTTCGGCTCGTCTGCCACTTGACGAACCTGCGCTCTCCTCCTCCTCGTTTATGCTGTTCGTGCAAAACACTTGGTTGTTGGGATAGGGATCGCGGATATTCAACTCGGACAAGTGATATTTCTTCAACAGAGCTGCGCGTTCCGCCCGCACTTCCCCGTAGTCCCTGGGGTGCAGCGGTACGTTGCGCTCAAATACGGTGTCCCCCTTGCCCTGCAGGCGTTCCTGGAGGTTCTGCTTGTGGCCGCGCGGGGTGATAGTTACATACCGCCCGTCCGTTATGTTCGAGAACCGCTGCGCAAAGTGCGTCTGCAGCTTCCGCGTGTCGGTCAGCTTCCTGGCCTTCACGATTTTGTTCGGTCTCGCGACCATGTAGGCGTACGCGCGGCGGTTGGATATCGCGTAGTACACCTTTTCGTCCTCACTCTGCCTCCCCTCACGGTCATTGGGGTGCTCGGCGACTTGGAGGATGTTGCTCTTCAAAATGCACTCCGGGTCCTCGTCGCTGCATGCGAGTAGCTCGGTGATCAGGTTTTGCACTGTGTTCTCCACTGTGCCGTGCCGGGCGTGCTTCCGAAATTCCTCGCTGATGGAGTCCTGCGTGAACCGCAGCTGCCTGGTGTTCAACTTGATGACTTCGTACTGCTGCCAGTCGTCCTCCACATCGGACGAGTCCGACCGCCGCCACTCGGGAATACCCTGCAGACCCGTAGTACTGTTGCGTCGCGACAAGAACGACCCGGACGCTGCGCGACTCATTCTTCAAGCGAGAAATGCGGGTTTCCACTTCCAAGTCGAATCGTTCTTAGGGGTGGATATGTGTCAGGGCTCGACTTATTCAAAGGTAGACTTAATAATCTTTGCATCTAGTCGCGGTCCATCGCGCAATAATGAGTGTGTTGCTTTGGTAGTAGGACTGAAAGTGGCCGAAAGTAGAACGAACGTTAGGCTTCAGGAAAAAACGCTGTAGCAGGAGCGAATATGTTCACTTGGCGGGCTTAGCGCGCAGACGTTGTAAATTAGTTTGGATCGACAAAAAAGAGAAGAACATGATCACTTTGCATCTGCTCTCGTCACAACACTCAGTACGTGCAGAAGATCGAATGAAACGAAACTGCGAACTCGATCATCGTGAACCTCAAAACTACTTAAAATTTTTACGACCTTCCAAGATGCACAAACCACTTTTGTGGAACGCATGTCACTCGAACTGCATGTCGGTGTGTATGCGCTTTATGAAATGCCGCCTCAGTCCAGAAGTTAATACACCTTTCGACTCACCGACCATAATGGTACTCACTGTTTCGATGTTCACGCCAAAATGTAGGCTTTGTGCTTCTTTTGTCTTTCCTCCCATATTGCATCATTTCATCATCATCTTGAAACAAAGCGCTTTCTTCACTATCGAGTTCAGCTTCGTTAGATGTGGTCGAAGATCCTGGTGTATCTTTATCACTAGTTTTCGCACTGCTCCTCAAAAATCGTTCACCTTCAGCCCCTCCTTCCTCTGGTCCGTCCGCCACCGGCGGCAGCCCCATCGCGTTGGCGGCTTTCTGCGCGAGGCGGTCCAGATGGTTTCGCGTTTTCTCCGGGACGTACGCCCGGGCTTCCGGGCGGTTCACGCGTTTCGGGAACCGCCACAGGTCGCCCCACATGACGTGGCGCGCAAACCTGTGGCCCATGCAATCCGCTTTCGAGCGGGACGTGCTGATTCGCTCGAAGCGGCCCATCGGTTTCATGCGGTCGAACGCTTCGTCTTCTTTCGCAGTTGTGGTTTCAGATGATTCATCCCAGCCAGGATTCGATTCTTTTGCCCCCTCACTTGCTGTTGCGAAAAATGATGGTGCGGACTTCGACCCACACGACGACGACGACCCACCTGAACCGCACGAGCCACTCTTCCTTTTCCCCGGACAGTGACTGCAAATGTCCATCAGCGTATGCCCGCCCCCCTTCAGTGCCGGCATGACCACCCGCGGCCAGAAGTAGCTCTGTTCCTCCGGCGACTGGCAGGCCGCCTCGGTTTTCCGCACGAACCGCGGCCCGGGACCCCGGCGGATTGCGAGAAACGAGAATTTCTCCGCCTCCAGAAACTTCGCCGTGCTGCCCTTGCAGTAGACCGTATGGGGAAGGCGGTGAACCTGCTGCGCGAAGTGGCACCAGTCGGACCCGGTCACGGCCAACGGACACATGTCTTCGTGCGGACAGGGGGCGACGAAATGGAAGTGCTCCTCGGTGATCTCGTCGATAAACATCTCGCGCGTGTGGTGCAGAAACCGAAACCCGGTCGGGGTGCCCCGCTCGATCAACAGGAGCATGCCGCCGGGGTACGTCAACCGGTTCCACAGGTTGCGGATCAGCATGTCCCGGCTAGGCTGCCCCCGGATCTCCATCTGCACGTAGGAGAGCGTTATCAGGTCGTACCTGCGGGAGCAGGCGTTGTTGGTTTCGATGAAATTCTGCTCTTGAGACGGTAGTTCTTGCGCTGTGCAGCTTCCGAAGGACGGATGCTGACGTTGATGTGGAGGATTCATTCCCCCGGCACCAGCCACGTCGTCGTACAAACAGCTTTGCCACCTGAAGTCGATGTTTCCGTTCACCGACATGAACTTTTCCCCGACGGGGCTCGCCTCTGTCGCCGAGTCCTCTAAATTCGTTTGCGGGCCCTTCAACAGGTACTGTGCCAGCTGTGCCATATTTGCGGACGGCTCGATGCACGTAACGTGGTCCAGCGAGCGGGGAAACAACCGGAGCGCGGCCGCAACGGACGGCGCGGGACCGCTCCCGTAGTCGAGCATTCGTTTCGGGTGAAAGCCCGGGCACCGTAGCTTCACTTCGGATAAGACCCGGAGGTTCGCCGCGTAACTACCCACATAGCGCTCTCCGAGGTAGGCCAGGGCGGCTTCGGGCGACCAAAACATCTGGTACAGCTTGTGCTTCTTGTCTTCCGCGTGCGCGCGGGCGAGGCGAGACAAATGCGCCATGGTCTTTGGCGTGCGAACGGAAGTAGAATTTCGCGGTGATGGTGACGCGTCGTTGCGCTCATTCTCTTCGACGTTGTCCGATTTTTCTTCAGTACTTTCTTCTTCGTCTGCTTGTTCGCCATCCTCGACAAAATCATCATAGTCGTCCGTGGTTGATGGAGAGGAAGCACCAGAGGTTGATGAAAGCCCACCACCCTCCCTAGAAGCGCTGGCAGATTTTTTTTGCGCGTTCTTGACCTTTTCCCTCTCCTTCTCTACGCGATACTTCTGACCGCGAATGGCCGCCTGGTACACGGGATCACTCAAAATTCGGTCCATGGGCGACCCTCCGTCGGCGTGCTCCGGTAGGAAGCGACTGCTCAATACGGTTGGCACCTCCGTGGCGCTGCGGCTCCGCATGATATCCTGCACGTAGCGCCCGTGCCGCTGCACGTCCTTCTTGTGACCAAAGTCCCGGAGTAATTGCGCGCACCGGTCCCGGATGTAGTTGCAAATGCGGACCGGGGGCAGCGAGGTGCCGGCCACGCGGTCCAGGTTCTCCTCATGCGCGGCAAAGGGTGAGGACAGATCCAGATGGTCGAGCAGATGGCTGTGTGAGGCCCGCTCGTCCCTCGATCCGATGGTCCCGGTAACGGGACCGCGAAGGTGTTGCTGTTTTCTCCCGAGAGCATTGATTTTGCTCCGCCCAGCTGCTGCTTCAGCCGAGTCAAATTCGTCGCGCCGGGGCGCTCGAGAAGCTTCTCCGCTTTGGTTTTGCTCCGGTAAGGAACTATTTTGCGCCCGGGCTCGTACAGATTTCGTTTTCGACACCCGAATGCGATCAAACCGGAAGCCGCGGACTAATCTTGCCTCTGAAGTCATCTACAAACTGAAACCACGAACTTCACATGACGCACCGGACAATTTTTTTACTGTCGGAAGAAACGAATGCGAGTGCAAATGGAACCAGCAGATGAAGAATGCGTCTTCAACGAAAAAGCTGCGAGCGAATCTTGCTTACTTACTTTCTGCGGACGAGCAGGAAGAACTTAGCTAGTCCATCGAAGATCTTAGTCTCAAGACTCAATCGATCCGTCCATTGTGATCTGTTGGAACTTTAGCAAAGTCCTCCACCGGACACAGTACTGAACAAGCACAAAGACAGGAAAACTAGACACAGAAAAAGCCACGCGCCGTTTGAGCAGCTTTTCGCTTTAAACGCCAGCCTTCTCATCTTAAAACGCGGCGATGAATGTATCATGCGAAGTGTGAACGGTTCCTGGGTAAGTATCTGAAATGCGAACTCCTTGCACGACTTGACTTTCACTCTTTGGCCGTTCTGAGAAAAATGTACTATACTCTACTTGAAGACGGGGCGGGAAAATATACTCGCACACGCCTTTCCGGAGGGCTCGCGAGGTCGGCGAGTTGTATATCAAAAAAAAAACGCTAAAAAATGGGTTCACTTTAACATGCACTAGATCTACGTACCTGGTTCCATCATGGACTTGGACTCACGACATTTCTTGGCGCAACAACATTTTTTCGAACTTAATCAATCAATGTACCTTCAAAAGAGTAGGTATCCGAAACTTCCACCTCCTTTGGTAATTCAAATAGAGTACTTCTTCGTATGTAAGAAGGGCCGCACCTCACACCAGCCCCTTGCTCTTCGCCAGCTCAAGCTCGACTTGCTGTTCGGGTCCCATTTCGCCGCGGTGTTCCCAGACGAACGGCTGGGCCCCGGCGTTGTAGTGCACCTCGCAGGTGTCCCCGACCGCAACGCCGTTCGCGGCGGCCCACCCCGGCGCCGCCTCCAGGATCAAGCTGGCGGGCGTGGGCGTCGAGGTGGCGTGGAGATCCAATCGCTTCAGGGTTTTCAGAAACACGATCTTCTTCGATTCCGCGGAGCACCAGATAACGTCCAGATCGGTGAGTGTGTTTTTCATGTGGATCGACCGCATCACCATGCTGTCCCCTTCAAAAGGGAAAACCATGCCGGCATCTGCGGGTTCCAGCTGCTCCCGCCACATCAGACCCTGAAACAGTTCCACCATTCGAAGCGGCACTTGCAGCTGCAACCGCGCTCCCCCGAGGAGTGCGACGCCGTCGTTGCGCAGCGGTGGCAGGTTGCGCATCGCCTCCGGAACCACCGGCTCCGGTGTCTGCTTGCGGTATGACGGATCCTCGGGGCTGCTGTTCAACGTCTCCGCAGCGATTTTTGGTGGACTCAGTGTCGTCGAGAGGACGATTTGGGACGCGACTTGTTCGTAGCTTTCGGCGAACTGCCGCCCTTGCTCTGGACGACGATGACCTGCTCGAGGGGCCGACAAGAGATTACTGCCGACTGCGGCCCGCGCGGCCGACATGGCATCATGTTTCCGATCGGCGTTCAGAGCGGAAGGTACGTCCTTCATTTCGACGTCCCCCGCGGGCGAAGTATAAAAACTCTCCTGCAGACTAGAGGACAGCGCGCCGCTGGCTGGAGGCGTCGCAGCTATCGCCGCGCCAGGTCTTGTACCAAGCGGCAGTGTGCAGAACACCACCATCAGAGAGATACTCAGAAACGCTCCCTGGCAGAGCAGCGTGACCGGCTGCACCGCGGGCCTGGGAGCGAGCCCAACCTGCGGTTCCTCGTCCACATCGATCACATCCTCCCGCGGAAGCGCACGTCGACCCGTCGTGGTATCGGGAGTCCGGGGTGGGACGCGCATCGAGCCGTAGCTCGCGCCGACGTGGTCGGAGGTCACCCGCGATTTGGTCGTGTCCGTGTCCTCCAGGTGGTCCTGACGCGAGTAGTCATCGGGCGGGCCACCTCGAATCAGTTTGCTCCACTCAGTATTGCAACACAGGGCCGCACTTACGATAATCAGACTCCCGCCGAAAACCTTGTAGGCACTGACGGCCTGATTTAGCAGCCAAACGTCCAGCGCAAGCCCAAGCGGCGCAACAAGGCACAGGGCCAGCAGAAACGTCTGTGCGGACAAGAAAAACCCGGAAATCAGTTTGCTCATCCAGAGGTCCTGGCATCCGCTTGCCAACACCACCCAAATCACAGCGATCCAACGCCCAAAGGAGGCCGCGCTTGCGTGTAGTCCTGCTTGTTGTTCTGGTGCCAAACTAGTGCTGTCGGGAGTCACGGGCAGCTCCCCCGCTCGTCCGAGAACTGCGGGCCGTTCCGCCAGGAGCGAAAGTGGAAGGAGAACACACGAGGCACCCATCAGCGCACCCAGTCCCCAAACCAAGAGATGCGGAGACTCCGAGTCCACGAAGTCGACCTCTTTCGTAAGCACCACAAGCCCGAGCGCCCACATCGCAGCAGCCAGAAGAAACAAAGCACAGCCGACCGCAGCCACAGGCCAGGCGTTTGTTGAGTGGTAGTTGGTGTTGGGAAACGCAACTGGAGTGGAAATTGTCGTTCCGAAGAAGTGCGTCTCGACAAAAAGGATTCCCGCCACGCCGACCACCGCAGTCACCGTTGCACAAACAAGCCGGCCCAGTGGAAGCGGCCCCGCAGAAGTTAAAGGCACGGAGCTCGAAGAATCGTTGCGAAAGTTTGTCGAGGTCGTGCTACGATTGCTCGGGACGGTGTTGCTGTGCCGGGCGGAGCAGTCACCGCTTTCCGTGTTAAATGCGGTCGATCCGCCGGAGATGCTGCCAATCATCGACCTGCTCAGCCACTGTGCGAACAACGGAGCTGTACACAGCAGCATCAATCCCGTCGACAGCCCCGTGCGCTGAAGCCCGAGTTTGCAACACAGCACCGCTAATGTGGTGGGAATCCCCACGCGCGCTGACACGGACAACAGCGGGCGCAGCCCGCCCATGGCGGCCACCATGCTGGATTTCTGGTTGTAGCGTTCCGCGGCGTTGACGTACGCGAGGAGCAACACAAATCCCGCCAGCACCCGTATCGCAAGAAAAAACTGTTTCACTGTAAACTTGTAATGCAGAAAATGCATCCGAGACGTGTCTGTCTTGCTACACATGCAAGACAATGGATTTTTAGCTGTGTTTTCCCTTAGGGATCTCGCATGGCAAATTTTATCTGTGATGTAGAACAAACTTGTCATGCAGAACGTGCAAAATCCTTACAGTGAAACACTTTTTTCGTACGATAACCCGCGAGGCGCACGCAATCGTACAGGGGTAGGGAAGCCCCAGCGTCTCCGCCATCACCAGCTGACAGACAAGCGCCTCGAAAACCATGACTGCACAAAGCTGGACCAGCAAGGCAGCACCTTGCGTCTGCATCGAAAGAGCACCCATGGTGATGTTTCTGGATCTCAATCTGTTCCAATTTGCTGGATAATTTGCGTTGTGGATAAATTGATTCTAGTGCGAAAAAAATGAGTTACGGGGGGCGTGCGACGACCTTGACCTTCATGATAATTGAAATTTTCTGTCAAAAACAAAAAAAAATGTCTGTCAAATACTTAAAAGCCTTAAATGAGTTTGAATCTCGATCAACTTTCAAGTATTGATTCTTATGCTCACCTACACGAAGTGTCGAAAAATTGTTGACGATGTTGTGATTTCCGAAAGCAGTAGTTGTGACGACAACTTTGTACGATTCATCTATACCGCCTTGGACAGTTCAACTTGTACGATTCAACATTATGAGTACGATTCATGATTTTGACGATGACAACAGGACGACAACGTGTGCAGCACATTTCTTATGATATCCAGTGAGCGCCGTTGTCGAGCACTAGGCAACTACAACTGTGCCTGCTTGGAAAAGTCTCGAACACGCGAAAACGTGCTGGCACAAACGCAAATGACACACAAAAGGAGAAGCACCCTATCTGTGGCGCTTTTGTTCACTGTTGACATCATGAGCAGGTGGTCAATTTTCCACAACATACATTTACGAGGCGAGGTGTATGTTCCATTTCTACTGTGTAAACAAAAGCAGCTACAATCGTGAAAATTAAATCGACACAATCGGGTCAGTCGCATAGTTTGTAAATGTCGTGATCATAATCGACGTAGTGTAGAACACCGGCAAACCAGCTGCTAGAAGCAACAGCAAGTGAGGTGAGAATGAGATACACGTAAAGGAAAGAGAAGGCTAGCCAGCTTGGTTTGGAGTGCCGTTCAATCAATGTGAGCCTGACGTCAGAGAGTAGCTGAAGATCTAGCTGATTGAAAGTTCAAGAATATTCCGCCTTGCGAATAGAACCTTCGTCAGACGACGAGACTTCGAATTGATGCCTAACACCCTCCAGCTGTCAGATCTCACCTGCTGCTCTAGCACTCCATCTAGCTTTGTCTGAAAAAACGGAGACGAACGCAGCAGCCTACGAAAAAATAGGCTCCGACGGCCGATGTGCAGCAAGGAAGGCACTCACAAGCGAGAAAGAAAACGGTCGGGAGGTTTCTGGGAAGCGAAAGATTGATGACCAACTGGTATTTAGAAGTAGTAGAAATAAAGCAAACACAAGCTATGTATGCACATTTTTAAGGGAATAACGGTATACACAAATACAGTAAATGAAGAAGATACAATTAAAATGGTACCGATGCTGCGTCGAAGAAAATGAAAAGAGTACAAACTTCTTGTGAAAACAGAACCACACAATTGCAGAATATTTCTATTCGACGAAGAAAAACAGAACGCTGATCAGCTCTAGGTTGCAGGGAATCTAAAATTAGTGCATAAAATCGCCGACGAGCACGAGAAATCAGGAGATTTCGTTCCCGTCATCATTTTTTATAGCTGTTACAGCTCGTTCCATAGAAAATTTCATGATGTGTAGTTCCATTTCAAGAAGCTCATGCCTGCCACGTATTGCTGATCTCGATCCAGCCTTTTGATATCGTAAGGCGGCTGCTCGGTCCCACCTGGCTTCAGTTCATGATATTCGTTATCCCAATTTTGCCTGCAGCGCTGCGAACTGGTGTTTGTAGCCGAACCGAAGCCGAGCATTCATACTTGGGAAAAAATGCAATCAATCAGTCACTTCAGTTAAGTCTGGCATCATCTCACAGATGGCGACAAAACAAACTGTAGACATTTCTTGATCTGCTCCTACTCCTAGCGATAGCTGCATTAGTTAACTGCTGACGATGACAGGGGCGGTTCTGCACATGGCATGCTTCCTGCATCTTTTTAGCGTGATTGCTTACGGTTATCTGTCCGTATCTCGTCTTAGCGTTGTAACTGCTACTTCCAGCGGACAGCAAGATTTCCAGCTGACCTTGGCACTAAATGATCATAGAGCGCCACATATCGCGTTTGCGATCGACACTTCTAGCTTGACCACCGTCTGGTCTTGCAGCCGAGGTTTGGTATGAAAAACGAACATTTCTGCCAGGTGAAGACGGACTAAGTAAATCAGCTCAAATTTTTCGCTATGTGTAACTTATAGTGTACAAGGGGGATGAGAACGGTAGTTCAAGTAGTACTCTACCGGTAAAAATTCAGGTGGTCAAAAACTGACGAATAATTCAGATTGCTTTTAACTCTGTATTCTTGAGAAGGGGTCGAAGAAGAGCACGGGGAGTACTTATTTATCACGTTCTTGCCGCATATTTTTAATTCCGCAGGGTATAGAAAACGCTCTCGGTAATTCATTGTGTCGCTTTAAAGTGATTCGCCCTTTGCGAACTGTAGCGTTCGACAAAATAAACGATCGGTAGGATAATACATAGTATCCGGAAATAAATGAATCATCAATGCGGTTTTATATTCTCAAAAAAGTCATCTACTAGCAGGAGAACCAGAGTAAGTACTTAAGCCCTTCGGCCGACATCCGCACTTTTGAATCAACCCCGAAGGTAGCCTGGAGCCATCGATCGCGAGCCGAAGCGGTTGCAGTCTTACGTAAAATTTCGATTCTCTGTCATTATACTCATAGTCGTAGCGACGGTTGTGTGGATGGACTCAAGCACAGCACTTGTGTACCGCAAGGTAGACACGGCTGCTTTTGATGCGGGTCCGGGCGCCCCCTGGAGGGTCCGAAGAGCTTCTTCTACAGCTCACGCGAGAAGATCATGCCTAAACCAGTAACAAGTACGAATAATCAATGAGGAATTTAATACATTCTTGCAGTATCGAAAGCATCATAAGTGAAGGGTGGAAAAACGAGAATATCATGTTCATCATGTAGTACTTATTATAGCATATAATTTACGACTACAGGCCAAGAATCTCGGAGATCATCGTTGTGAAGATCCATGGGACCACACGGCTTCTGAACAAGCCCACTGTTCATGCACGGGGCATGCCGTCACCACCTGTGCCTGGAGTTGGAGTTGGAGGTGGACATGGGCGTGGAGACTCGGAGTCCGCCCTCCTGAACGCACCATCTTCGGCGTTGCTTCCCGGGCTTAGTCCACCCCGTGCCGCTGCCACTTGTTCCCCCTCAGCGGTATCCGCAAAAGGAGCGGCAGCCCCGTCTCCTTGAGGTCTCATGCCGCGAACTTCCGGGGACGATGGCGGCTGCTGGTCTTGCCGCTCGTCGGAACCGCGACCTGCGTGTAATCGTGGTTGCACTTGATCCCGCTGCAGCTGCCCCGCCTCGCCGAGCGACTCGGGTGCGCGACTGTCATGGAGACCGCCTGCGCCGTCGGGAGCACCACTTAAGGTACCATTATTCCCGCCTGGAAGCTGCATAGGCGGGCCAGCCGGACTGCTAGAATTGCTACTGATTCCGCTTCCCGCCCCGCTGCCGGGAGCAGTTGTGGAGGAACAGGAATCCGGACAATCGCAGCTCGTGCGGCGCGGCTGGTTTTCCATCTGAGCTTGAACTGCATCAACCGCCTGCTGGACCAGTATGTCCTGACTGCTCACCACGTCTCTCCGAAGCGCAGATGCCTTTCCTTCAGCCGAGCCGGCGGGTGTTCTGTCGACGCCTGGTGCGCCGCCGGCTGGCGTTGCCGGGCTCGGCTTCGCTGTGTGGATGTCGTAAGCCTCGCGCGGGCGCGTGGGAATGCGATCCGATTCTTCAGCCCTTCGCCGTCCATTTTGGTAGGCGTGCAGAAATCCAGCCGGGTGGACGCCTGCAAACCCGGGGTACTGTCCTCGTGGGTGCTGACCATGATGCAAGGGGTGACCCACTGGTCCGGCGGCTTGTCGATTGATAAGGTCCTCCTCGAAGCCACACGACGACTCCTCGTCCCCAGCATCCGCGGCGAGGCCAACTCCAGGTCCGCCTCCACCTCCTTCACCATGCGGATGGTGTTGATAAATGCCGCGTTGTTCAGATGCCTGCTGCTCCACTTGTGGTAATGGCGCGGGTTCTCGCCGCGGCCGGGGCGGGGGCGGGCTTCCGCCGCCCGGGGGAGATCCGGGGCCGTACCCGCCCTCCGCTCCCCAGAACAAGTCTTCCTCATCAACTTCCTCCGGGGCTCCGTGACGATGTTCGTACTGGATACTGAGTCCGGACACCCGGTGACCTGCTGGCGTAAACAAACAATGCAACGTGCCTGATGAACAGCCGGTTTCAGAATCAAGGAGCGAGATCGATCTCACCCGCTGCGGGTCGGCAATTGCGACCGCGCTGACATGGACCACCCGACCGGCGTTGTGTAGATCGTGGTTTCCCTGTTGTCCAGCAGAGTGGAGTATGTATCGCGAGCACGCCCTCTGTCCCTGGCTAATCCGCTGGCTTGCTACGTGGTGCGGGGCAACGTGGTGGCGCAGCTGCGGATCTATTGCGCTGGCCCTTCCACCCCGCTCTTCGCGAACCGCGTGCCCGTGAGAAAGGCCCCTTGGGGCAGCACTCGCCACTTGCATTTGCTGGTTACCGCTGCGAGCATCTGGGCCGGCTCCTAGCGCCGGCAGTGACGCGGGTCGCGGAGGGGGTTGGCCGGACCCCTGACCACCCGGAATTCGCTGGCTCGGAGCCGGTGTTGAAGGTGGTCCCATCGCACCAAGCCTGTCACGGTCACGTTGTGTCGAACCTGAGCCTCCGGACGAGTTATTGCTTCCGCTTCCCGGAGAATCGTCTGTTGCCGTCGGCGCAGCATGTTGTTGCTGGTCAGGACTGCTCGGGGGTGCAACCAATCCGGTCCGCCCCCCCGGTTCCGTGCCGTTCGGCGATCCTTCCGCGGGTGCGTCCGAAGGCACCGCCGCCTCTCCTCCACCATCTTCACCTTCACGCTGCTGCTGCTGCTCGGGGCTGCCTTATGCAAACAGAACTACCTGGCCACGAGCCGTAACAATGTTTGTGGAACAATGGTCTGGTCTTTCATTTCGCATTCGGTTTCGGATACTATTTATTGAATGTCGTAGCATGATTTATAAACTAGGTACATCCACCATGCAAGAAGTTCTTTATTACTCAAGGTGACGACTGATGTGGTCAGGTTTCTCTCTGCGTAGCAATCGGGGATGAAGAAATCCTCCCTGAACTCCAGGTGCGGCCATCCGCGGGCTTCCGCCGGCTTGAGAAGAGGGTTGAGGACTACCTTGGACACTCGCGGACGGCGGGAGTCCGCCGGGCCACCTTGCCCTCCCACGTGCCCCAGGAGAAGAGCCGGGTATGGACGGTGGTGCCGCAGGTGTGCTACAGTGATGTGAAAATTGCCTGCCCTCTCCACCCGGGGGGCTTGCCCCGCCGAACAGGTTCGGGTAGGATCCCAGTTGAAGTCCTGGGTGCGGAACCTGTCCGTGCCAATAGCTCTCTCCGCTACCCGGACCTGCAAAAGCTTGCGGTCCGCCTGGTGGTTGATAATGCGGCTCTGCAAATAATCCGCCTGCTCCGTCGCTCGGTAATTGGCCTGTGCCGGCGCCACCCTGTGGTCCGGGGCGTAGAAATCCCGAAGGGTCGGAATGAGACGTACCGTTTCCCGCATGCAAATATGGGGTGCCCGGACCTAGGAGAGCCGGTCCATGTCCCGGCAGAGAACCGGACGGATCGTGCGCCGGGTGGCCCCAGTGCGCCGGAGGGGGGCCTGCAGGTCCGCTCGGATGCTGGTGCGGTCCCGCGCCGCCGGCGCCGCCTGCGAGTTGCCCGGGCACTTGGTGCGGCATGAGACCGCCCCCTACGGGAGTTGGTGGTGGTGCCGGGGGTGGTGCGGCACCTGCGCCACTGCCGGGAGCGACGCCGCTCGTTCCGCCGCCCGGAGGTGAACCACCTGTGCCGTTCCCGGGTGCTGGTGCTGGGTGTTGTTGGTGTTGCAGTGATGGTCCGCTGGCAGGGCCGCCACCTGGCGGGCCGCCGCCCGGCTGCCCGCTGACTTGTCCGCCACTTGGTTGGCCGCCGGTTTGTCCGCTACCTGGCTGCCCAACACCGTGTCCGCTACCTGGCTGCCCAACACTGTGTCCGTTACCTGGCTGCCCAACACCGTGTCCGTTACCTGGCTGCCCAACACCGTGTCCGTTACCTGGCTGCCCAACACCGTGTCCGTTACCTGGCTGCCCAGCACCGTGTCCGTTACCTGGCTGCCCAGCACCGGGTCCGTTACCGCCGCCTTGCCCGCCGCCCGGCGGTGGTGGTGGAGGAGGGCCGCCATTACCACCCCCTGGTGGCTGTGGTGGGGGTGGTCCGCCACCCACCGGGGGCGGTGGTGGGGGTGGTCCGCCACCGGCCACGATCACGGGTGCAGTGGGTCCAGATGGCGGCACAGGCACAGTAGTGGGTTGTGCTGGATTCAGCCACGGGAACAGGAGCGCCGCGTTTTCGTCTGGTGTGCTATTGGTGTGGTGCTGCAACACGGTCCAAGCGATCAGGCACGTGACGACCAGAGACAGGACCACTACAGCCCCTACCAGGAGGCTGTAGCCCGGACCCACCATACTGCTGAAAAATCCGTCCTTGCCGCACTGCTGGTGCTGCTCGACGGACGTGGTGCGACTGACCGGCCCACCCGTGTGCGGCTCCCGCGGCTGGTCTAGGTCCGCTTGCTGCATCGCCGCCCCTCCGAAGGACATGCGGTTGAAGTTGGTCCCGCCTCCGCCCGAAAGCGCGTACTCCGCGGGCACGCGGGAGTCAATCAGCAACGCGCGGCTTTCGGGGATGGCGGGCGGCAAAAAGTCGCCGTACTTGTCTTTCTTGGTCATGCCAGTGAAACTGTCCTCGTCCTGCGCTGCCAATGCTGCTGCGTCGTCGTAGTCGTTGTAAAACTTATCTACATGCGGTGCCTGGTCCTGTGGTTATCATCAAAATTAATTTTCGCGAGGGCGAGTAGAGTTAAATAATATCACGGATCGGATCCGGGACGGGGTCCAGCATGAGCGTACACGACACGAACGATCATTCATCCATGAAATTGAAAAATTATGGATGGTGGTGAGAAGTGAAACACACAAGCGCGGCGATTCTCAAGTTTGACAGTAATGTCCATGCACGAATAATCGGATGTAGATCTTTGCCTCTATCGTCAAGACATAGAAGAAGTGCTTAGGAACGATCCATCTATACTCTCGACAGCCGGGGCACGAACGCCGAGTGCGACGGCCGCATGTTGGGGGCACCGCTACTCTTGGCGCGGGTTTGCTGTGCGGAGCCGCTGTTGCTGCCTGTGGGTCCCCCGGGCTTGCGCGTTAGACAAACCGACTTCGCGCGCTGGCGGCCATCGGCATCACTGTCGGAATCGAGCGGTTGCTGGTCCATGTTGCCGAGTTGCTGAAAACGCGACCGCGCGTGCACTCGTTTGTTGGACGAGAAAGCCGGGTGGGGAACGGGCAGAGGGGGATCCCCTGAGGCACGAATGATTTTGGCCCGATGCATCCGGTGCTGGCTGGTGTTTCGCTTCGGCGGACCCGGAGGACCCCCAGGGCCTCCGAAGTTATACTGGTTTTTGTTGTTGTGAAACTGCTCGCGCCGCCTGCTGTGATTGCGTTCCCGCTCCTGTTGCTGCTCACACTGCTGCTTCTGCATCCCCTCCCTGTTTATTTGTGATGAAAAAACATTCCTTTTTGATGTTAAAGTGCAGGAATAAAAGATGCGAACCAACTATCTCCCTCTGGCCGCAAGCACATCATTGTCATCGCCATCTTCGTCTACGCAGATAAAAAGTCGGGACAACGAAACAAAGCGTATCACTTGTTCCTGCCAAAAGTAGAGTAGATACTTACCACCACGCGTCACCCTGGTGTGGTCCATGCTGCGGAAGGTTTGCCGGGTACTCGCAGGGGGTCATTTGACTTTGCGTGCTCGTGGGACTGTTTTTGTTTGTCTGCAGCGGAAGCGGACTTTTCGTCGGGGGTGGCGGCCCAGTCTGGGCGGGGAAAAACCTTTGAATTGATGTTCGTTGCATGTTGAAAAGTTGTTTTGCCACAATATCAACAAGGTTGTGACCACATCGAAATCCACACATCGACAAGATCGATGACGACAGTAATTCCTTCCACATCGACAAGATCGATGAGGATGACAGTCATCTTCATTTCTACAAAACAACCTTCGCCGCGCGGTCAGAAAAAAGCATAGCCTTCATAGTATGTATGTACCTGTCAGGTGTTTGCGAGATCCGTTGGTGGTGCTGGGGCCCACCCACGGCGTCTTCGGTATCGTGAGAAAAAGCTGAATTAGTCTCAACTTGTGATGCACAACTTCCTTCAGACAGTTTTTCTTTTTTGAGATGCTGATGCTCGGAATGCGAGAATAAAGTCGTTCGTCATAGGTGTTTTCCTTTGGGTGTGACACACCACAGGTTTTCCGCGTCATGCGGCCGAGGAAGCTTTGCTTGCTGAGTCTGCAAAGATTTTGAGACTAAAACAGTTTTTTCTTGCGATATTCGGGAAGTGGCGGCGACTGTCCGCTGTCCGCATGCCGTTGCCCAGAACCAGGAGAACGGCACGACCGTGTCGTCCGGTCGGCGCCAGAACTGTGAATGCCATCCGTGCCAGAGACCTGTAGTTCGAACGAGAATTTGAATTGCCCAAAGCTCTTGCTCGTCAAACGAAAATCATGTAAATCCAAATGCAAAACTCAAATCGCGGGGTCGTAAACTTTTTCAGCGACTGGCGTCAAAATAAAGCCAGCGACGAGATATATATCTCATCTTTTCTTTATTATACTGCTCGTCCAACATTTTTCTTACCCGTTGCGCACCGCCGAGATCCGATCCAACAGGGAGATGAATGTCCGGGCTAAATTTGTTCTGCGACGCGAATTTGGGAAACGTGATTTCTGACTGCTTCTGGGTTCTCTTCGCCAACGGGGCTCCGGACGACACCGGGTGTAGCGACTGCGTGCTGTGAACAAAAATTTATGGAACTAGAACTTTCAAGAGAATCCGCGCAACCGGTATAGTACGGAAAAATCTCATTTATATTGCAATTCTCGCGCAGTGAAAATGTGGACATGGCTGTCTGCTGTTAGCACCTGCGGTGCGCACGAGCTGCTGATAGATTGAACCAAAGATTGATGGTTTTGCGCCTTTTCTCAGGCAAACAAAAGATGAAAGATCTACACTTACAAATTCGAGAAGCATCCTCCATTCGGCGTGCCAGTTGGAATAGGCAAGATCCCAGATTGCAGCGGCAGACCCAGACCCGGCAGGACTGGGGCCTCTTGAGCAACGGGAGTGGTGATGTTGAGCGGGCTGGCGTTTTGGGCCGGGAGCGCAGGGAAGGCGGTGTTGCCGGTGGATTTGGGCGGCTGCTCCTGAAAGAAGAACTCTGGCGCGCCTCCGCCTGCTCCATGTGGAGCCACCGGCTCTTCCGGCAACTCAAGCAGCTCCGGCATCTTCGCAATGTTCTTCCGCTTTCGATGTCCTCGCTCGGGGGCTACCAGTGTTGCAGCTTTCGTCTTGGATGATAGTGATTTCTTTTCCGGCCATATTTCGACTTCGCGAAAAAAACTTCGCAATTCATTTTTTCACCGTTGATGACTTGTTTTGCGGCTGCCACGGTGCACAGGCAACTACACCACTCCTGCTGCATTTTCCTTGTCCAGTTTATTTCCGACATCGGCTAAGAGTTCTTGATTGCAAATAAAACGGAGGTAGTGACAGGGCTCGTTGTCGCTAAAACGCAGCGGAAAACCACCTTTAGAATTACCGTCAAAATAGTGGTGGCTCTATGTCACCAGCTGCCTGAAGATATCTTTGCGAAGTCGTTATCACTGTCCGAGACCGTTGCTGTTGTAGGGTGACAATTTTCAGTGCTGGTTGCTGTTCCCCCGACCCTTGGTGGTCCAACTGCCGCAAGACCAGCAGCACAGGTCGTGAGGGTCTTTCTCTTTTGTTTTTTGTCGTAAAATCTGGTGTCGTTTTGAAATGAAATCCGACGAAGCGTGGAGTCCGCGCCGCCTCCGGAAGTTTTAAAGTTGCTTCTAAAACGGCCGCCTCCGGTTCTTTTTCGTTTCGAAAAGAGCCAACGAGGCTTTGGTTTTTTCCTTATTTTTCTTTATTTCGTCCTCCTACTTGCTTGGCATGAGAAAGAGATAATCCTCTTCTTCTCGAAGACGTCCTGTTCTTTCCACTTCGCAGCGAAGGAATAAAATGGGGTTGCTCTTTCTACTTCTCTGCTAGTTGCCGACTTTTCAATCGCATCACGACAAATGTTCATGTTGAAGTGCTCCTCCTCTTCTTGATCGACCGTTCGTTCCTGTCGTAGTTCCGCAGCAGCCCAACACCTAGTAGTGGAAGAAGCGCCGTAGCGTCAAAAGAACGCTGTCCGCCGTGTTGATGTTGAATCGTTGCTGGCGATTCGTTGTTCCGATGTGATTCTTGTAGTTCGCGTCTTCTTTTGTGGCGGCTCTGCTGGCTGTTATATTGGATTTTGATTTTCTGTCTTCCTACTGGCACCAGCTCTCGTAGTCAGTACGCAGTTCCGAGGGGCCAAGCTGCGAGTTCGCCGTCTCGAGTGGTGCTTGCTGGGAGTGTTGGATCGGTGCCAGAGACAAAAAAATCGAACTGATTCTGATTGCTCAAAGGAAATATCACATCTATTCGACCTTCTAGATGAGGACAGAAACTACATATGTAAAACGCTACTTTCTTGCCCACGCGCTCCGAACCCGACCCCACCTATTGTTTTTAGTGCGAAACTTATTCTTTCCTTCAGACAATGACAAGTCGGAAAGAAAGAGGATAGAAGCACAAAGACAAAAGAGAAACTCACGGAAAAATATTGACAATTTACGTACTATCACGGCAAAAACTTGCACTCTAGAATTGCTAAGCAAGGAGATTATTAGTCCTTCATCAGTCCTGTCATGAGGGGATACACCGCGAGTTAAAATCAAACAGATTCCTGTCGCACGTTAGGGTTATAACTTTACAGTCTTCAAAACAGTTGCTGAGAGTTTTTAGCTGATGTAAAGAGTCAAAACGGGCATGAATATCTATCTACAGGAAAGGTAAAAGGTTAAGGCAGCATAGTTTCTATTCAAGCTCTGACCAAAAATATTGCCGATATCCGCTACCGCATCATGGAGAAGCTTCTCCATTAAGTTCGAGCAAGTGGTATACCCAATGCTGTTACCAATAAATTAAGAATATTTCAAAGCTGCGTGGGACTTTCATTTTTGGGTGTATCTCGTGCTTCTTGTAAAAAAAGCTTGTTGTTGTTATTATTTGAGTATTGTTTCAACTTTCTGAATCGTTCGTCTTATCGTTCGTCTTGATACATATCGAACTTGTTCTTTTACGAGTTAGTTTCTGCTTTCGACGACTTGCTACTCTTTCAAACAAAGAAATTGATAGTACAGGAAAATCGAAAACAGAAAAAGAAACGCTTTTCTACCAACAGTATCTAAAAACAATTACAGCACTTTAATATTCACCTATTGGATACAATGTGCGCGTCTTCGCGATTGCTCGACAATGACGAGAACAAAAATACGACTACTGAAAGGTGGACCAGTTGTACTTTCTCTCGGCTGACCACCTTATCCTTTAGTTCACTGACCGGGTTTTGGATGAGCTTCAGCTAGGTGCAGGTCCTCGTGAACGCAAAAATTAAAATCCAAAACCAAGATGAAAATCGAAAAAATATAAATAGAAATCAAAATACCAACTCGCTTTGCATGAATGCAGATTCGAAAAAAAACAAGTTGCTGCAATTAATAGAATATTACAAGTGCGATCTTTATGGTTGGTCTGGCTACGCAAAAAAACTAATCGAGATCCAGAACGACCACAACCAGAACCATTGAAGGAACGAAAATCAAAATGGGTATGTTCAGATCAAAATTACAGATCCTCGGGGCAAAAATCGCAGAGACACAACGTTGATGCCGGACGAGTAGAAATAACTAGCTCCAGGAACACGGGTTCTTGTTTGGTTTCAGATCAAATATCCAGGCACTTGCTGCCGCAGTCGCACTTCTGAAGAAGCGCCTCTGGTAGTAACTAACGAGATCTTTATGGCTGCAGCTTTCTTTTTGCTCTTATCCAAGATTGCTCATCGAAAATCCTTCGCCTGTCAGGTCAAAGCCGCGGTGGTCTCTCTGTACAGGACAACATGATCACAACTGACGGCGGTCGATTTCGAAAAGATGGTACAAGTACGAGCACATAAAAGACCAACATAGCTACAGTTTTTTTCAAATGCAAAAACTTTGGATTTATTTGCGTCAAATCGAATTCTACATCGCCACTTAGCTGCTATTCGTACAACGTGTCCCAGATCTACCTGCTCCGCTGGCACAGTTGAATCATTCTGAATCAATAGTATGTAGTAGTGCATGCACGAAAGAGAGCGAAACATATTTCACTTTCCGAGCACCAGTTGGTGTAAGTGCGGTGGCCTGAGTAGATCGATTCAATTCTATATTCTTGGAAGACGAATTAAATTTGGTACATGTAAAGCGAAAGTGGAGTCTTTTAATTTTTCTGCACGGATGATGTTGAAAGTCTGCTTCTCCTAGCTGTTCAACGATAGCTGTGCAACAGTGTAAGCGTACTTCCGACGCTTTTAGAGACAGAGAGAGAGCGAGCGCGCGTAAAGTACGACTGAGGGAAGCAGTCTGAATGCTGACGGGAAAAATAGTGAAAAATGTAAAGCAGAAGATGGAAATGAAATGCAAAAACCAGAAGTGCTGAACAAGGTGCAACTAGTGAAAAGCTGCAACTCTAAAGCGAAAGGAGATACTAGTACGTAAGAATGAAAGTGTTTGCTGTAATAGTTACCGAATAAAAAAATTGAAAATGCGTCTGATAGGCATAGTTACTAAATTGAAAAACCAACTCCTCCTCCTCGAAGTTGTCATGAAAACAAATTTTTTCCGAACGCCCCCCGCGAATGCAAGGCTGGAAAACTCGAGATTTCCACCGATTGCCTCGGAATAACAGTGACGATGTTCATGATTGTCGCTGTCCTCTGCCGGTATAACAAATTTCCTCACTGTGCTCTCACTTATCGTCCTGTTCGCGGCGATCGACAATGGCCGTGTCAGAATGGGCCTCCTTCAGCCCGTCCGTGTTTGCGATGCCGACGCCCACGTTTTTCTCGATGAACAGGGCATCCACGTTCTGGTGTGCGCGCTTCGCAATCTCCTGCTCGTCCACCATGTCCGCCACGGTCGACATGGCCTCCAGCATCCAGGGGTTTCCGCCCCGGGGTCCCACCCGCAGGTACCCGTTCTCACCGTAGGAATCGCCCCAGGAGTTCTGCAGGATCCAGTACGGGTAGCCGCCCCACCGGCACATGGTGTCCTGGGCCTCGCACGCCGCCTGCGTGGTCAGCTTCGCGCACATGTGGCGCCCATCGTTCTGCCCGCCGCGGTAGAAACAGGAAGTCTCCCCCTCGTCGACGCCCCAACTGTTTATGATTCATTGCGTTTTCTTTCGAACATGTATCATACCGCTACTTCCTGCATAATTGACCGTTAGTTTCGAGCATACTTGTATATTCATACCATTTCTCCGAAAATTTGAGTATGCAAAAGGCGATAAGAAAGACCCACCTATGCAAAATCCTGACAACGTGGAAGGAGAAAATGAAAAAATATTAGCCACATAAATTTACCCGACAATCAGCAGCGCGTGGTCCAGCTTGCGAAAGGTGAAGCAGGTGGTCTTGTCGCAGTCAGCTTTGTTGTCCGGAGGGTAGACCTTCATCAGTTCCCCGTCCTTGGTTTCCATCTCGGGAACTTCGTGCAGAATTCCGCCCTTGTAGAACTGAAACAGCGAGTAGTCGTTGCCGCGAGGCTCCATCGCCGCCGTGATCGGGCCGCCCTTGAACACCTCCTCGCGCATCAGCCGCTCGCACATGTTGTGGTGCCCGCACCGTCCCAAGGCGGATCCGATGTACCGCCAGTTGGCAATCCTGTGTTTGGAAGGTGGTTCGCGTTTCGTTTGTTTCCACTATTTTCGGACAACATTCAACTATTTTCGGAAGACATTCAACTATTTTCGAACCAACAACATTCACCTATTTCCGGATATATAACATTCAACTATTTGCAGCCGAAATTCAACTATTTCCGGCCAAAATTCAACTATTTCCGCCCAAAATCTAACTATTTGCGGACAAAATTCAAATATTTTGAGATAACGACAAGAACCATCAATTATTTGCGGGCAAAATTCAACTATTTTCAGTGAGTGATCAACTATGTACGGACGAAACTCAACGATTTTCAACCAATAGTCAACTATTTTGGCAAAATTTGAGGTAGGCTTCGCCTATACATGGTGCGGGTCAACTATTTCCAAGCAAACTTCACCTATTTTTCGCCAAAATTCAACTATTACTATTTTTGTAATAAGCAACGAGAATACCGAAAGTGCGCCCGCTGCGCGCACTCTTGCGACTCCTGCATGTCTTGGTGGCTGCGGATCTTCGCGCACTTCTGCACGCCTTCGCCGCTGAGGGACGACCAGCAGGATTTGGTGACCAGGTCGTGCTGCGAACCCCACATGTGCGAGAGCCAGGGGTAGCCGCCGTCGCAGCCCTCGTTGAGCCAGTTGCACTCGGTCTGCTGGTCCAGGGAGATCACCTCTTCCACCTTGCCGTTGTCGCCCGCCCACTGCTCCTTCAGCTCGGGGTACTTGAAGATGAGGCGCGTGGTGTACATGTTGGAGGCCGCGGCCGCGTAGCAGTTTCCGCAGGAGCCCTGTTCCATGGCGGGGATGGAGAAATCGCTGTACTCCTTGCCGTTGATGGTCAGCACCAGTTTGCGAAAGTCAAAGTACTTCTCCGTGTCGCGCCAGTCGTCGTACTTGATCGGCGTGCGCGTGCCGTCCTCGTGCTGCAGCTCGAACGTGCGGCCGTCGCTGTAGAACCGGAGCATCTCGCCGGCGCGGGGGCCCCAGATCTCGCCGATCTCGTCGGGGGTGAGCTGCGAGGGGTCCACTTTCAGCTGGTGGGCAATGTCGTTGATCTCCTCTGACGCGTGGTTTTCGGCCGGCCCCAGGTTCTGCCCCGTGGAAAACCCGTACAGCCCGGCGACCGGGTCCACGGCGTTCTTGCGGCGCGCCTCGTTCGACTCGATCAGCTTTTCCACGTCGGAGTGCTCGTGCAACTCGATGCCCAGGTGCTTGCTGCGGTCCTGCAGGAACTTCTGCAGTTCTTCCTCGTTCATCAGCTGGAACCGCACCTTGTGCTCCGCCTCCTTCAGCTTTTCGTGCTGGTCGACCAGGTCCGTGTGGACCTCCTTGATCGACTTCCGCAGCGTCGCTTCTTGGTTCGACAACTCGTCCAACTCCCGCTGGCGCTCCGCGACGTTCTGCTCCGACTGCAGTTGCAACTGCTCCTGCGCGAGCTGCTGCTCCACGTCCGGAGTGGTGGACTTCAGGACGGCGAGCTGCTCGTTCAACATTTTCATCTGCTCGTCGATCTCCGCGATCTCCTGGTTGATCACGTGCTCGGTGGTGGTTTGGTGCTTCGCGGAGGTGCTGGTACTCGTTGCAGCGGCGGCCTGCTTCGCGAGGGCGTGCGGGCCGCTGGGCATCACGAACGCCACCGTGTAGCAGCCAGCGAGGAGGAGCACTCCGGTTCCGATGTAAAATCGGGCGCGACTCTTCTCGGAGAAAATGGACGGGTACATGCCAACCTTGTTGCCGGGCTTCAACGTAGCAGGGGTGAGTGGTTGGGTCGGCGCGTCGACAACATCCTTGTCAACCAACAGCTTGGTCGTCGGCTCATCCGGGTCCTCGTTGTCGTTCTGCGCGCCCTAAAGTGGGGATTTAATGAGGATTCAATATGATCATTGGGTTTGATTGTGTTCTGGACCTGAATTACGGATGCCTTTTCGAAAACTACTTTGGAGAAATTGTTCCAAATAAATGCAAATCGAACTCAAAATGTGTACTCCACTTTCAGTAAAAATCATCTTGTACGCTTCGCCTCCGCGCACCGGAATCCGCTCCGTCGTCTTCCTCGGAGGTTGTGAGCGCGACGGACTTGAGCTGGCGGTTCGACGAGGACGGCGCGTTGTCCTGTCCGGGGTTGGCCTGGTCGCTGATGTCCCAGAGCTTGTAGCTGCCGTGGAAGATGAACACCCATGCGAGGATGAACATCAGGAACGGCAGGGCGACTCGCAGCACCGCGACGCTGTAGCCCGCCCAGGAGCTGGACTCCAGCGTGTAGGCCTCCGGGTCGTTGCCGGGCGAGATCCGGTCGCTGAGCCACTTCGGGGTCAGGTAGCTGGCGCCCGCGCTGATGTAGTTGTACACAGCCGTGGCGCTGCGCGACACGATGCCCTGCTTCTCCTGCGAAACCTCCTTCGCGCGCGCGTTCACCTCGTCCGACTCCTGCACCTGCCGGGCCTCGCGGAGCATGTCCTTCCGCAACTTCGTGTTGAGGCTGTGCTCCAGCCGCGACGTGTCGACGGACAGGGCCACCGCCTCCTCGCGGCTCCGCTGCAAATCCGCGATTTGCGTCTGAATCGTCAATTCGCGCTTGCGCCGTTCCGTGGCCGCCTCCGACCGCCGCGCGTTCTCGCTGTCCTCCAGCGACTTGCGCGCAGCCGAATTCGCCGGCATGGACTTGATCTTTTGCAGGCTCTCCTTCGCCTTTTCGGTCTCGTCCCGGTCCCACTCGAGCAGCTTCTGCGTGGAGTCCGTGCGGAGCTCCGCAACCAGTTCGTGGTGGTGGGCCACCAGGCCGTCCAGGTCCTTCTTCAGCCCCTTCAGCTTGGTCTTCAACTTCCCCTCCGTCTCCCGCATCGCGGCGATGTACGTCTGCTGCTCCGCGTTCGGGCTGGCCAGCTCCGCCGGGGCCTCCACGGGGGTGCCGGTGGGGGCCCGGTGCCGGGGAACGAAGTCGTCCGGGATACCGCCCGTGCGGTGCCCGTAGTAGCACATGGACTTCCCCTTCGGAACCACTATGGACTTCTCACCCAGCCCGTACGGCGTCAAAGTGCTCCAGTGCCCAAGAAGGGTCCAGTCTGGATTATTTATATTTTCGATTATTCGCAGCAGTGTAGCTTGAGAATCAATGAAATAATGAACGTCGGACGAACCCGATGGAAATAAATAATTTCAAAAATGAATCACGCCTCGAATCGTAGAATCAAAATCCTTACCACAATGCGAGATTTTCGCGTTCTTGACCATGTCGTTGCCAAAGGCGTCAACGCCAGGCTCCAGCACGTACTTGGACGGGGCGTATAGCGTGTGGATCTCCGTAGAACTGCTGTCTTGCATGGTTACCGCGAAACCCTGGTTGTACACCATCGTCCACTCACCCAACGCGTTGCTGGAAAACTTCCACTTCTTCATCATCTCCTCGCTCATCGGATTCCCCTGCATGTCCGTGAACTTCTCGGGCTGCATGTGCCAGTCCGTCATCACGGCGGACATCACGCCGAAGGGGACAAATTTCTCCGTGAGGTAGGTCTGATGAATCGCTTTCTTCGTGGAAGGACCTGGATTGCGTTTATTTTCGATAGCATTTGACAACAGTGAGGGTCCAACAATGGCATGACAGATAACAACTTCATGCTGGTAGAAGAAAAAGACTACATACATGTCCTGAAAAAATAGCGACGAGAAGATGAATGCGCCGTGCTTTTGCTCTTTACCTGGTGTCAAGTGGTCGTGTCCGCCGGGCTTGTTGGGGCTCTGCCAGCCGCAGTTCTCGCCATCGTACAAGCCAAAGGTGAAGTCCCAGGAACCGATCATGTTAAAGTGGTTGCAGGCAATCGGCAAGTCCGCGTTGACCAGGCGAACGAGCGCGGAAAAGACGAATGCTGTAGCCCGGACCAACATTTTCGGCGGAAGCTTTTGTCCTCTCAGGGGAAAGAGACGAAAAGCAATAGCGACGTAGCGAAATAAAGCAATTGCAAAGTTCAAGTTGTTTGGAAATGAAATAAAGTGTCCGAATGAAAATGAAAATGGTTTGTACAGATGAAAGGCGTTAAAATTTGTACATGAAAAACGAAAAATACAAAAATGCCCTGGGCTACAGGAAGGACAAAAGAACAGTTTAGTACATTAAAACAATCAATAAAGAGTCATCCAGGAGGAAAAGCACCAAAAAAAATCTTCACTTCGAAAAGATGAGGAACGTTTTGGGCTGTCAGGGGTGTCGGTGTGAGAGAAATAGAAGGCACGAAGCGAGAATGATGACTACGACTTGACAACAGTACGACGAAAAGTTGAGCAACGAATGTCCCGAATGCGATGCACGATACGAACTGTCTACTTTCTCATCGAACGAAGGCGAGACTGGTGAACGATTGGCAGAGCTGAAAACGATCAATACGATTGGAGTCACCGACCGATTACAAAGTTGCACGAAGCACAGATCACACCGATTCGTTTTTCTAATCTCTGAAGGTACCGATGCGTGACTTTGAAATACGAGTGCGGAATAGATTTCAGTTCGGAAAAGATTGAAAGTCTGAGGGAAGTTGTGTGCCAAAACCATAACCAGCTTGCTCTTGCAGCAGTCCGGCGATTGTGCGTTCGTTGCGGCTCGTCACCGCGTCAAATTCGTTCGTTGTTACTGTTTCTACATCACTCTTTTCTTTACGTTTGGCAGACAAAACCTAGATGATCAACATCAAGCATTTATCAGCACAGGCATGCCAGCAATTCTGCAGAGGGCCGGAGGGTGGTTTTTCGCACAAAGATTCGCCTCCTCTCGTGGAACTTGTGCTGGAAAGGAGGAAAATACGCTTAGTTTCATACCGATAAACATCTTGCTAATGGCATCATACGCAGGCAGTTTATGGCTTCTTCTATTTCGAAAGTTGCACTGATTCTCTGTACAAAAAACAATCCTAGTGATGGCCGCAACTTTGATTTTTCAAAACAGCACTTCTCGAAACGCAGAAATGGGATTTTCTCTTTGTTCAATACGAAACATGATCGTCACTGCAGCTATGCGAAGACGTCGCACACATTCATTTGACACCGACCTGATTTCTTTAATTGCTGGTGCAGAAGTATGGCAGGTCGTGCTGTGCCGCGCCCTCTCCTTGCCATTCCATTATGCCATCATTTGTAGTGTTTGCCTTCGCTGCGCCTCGTCGCGAACGGCAGTTTCGAAACAGGCCATAGGGTCCTGCTCCCGGCTGTCGTCGGAGGTGTCTTCTGCATTGTTTGTACCGACCGAGGCCAAGCGTGCGGCGGCCGACGCCGGGGAGAAAGTGCCAAACTTCGGTGTGCTGTCCTCGTTCTTTGGTTTGTTCACAACTGCTCTCACCTCCCCCTCGGCAAGAACACCGAAGGTTTTTATTTCCTCATCCGTATTTTGCTGCAGATTGAAAGTAGAAGCCTTCCCGCCGCTACCCTGCTGTGCGCTTTTGTCCACATCAGCAACTCCAGCCGGTGCGACGACAGACTGGAATGCAGTGGTAACGAGCGGCGCAGAAATCTGTTCTTGTTTCCCCATCAATTTGTTCGCCTCATCCTTCGCTGTGCTAGCGGCGCTGGGTTCCCCTAGTGGAATATTCTTCTCCACCGTTGAGAAAACGGCCTCTTCGCTGGACCGGTGCTCTACAAGACAGGAAGTGCGCGGCTTTCCGTGGTCTTCGTCCATGCTCACACTAAATGGCGACGCTGAGTTCGATCTTATTCCTGACGCGTCGCGGTAGACGGACGTGGGGTTGGCGCTGCAGCTGCTCCCCTGTTGGATAATTTCATTCGGAAAACAAGCTGGTGTGGTTGCGATAGTGGCACCAGTGTTCGCGTAGGCACCCTTCCCGTTGAACCTCGCTAGTGTGGCATTCACATTGTTCCCGATGTTGACACTCGCGATAGCAGCAGCCCTGCTCGTCCCGGCAACATGCACCGGGCCACGACTACTAGCGCGATGTACTAAGTGGGAGGAAGTTGTAGCACCGAGGTTGCTGGTAGACGAAGAGATCGACAGGCGCCGGTGGTCCACGACAGTAGCGGCGCCGGTGCTGGCGCCGAGAGAATCTTCAAACTCTTCTTCGCTGACGGCCTGTAGCTGTGGACGCAACGATGCGTTCGAATTCGCGCGGTGCAGCTTTTCTGCCCCCTCGGCTGTCAGCGGAGCTGTCCCGACAGTGCCAGACTGTGGAACAGGATTATTGTTCTCTTGTGCCTGCGGCAGTACTGGCGCAGGCACTAGATTGCCCGGAAGATGACTGCCCGTGGGAGCAGTACTGTTCGAAAATGCCGGAGGCGGTGCGACTGCCGTGCTGGCGCTGGCGACAGTGCCGCTACTAGAAGTCGTCTGTGCTGCCCCATCTAGTACTCCAGCGGTGACGTTAATTGTTCCACTTTCCGCTAGCACCAAAGCCAAACGACCATTGGCTCCTGCATTTGCATTTCCACCCCCGTTGCCGGCTTGCACAAAACGCGTTTTGGAACTACTATTCGCAGATGGGGCCCAAAGGCCTCCGCTGCTAACTTCTTTCGGAGACGATTCCCTCGTTCCGCCGGTCGCAGAACCTTTTCCAAACCCGGTGCTGGGTGCCGCAAGAGAAGAAGCGCCACCGCCTGCCGTATTTTCCGCGAGATAGACGATCATCGGAAGTGACAAAATTAACATCTGAGGACCCCGCCATAATAGTAGTCATCGACCAGAACGCACTACAAGTACAAAAAAAATCCCAAAGACATTACAAGTCAAACCTGAATATTCGTACCTGGTGCAGAGAATAGCGGCGAGGACAACACCGTTTGCTCCGATAGGCGGCTCGTTAAATCCTCCAGATCCAAGTGCCGACGGCAACTTTCCTGCTCCGAGGAGTCGTCGCTTCGATCGCTGTGATGAAGCAAACCAGGGCCAGCCTTGTACTTGCTTTTGCGCTTCCGAGACATCTTGTTGGCTTTGTTTTTCCGGTTACAGATCAGTTCCTCTCCCCCTCCGCGCAGCGTTTCAAAGTGGTCCTGTTCGAGCAACATAGCGGGACAGTTATTGTCCGGCTCCTGATAACTGGACTCACGCTCGCTGGTTCGCGACCGACGCACACTGCTCTGGAAGCTTCCACGCGGTAACGTACTCATGTAGCTATGTGCTCTGGACGCCAGAAACTCCGCATCATGCTCATACATCTCGTCGTCCCGATTCAAGTGTAGCAGCCCCGCTGCGTGCTGAGACGCTGTGCTAGTCTGCTGGTGCTGCATTTTGCTCACTGCCACGGCGCTATACCTCCTGTGGCGCACCTTCTCATTTGCCTGCTCCTTCTGTTTTTCCCACGAAGAAGACTGATTAGTCGTCCAGGAATTCCGGAAATACGGCTTTGCAGTCTCTTGCTCCAACGGAAAAATTGTTTCGGTCAGCAGCCGATCGACGGACGTTTTGTACGCACTGCTGGTCCGGCCGTGCAGGGACGTGGAGCTAGTGCGATGCAGTAAAGAGGATTTTCTGGAGTGTTCCAGCAGATCACTAATGCTGCTCCCTGAAGCGGAGGTTTTCATCTTTGTTCGATTGGAATTACTCTCCGCGGTCGTAGTACGGGTGTTCGTCTTATGCAAATTGTGGCCCCCGCGACGCAGGTTCGCGGACGAGGTAGAAGTTTGGCCGCTGCCGGGCACAACCTGCTGGCTTTGCGCTAGAATTGTCACAGAATCGTTGCTCCGTCCGCGTTTGATTCGGTAGTTCTCTACCGATTCGAACCGTTTTCCACCAAGACCACAATTAGGCACGACTTTGGTTCCGGAATGCAGCAGGCGCACGTTGTTCCCAGGGCGAACTTTCATCTTATCGTACTCGTTATCGCTGTCCGAAACTTCGTCTTCGATGTTGGGCGAGTGCTGCCCAACATGGCTCTTGCCCACCAGCTCGTCCTTCCGCATGAGCTTCGACCTGCAGTAGAACTGCGTTGCTTCGCCCTCTAGAAACGCGTTGCACGCGGCCAGAATGTACTCCTCCAACGATTCGCTCTCGTAGAGCAGCCAGGGAAACACGACGGCGAGGGCCACGGTGTTGAACTCGTGGATCTTGAAATAGACACAGATTCCGGAAAACGCTGTTACCGGCACCGCGAACACCACCGCCCGACAATTTTCGGACCACCTGCGACACTTCAGCTCGTGAATGATGACGCAGAAAGTCAAGACGAAAACGAAAATCGGCGTCGCGTAGATGTGATTGGTGCACACACCACGGAAAGCCAGGCGGCCGAGCTCGAGAGTTTTGTCGTACTCGCCCTGGTTACCGAGTAACGGTGGGAGAAGAAGCACTTGCGCAACGTTGTACTCGGTGATCCGGGCGAAGGGCTCGGTTGACGAAGTAGGAGCGATCATCTGCTGCAAAGCGCCACGGTACAGGATGAAAGCAGCTTTTATTACTCCCCCCGCGAGGACCTGTGGTTGTTGCGTACAAACCGAAGCTCCATGACCAGCGAATCATCTTCACCATCACGGTTAATATTTCCGCTGTACGACAAACACTCTAGACTGAAAAAAATGTTCCCGGATAAAAAACTATAATACCGCCGACCCCGCCAGTGCTAGAAGATGCGCAAAGCGCGACATCCGATGTGTCACGGCCAGCACCCCGCACACGGCTGCCATTACGAGAAACGGAAAGACATCCACGTACACGGCCTGTGCCGCTACTGCTGCGGTCTCCGCATGCCTTCTTTTGGCGTCTTCCGCACTGCGAATCTGGAGGAACTCGTAGAATTTCGGATTCACGTGCAGGTCGTGCACTGTAGAGGTTGCATCCTCCCGCGTGGTAGACGCAGCCATGTCCTCGGGCGGACGGAGCAACTCATGCCGCACCGCGGTCGGATGGCTTGTACCACTCCCGAAACCGTGAAGCTCGCCTAACTGACGTACCGGCAGGTGGTGGGAAGTCGACCCATCTTGCTCGATGCGCGCAGCCGCGCCCGCCCGACCGTCGCTGCGACGAACAAGGAACTTTTGCTCCTCGTCCTGCTTGGTCCCTAGTGAACTTCTTCCCGAGGAGCGGCCGGCTGGGGGTAGGTATTCGAGCTCCAGAACCGCTCGGGCAGCCCGCGATTGGTTGTACAGAATCGCAGCATTGTGGCAAACCAAAGCCAGATAAAAACACAGCAAAAAGAAGGACGCAGAGCAAAGAATCAAGGGACTTTTGGCTGTGGACATACTTATTTTCTCAAAGTGCTGAAGCGTAGCGAAATCAGCACGTGAATGAAACTCCGCAGCAAGTTTTTGCGTTTACACAGACATCAACCGAAATATGACGACGGGCGAGATCGTGGGTAGAAATAGACATAGATGAAAGAGTGTTGTTTTCTTAGCGTTTTAACAGACCGCAGACTTAATCACCTTTCTCCAGTGGAGGACGACTTCTTCCAGCTCTAACTGATTGTCGGACGATTTGGGAGTCGATTTTCTTTTGATTTGGATGTACGCTTATTGTAGCTGCCAACGCAAAAGAAGAAAAGCAAACATTTTGACGACAGAAAACAACGAAGAGCAAAGCACCTCTTGGAGAACACGCTTAAGCAAAAATGCCAACAGCTGGTGAGCGCTGCCGCCGCTTCGAGATCCCCCCTTCGTAAGGGCCGAACGGGGTGGAACCGAGAGCCGGCTCTTTGTTTTTTCAAGTGGGGGCAATGAATATCATACCCTGAATAATGTAAAAGAGTCACGTCGGTTGATAACCGATTGTTAGCATGGTTGCGAGAATGGCAACCGTTTGAAAGCGCGGATAGGCATGGTCCTCGCAGGAAAGAGATTTCATGTTAGTACATTCCTCAAATATACGTGGTTTAATTTCTGTGTAGTTGTTCGAAAAATCATCTACTGGTACACTTTCTGGTCGTCGTAAAGAGGTTACTCTTTCTCGCCATCTCCACCTACATGATATGTTTCGGTTGTAAAAAGTCCTGAGATAGCTCGTAAAACTTTGTGATTTTCGCGCGCCTACACAAAACAAATACCTAAAAACTTGCAACACAAAACGGATGAAGAATAAGATCATTTCTTTAATTGTTAGTTTTAGAAACACGCCTCCTCGTAGTTCTATCCTTTCTTCCGCGTTGCATGCAAGTGCTGCTGATGCTGGTCGTGCTTGGCGACGCCTCGCCATTAGAGAGGACGGCCAACAAGTCGTCGGGGTGCTACTATTCTTTCCTAATTTCGTTGCCTGCGGACCGTAATTCTCTACCTGTCTCGCGGCTTGATGTAATGTAGTGGTTGTAAAGCTAAATATTGTGCGCTTGTACCGTCGCCTCGGAAACAAAGTGCCGGGGTCGAAAAAATGATGGTTGCAAAATGAATTGCGGTGGGGTTGATGTGATAATGTTAATTTTGCCTTGTTTGTTGAAATTGCGTTGTTGCCAGAGGGCTGGTTGAGATAAAGAATGACAACTGGTCTAATGGGTGGTATTTCTCGAAAAGAAACAGGTGGTCGTCGTCGTTTTCTTTTCTTTCCCTCGTTCCGTAGCATTTCTTTCACGGCATCGAGCTGCTTCGTGTGTCTCCTGTGTATTGCGGCAATTGTGCTTCTTCGTTTTCGCTTGCGTCTTCGCACTGCCTTCCAATCAGTGGGGCGCTCCTTCTTTACGCAATACTGGAATCCTAGACGCGCTGACGGCGTAGTAAAAAATTCCTTACGAAGGGGCACGGGGTCCTCGTCGTGAACCTGTATCGAATTTTGGTTCAAAGATAGAGGTCACACTCAAACGAAAAGCACAAAAGAACAATGTTGAAGGCACAGTGTTTCAAGTGCGGAAGTGTGCCAAAAGAATACCTTGCGTCCCCTCGCAAATTGGTGTCTATCTGGATCATCTCGCCTGCTGTAGTGGTCTCGATATTCTTCTTTTCGGACGAAGAGGTTTCGCTTTGAAAAATGATCCGACAGATAAGCAACCCGGTAACCGTGCCTGTTTTTGATTTTGATGAAAACAATCGAGAAAAAATCAAGAATACAATTCGACGCGGGTTCTATTTGCGTATCTACTCTAGATCCACCTCCAATACTGAGTAGAAAAAACAAATCACTCAATACCTTATTTTCCTCCTCCTGCGTACGGCTTTGCGGTGCCGGTGGACCAGAGCGCACGGGCTTAGTCTGCCGACCCGCTGTTGCCGCCAGGGGCGGATTTTGGTGAGCTGCAGTAGCTCGAGTGGTCGATAAGGGGGCGAGTGGTACACGAAAAAGGGCGGCGGCGGACCAGAGGGTTCCATTCCTGTATAATCAAAGAAGATTCGCGCCTTCCTAGAACCGTAGTCGTCTTGCCGCTGGTTGCGCAGTTGGTGCTGCCCGTCGTACGCGTAACACTCGCTCGCGTTTCCCCTTACAAAATTGTGGCTGCCTGAGCACGGTGTACTAAACAACTGTGTTGGAGGCATGGTAAAATTGTTGCCCAGTTCGCTGTAGTTCGTGTTCTGACGCACCGGTCGTCGGGGTGGCGGTGTACGACACCGCGGAACTGGAACTTGAACTCGGACAGATCGCTGGCTGGTAAAATTACCGTCAGCGAACGACCAATTCAGGTCGTTTTCTGGAATCTGTGATGGTGGGGTGAAAGAGGATGTGTCTACCGTTGGCGTCTGTCTTGAGCGTGTCGGCGCGATTCGCGTCAAGCTCGCTTCTGAAGAACCTTTGTTCGCGCAGAGGGTGGACAAACCGCCTTCTGTCAGCCAATTTACCCCCTGCGCAGCATGACCGCTTCTCCAGCGCTCGTCTTCACTTTCTAGTGAGGGTCGTCTCATTGCTGCGGGTGACAAGGAAAACAAGCTGCGCGCCTTATTCCTGCCCTCGGTTCTTTTATGCGCCTGTCCAGCAGTACCGACGTCCCGCAAAGGCCTAACATTTTCCCTTCGGCTCGGTACCTGGAGTTCTTCATGCCCGCCATCGGGTACAACTACGTTTTCAACGAAGTGCATCGAAGATAGTATTCTCGTGGAGTCTGTCTGGAGGGAACGCTCGCAGGCCTTCGGCCGGTTTGGCGAACCAGCTGGCTGCTGAGAAGTTCCGGTGACATTGTTATTCTGTCTCGTGCTTAATATTTCGTCGCGCAAAAAATTACTGCGCGATCGGTAAAAATCCTCTATCTTCTTTTTCCGTCGCCGTTTTCGTACCGGATGGTAGTATCGCAGGTCGGGTTCCGACCTATCAGGACGCTGTGGTAGCCTTCTTTCCTGTTTTTTGCTTCTTTCAAAATAACCTGCTGCATGATCGACGTGTACTGTTCCGTACCTTCGCCGTCGTGTCGTCCTCGCGGTGGGTGATAAATTTGAAGCTCCTGAGGTTGTTGTACAACCAGGACTTCTTTCTTCGGTTCTCCTTTTCCCACATCGGTTGAGGCCGCAGGCAAGCAGGCTCCGTATGATGACGGATAAGAGGTAGTTAATGTACAACAGAACCGCCTCGAAGTTGTGGTAAATGTACTCCTGGTAGTGTGACTTGTTCCGGACTCGTAAACCTTTCTTCGTCACCAAATTTTTCTGTCTCCTTATCCTGTTTTTCTTTCTGACTTTTCTCCTCTGTCTGTGACCGAGTGTCGTGCCGTTTCTGTCTGTTCGGCTATGGCTTCTTTCCGATCGTAGTGGCGGTCGAAGCTTCTCGCTCCGGTCTATGATCTCCTCGTCGCGACCGCGTAATGTAGTAAATCTGTCGCGGAGTCTATCTGTATACGATACGATATTGCGGAAAGGTGCGTTATGACTATTTCTACTCGGTTGTTTCTCAGAGTGATAAACAGGTTGCCCGTCTCGTCTTCCCGGGTGCGACGACGGTGCAGTCGAGCGCGCTGCAACAGTGCTGCTGCTGCTCGCTCGTGCAACCATCTTCTGTGCACGGGAAGACTCTTGAGCGGGAGAGCTCAACATATTCGGTGAACTTTCTAAGATAAGATTTCTTTTGCAGTCGTGCATACTGCTGGTGAACAAGGTTGTTAAAAACGTGGTCACAGCTACTGCGTGATAGCGATGAATAGTTATCCCTATGTGAAAGTACAAGTTGTACAACTTGCGGTAGACGTAGAACTATTAACTTTTCTCTACTGAAACTGGGAAATCGTTGGGGTGAGGTTTTTGAAAATGCTCTAGCTCTTAACGATGTTTTAAAAAATTTCTTAGAAGTTTGTATCGAACTTTGGTTGATGGTCGTACTGATTTTCAGACTATCTTCAAGTTCCCGTGGCTTGAAACTAGCAACTAATTTTGACTTCTTACACGGTTCGGTTGTACTATTCGGTGCAGCTACTCCGTGGAAGCTCTGGCTGTAACAATTGACACAAGAAGAATTTTCGTAACCTTTATCTTGTTGGACAACAGCACGGCTGTGATTTTCTAATTGCGTAACTGAAACGGACTGTACGTGTAGCTTACTTTCGTACTTCTGTAGTGGACACAACAAAAATTGACGCTTTCGTCTGGTGTAGAAGGGCAAGAAAAGACTTTCTAGATAGGAAGGCCAATAATGTTTGCTACTACGTAAATGGTCAAAAGAAGCACAAAGAAGTTGTAGGCCAGGAGAATGAAAATGTCTAAGTACTGAGACATGGTTACTTAATTTTCGGATCAAAAAACAAAATAAGTTTAATTTCAAAAAAGCGCTTCGTAACGGTATGTCATAATAGTTCAATAGACGGAAAAGAAATAGAAAGAGAAACATCGTGTAAAAACTGTTTGCGAGATGTGCGTAAAGACAATAGTATCAAAAAGAACGGATACATGACGTGAAACTTGAATAAGTGGAGTAGCTGCTTGAAACATAAAAATAAGAGTAGAAAAAAAGAACAACTAGCTATCGTTCGCGTAACCCCAGAGCTAATAGGCGGAAATGGATCAGGTGGTAATTTCGGAAAATAAACTACGTGCTCGAATTTTTGGAAAGTTTGCGCGAAAGGAAACAAAAATCTAAACACCGTAGCCAATTTTGGACTCCGCCCTAGCCTGGGGTCACGAACGAACGAAGAGTAACTACTCCACTTATAGATCATAGGTCAATGGGGTCCTGAGGGAAAAAATGGTTGGAAAAAGACATTGAAAGACAGTCAGACTCCGTACTTTATTCTTGGAAACAGCAAAACTACGATATTGCAGACAGTACGACTTTTTGCACGAATCTAGCCGGTACGACATACGACTTAGCATTGAGCATGCACGAACCGATTCAGAATCAGCGCACGACAGCTGCAAAATTCCAAGTAGAGGCAAAACCGACTTTTCTCTCTTTCTATATGTCTATGCAGTTCCGCATCGCAAGGGATTCAAATACTCATACCGATTTTCCTTGCACATATGGTTTATGTTGCGCACGCACTACGATTTTATACCGACACAATCTTTCCGGGTCTCATTTTCCGTTTGTTTTCTACCTGTACGAGTTACGAAGACCATTACTTTCTTTTGGGCGAGCTACGAACACGAAATATCAACAGCCTCATGCTGGAGGGAATCCGCTACCTATGATTGTCTTTTGGAGCTCTCGCGGCTTGGCGAGCCACGAAGCAAACGATATTGATAGTCATATCTACAATTTTATCGCAAGACTCACGAATAGTTCAATTCCGTGAATAGTTCAAATTGAATAGTTCAATTTTGTGAATAGTTCAAATTGAATAGCTCAATTTCGCGAATAGTTCAAATTGAATAGTTCAATTTCATGAATAATTCAAATTTAATAACTCAACTTCAACTCAAATCTCAATCTGAGTCACAGTCTGAATCTTAAATCTTCCTACCTCGATCTCAAATCTTAAGAAATCTTAAATCGATCTAAGATGATCTATCAAATCCTATTCCAATCTCAAATCTTATTTCAATCTCATATCTTAAAAAATCTTAACTATCAAATCTTATCTCAATCTCAAATCTTAAAAAAATCTTAAATCTTAAACTCATCGCAGG